GAAAAGCATGACAGCGCATGTGGGTCACTGGTCATCTGGGGGGCGGCAGCGTGAACTGGGGTGATGGCAACTGGGTAACTGGGTAAAGAGTGTGCCGGCAGAATATCATGGGTCCAGGAGATAAGATAGGCAGGTCCGGGGTTCCAAGAGATAAGGATAAGATAAGATAAGGAAAATAGGGGTAAAACTGTAATACAAGTATGTCACATCCTACACACCGCACTATCCTGCACATCATGCTTGTACCAGGCTATGGAAGGCAATGTAAGTAAATCAAAAGACAGCCAGGCAACGAAAAGTTACCTAGTAGTAAGGTTGTCGAGCCTCAAACACTCCATCGAGCTCTATCATTGTACCCTCTCGTGCCCGTACTTGTAAGTGTATGATGATGATGATGATCTGGATTGGTTACCCGCAACATGCCTCGTAATGGGTGAAGACGTGGGGGTATAGTACGCTACTGTAATGTAAGCCTATACCGCTACTCATTTGAATGCTCTTCTACTTTTCAGCTCTATGGACTGTATAACTATCTGGTAAAATTCTACGTAACTTTTTTTGTGGTCTCGTTGTTTCCGTTGTATGGGTACTCTAACTACTGAGGGGGAGAAAAATAAATAAGTTGGGTGGGGGATGGGCCTTGCTCAGGCCTAGTTGACGCTGCGTCAGTTCTATCACTCTTCGTCTTCTGGTTCATGTGGCTTGGGCTTGTCTTCCCATAGCAGCATGCCCACTTCTTGCCTCAGATTTCCGGTCTTTGTGAAGGCTCCTGACTCTGCTAGGAAGCTCGCCACTGCTTCGATGCCTTCTTTTGTACCCAAGAGGTCGCACATGATTAGGTTCTGTGACCCTTCCCATAGGATGTGTCAATAATTGCTGTATCTTGGGCACGTTCGTATGATATGTTCTCGTGTTTGTAATCGCTCGCCACATTCGCAGTCAGTTGCCTCTGGAATGTTGAAAAGTTCGTAGTACTCGCCTATGTGTGCATGTCCCGTTCTGCACTGTACAAGTCTCCCAAACACCTCACGTGGTGTGTCCTTAAATCTCTGTGTCGGTCTGAGTTTTGGTTCGAGACAGTTTGTGAGTCCAAAGCGTCCAGTTGGGTTTGTCTTCTCCCACTCCTGTACCCACTTCCCTTGTGCTTGTTCCCTCATTTGCCTATGTGAGTTTGCATATGTGTGCTGTCCCAGGTGATGCATCATGCACGCTTCCTTTGCCAAAGCATCTGCTTTTTCGTTTCCAGGTATGTCTTGGTGTCCTGGCACCCATGCTATCTCTAGCGTTGTTTTTTCATCATCCTCCAGGATCTTTGTGGCTATCTTGAAGAACAATGTTGCATGCTTTTGGCCTGGTCTATGTTCAGGACATATAATGGATTCAACTGCAGATGAGTTATCTGCAAAGAAATGGATGTGACGTATGCTTGGGTGGGCTGCACGCAAATGTTGTACATTTCATGCGGCCCACGCTAAGCCAATAAGCTCTGAATCATACACCTCAGCATAGGGTCCTGTCCCTATGCTCTGTGATGCCACCACTTTCCCTTTAATCATTGCTACCCAGCTTGCCCCCATTTGCTGTTTGCCATTTAGTTCGAGCAAGGAGCCATCAGTGTAGAATAGTAGATGGGTGTCGTCAAAGGAGAACCTTCTTATGTAAGCTTTGTGTCCTTTTGCTGCATCCTCTTTTGATTCACCACTCACTGGCAGCAATGTCTGGAACCTTTTACCGAATTCTGTCAGCGATTTCTCCCATGGTGCAATCGGGAAGAGTGATATCTTCTCATCCTCTGGTGTCAATATCACGGCCAGATCTCCTAGAAAGGTCCTCCTTGTTGGCCTTTGCTTGTTTCGTCGATGTCTGACTGGTATATCAGGTTGGATTGGTGGGTATGTTCTCGGTGTTGCCCCCTCTCTCCAATCATCATCAGCTAGTCTTTGTATGATTGGGCTTGTTTCACTGAATTTACATATCCGTACTGCGAACCAGTCCCGTTCGAGGTCCAGAAGGTGTTTGATGGGTGGAATAGATGCCTCGATCTCCAGTGCTATGATTGGGGTCATTCTGAAGGCTGCACACATTAGGTGTAATGCTCAATTCTGTACTTGTGTGAGCATTTTGATGTGAGCCACTTGTCGTCTTCCCTTCCACCATATAGCTGCTCCATATGTCAATACTGGAAGTACACATGACATGTATATGTGTCGCATGTGGTTCTGGCTGAGCCCTCACACGGTATTTGCAAGCATGCCCATCCCATTTACCACTGACTCTGCCCTCGCTACCATCTCTTTAACATGGGAGCAGAAAGTCAGCTTTGCATCGAAGAAGAATCCCAGCCATCACATTGATAGCTTTGGTGCAATCGTGATTTCTGTTCCAGCTGTTTTGCCTGGTAGAATGATTGCTGGGAAAGGTGTGACACCCTTCTGGGAGACAAAGTGGCATAGTTCTCTCTTGTCGCAGTCTAAGGAGAGGCCGATCGACTTCAAGAGATTGGCAGTACTGTGGTACTCAGCTTTTAGGACAGCGACATTGGTCTCCAGGCTCTTGGAGCTGACCCAGATGTTTCCATCATCTGCAAACATGACCATTGTTGGATTGGTGTGCCACCCAGGATTCCTTGCAAACCATGCGGCATCTGGTTTCAGCAGTGGTTCAATTGGGGGTACATCTGGTGGAGTATATCATTCTAGGAGTTCTGCCGAGTAGAATGCTGACAGTATTGGTGACACTGGTGATCCCTGGGGTATTCCATTCATCACCGGTTTCATCTGACCTTGTTTTCCATCCAAGCACACTGCTGCCTGTCTCTGCATGAGAAATGAGGCTACCCATTTCACTGTTGGTAGTGGTATGTGTTTGCGCTGTAGTTCTCAAAGTAGCCTCATGTGGTTGATAAAATCGAAGTATCCTGTGATATCAAACATCAGTGATGAAGTGACTAGGCCTCTTGCTCTTGCCACTTCAATATCGTGCACAAATGTGGCTGCTGCATCTATTGTTGATCGTCCCGCCAGGCCACCAAATTGGGTTGGTGGTACCAGATTCTGTGTTTCAGCCCAGAATGCAAGCCTATTAGCCTGTATTCGTTCGAGGACCTTTCCCAGACATTCTAGTAGCTGGATGAGTCTCCATGCCCTGGGCATTCCATAGTCCTTCTTTCCTGGTTTTCGTAAGGCAAAGGCAATTGCTGTCTTCCAAGGTGTTGGGTGGTATCCCATTGCAGCACATAGGCGTATGAGTGCTATGATGAAGTTCTCGCAGACTTCCCATGCCCATTGTAACAGTTGGTAGTTGATCTGTGATGCCCCAGGGGTAGATTTCGTCGAACCAGCAAATAATGCAGCATGTACCTCTTCCCTGGAGACATCATAGTATGCTATGTCTCCAGGGTTCCCAGTTTCCAGCTCTGGTTCCTCACTATCTGGCAGCTCTGGAGGTGGTTGGAACAACTCATCTCAGATTGCATTGCACTTGTCCTCATGTGTCATAGCTGGCATCTCTCCTTGCCCTCGTTTGATCGCAGGTGATGGGTAGTTCCATTCCATTTTATACCATTTGCTAAAACTCCATATCTTGTCTGTTGTCACCTCTGCAAGTGTCTCGTCTAGCCACTTCTTCTTTGCTCATTGACACAAACGTTTGAAGAAGTTCTGTGCCTTCTTGATCTCCCTCGCTAGTTCTAGGCTGATACATCCATGCTCTGCTTTGTGGGATCATTGAGCTTCTCGTAACTCCTTCACCTTCCTGCATGCACTCTTCGTCTTGGGACCCCACCATGCACAGGCATGTTTGCTTGGCTTTCTTTTCGGTACGACACTCTCTGTAGTCTCCTGGATCTGTGTATGGAATTGGGTGACAATCTCATCAAGCTGCTGTTGGTCCATGGACTCCGGCGTAGCTTCTTCCACCTCTCTCATGCTGTCTCTGAATCCTCCTACTCTTATCTTGAAGTCCTCTACCCACTCTCCAGCATCGGCCTCTTTTAAGTTATACTGGGTCCTGAGGGCATTGTCAATGACTTCTACATCCTGGTCCAGCTTCCAAAATATCGCGCTATGGTCTGATGTGTACGATGAGTCTGAATCGACTCTCCAGTCCACCAGAAGGTTCCCTGCAACTGCTGCAGCATTAGCAAATGTCAGGTCTATGACTGACTCAGCACCGTTATTGCTTCTTGAGAAGAATGTGGGTACTCCCTTTGTGTTCATCAATAATAAACCTCTCTCTACCATCCACTCTATGAGTTGCTCCGCCCATGGGCTCTCCCGCTGACCTTCCAAGGCCCAAAGAGGGTGGTGCGTGTTGTAGTCACCTGTGATTATCATTGGCATGTCCAGGTCCAGGGCTAGCCTCTGGATTCTGTCCAGTGCCGTTTTTCCGAGATCGTCTCTGTCTGTTGGGTTGTTATACAGATGGACCAGCCATAGTTTCATTTCTCCTTGTTGTACATCGAGCACCTGTATGTATGGGTCCGTCACAATATCCGCTCGTAGTGTCACTGTGAGGTCCATCCGTTTCCGTACAAAGGTTATCACTCGTGGTCGTTCTTCCTCAGCACCAGCTGGTAGGATAGTCTGCCATTCCCGAGCCCTCGCACTTGCTGAGATCCACTTTCCGTGCGGTGTCTTCCACCACCACGGTTCCTGGAAAAGGAACACATCAACTGAGTTACATAGATCTGCAAGCGCTGCTCGCATAATTAAGGATGACCGTGAGCAGTTCAACTGCATGAAGTTCACGGGCTTCGCTCGCGTTGTTGATTGTGGTTGTGTTGTACCACTCATTGGCTACGATTGAGTTGTTCTGCATTGTGTATACTCTCTATGACCTTTGCCAGTGAGTTTCCGTTTCCGTTTTGCCAAAGCTGCCTGAGTTGTTCAGATTGTATCTGTGGAAAAACAGCTTGGAGCGTAGCGATGGTTTCTTTTTCAAATAGTGGATCATCCGCGTACCTTCTGCCAGAGGTGGGCATGTCAGCTTCTGACTCGGTCCCAGGCTCTGTAGCAGGGTTCATTTGCTTTTTTCCTTTTCGCTTGCGCGTAACTTTTTGCCAGCCCCCGTTTGCCGTCCCGATGTTTCCTACTGGACGTGATGGCCTGGGGTCTCTATAATCCCCCAGTCGACATATCCGTACCGGGCATGAGCGGTCGTTTGCTGCATGGTTCGCCTGTTCGCTGTCTTTGCAGTTTGCGCATCTCCTATGTGTGCATGTCGGTGCTGTCTCTCCTTTTTCTGCTGCTGCTACTCTTGCTTGTATGCACCGTGAGCACCTCTCTGCATGGTCGTTCTCGTGGTGGTCTTCTGCACATAGTCGGCACTTGGCCGCGACTTTGCAAACTGCTTTTCGGTGAAATCCCTGGCATCCCTCGGCATTGAATTACCGGAGGTTTATCTGTAAATTCCTTCACAATAGATGACACCCAGTATAACGATACGTTCCTCCTCTCCTCGGTCATGTACCTTGCATCCTCTTCTTTCTCAAAAGATACCACCACCGACGATGCGTACTTTCCTTCCTCCAGCAGTTTCCCCTCGGGTCTTACCCAGCGGAATGCTCTGATAGTCCTTCCACGAAGGTCGGGGTTCTTTGCCATGAGCTCTCGCCTGACTTCTTCAGCTGATCGTATTCCGTCGCCATCTGGCCCATCGATTATTCCAGTCCTGACGCCGCAGATGTGTACTGAGAACCATTTCTCATCAGGGTATGCTTCGACTGTCTCGCGTCCTGGGAACACCACATGTTTGAAGATGTTGGTGTGAGGTTCTAAGTCTGTCGCTTGCTGGTCACTCCGTAGATTTAGTATGCAGCTGTTATTCGCATTGAATCGTACATGGACAACCACAAACGCCTTCGTCTCCTCATGCTTGGCTAGTTCCTCGTTCACCCTGATGGCCACCATCTCGGGTCTTGGCCTCTCGTAGTCTATCGGTAATTCGAGGGCCCGTACCACCATGCGACATGGGTTGTACACCTTGTTTGGGTTCACCGGCTTTGTCGTGGTTGTGTTGGTCTGTGCTGTTGGCTTTACTGGTCTTGCTGGCTTCGCAGCATACCGCAGTGTCGGCGCTTTTGCTGTATTTCCACCCCTGGGTGTGGTGGCGGTGATAGCAGCATAGTCTTGTATGGGCAAGGATGCACGTACTTGTTCCATCTGCTCTTCACTACTCTTCCTCTCCCTTCTATCAAGTCCTATCTGCATGCCCTCGAACTGTTCCATTTTCTTCTCCATCTTCTCCTGCTTGTTGTATACTCGCCGAATCATTAGTTCGGTGCTGAGCGTCTTCTCGGGCGATACAAACGTTGTTAGTTCGTATATGAGGGTCTGTGCTAGTTCGCCTAGTCCTTCTTCACTTGACATCGTTCTGTTGCTTGCGTATTGTCTCGCTGCTTCGATCGTGTTCTCCAGGTGTTCCCGCAGTAATGCTGCACGTCTCTGGCCATCATCTTCCTCCATCTGCTCTGACCAGCCTGTCGGTTCCCCGTAGAAGACATCTTCATCATCCGGTCAATTTCTCTTGGACCCTGTGAAGGTATCTGAGGGTGCCGGGGATGCGCCTCGAGATGGTATTGGACTTGGTCGGTCTTTGTTGTTTTGTGTGGCGAATTTCTTGTTCACATGTCCGCGATGAGCTCTCGGTGTGGCATTCAGGTGTGGATAGGTTTGTACTTTGTTTTTGGTTGGTGTAGATGGTGTATCTATGTGTGAATTACCGCCTGCGCTGTCATCTTCACCATCCATCGTCTCAAATTTGCCCGTGGGAAAATTGAGTCTGATGGTGGTTCCGGATCAAGGAGCGATGTGTAAGTGTATGACCTCCTTCAGCGTGCAGCACATTGCTACTATCTTATTCGGTCATCGTGCAGGCAGGCGAGCGGTGAGGAGACGTACTGGGCATCAAGATATCTGAAGCCGGAGCTTCGAATGCCGGTGCATGATAGCAGGACCTGCATACAGCAAGGGAGGATACTCAATGGAGAAGGCATTGAATAGTGTGCACACCCGAGTTGTGGTCGGTGTGGAGGTGGGCGTATATTGGTGGAGCCCACGTCATACAAGTGCAACGTGCCAAGACCATTAAACTGCAAGCACATCTGTTTGTCATGGGATTCTATTCCTCCCATGAAACGTCTTGCTCAAATCCTTAGAACGGTGAACAACATGACAACGAGAACCGAGAAATACGTACAAAGTGGATAGTAGGCCAGACGGGATTCGCCTCAGGCTGATATTGGTGCTAGTGTCTTTGACAGACGTCAGTATTTGGTTTACAGGGTCAAAGCATAGTACACGCACCAGAATCAACACTTGTTCACTCAACGTTCCTTCAATCTCTCACCATCAACGTCCGACTGAAGGATTGCCACCATCGTACATGTTGAATGCCTCGGGGATGACTGTTGCCTGTTGTAGACATAATCTGCAAGCAAAATCGATAAGTGATACACGGAGGGAATCAGTCCAAACGCACCTTTGATCGATCTCCAACCGGCGCCCTCTCAATGCTGCGCCTGTTCAGCCATCCCTTCCCCGGAAATGATCGTAGAGCCTTGAAGTCGAGGATTGATATTGAACGTTGAACGCTAACGTTGTGAGGGCGCGTCCCGAGGAGAGCTAACAAGGCTTAAACAGCCACGTAAGCAAATGAAAGAACTGTCAATAAGCAAATCTCACCTTTAATTACAGACGAAACACCTTCAACCCAAGCCGTAGAACTTTGACGTAGAGTGCCCATTCGCTAAGAAAAATCCGTTGAACAGTCTAGTCTGCACGTTAAGCAAAGAGACCAAGGGCAAGGAAATATCTACTCACAGGACAGAGAGATCTTCTTGTACCTTCGATACGTGACCATCATCGAACGAGGCGTCTAAATTTGAAGTGACGCTGCAAGGTAAGCACTACAAACGCGTAAACTTGGCGTGTACCTTTGGGAACAGACACCAGTCTCCTTCACACTAAATGAGGATTAGGTCTAAGCAATGTAATGTGAGCGAAATCGAAGGAATTAAAGAGAGAACGGGCGCGCTCACCGTAGTCGTCGACATCGATATCGAGTGAAAAGATGAATGTCACGCTGTCACACAACCATCAAGCACGAGACAATGATGCGGCCAAAAATCACTCCACTTCCTCCCCTCCTCTATTACCCAGCATACCACTCACCTCGCTGTGATCCTCTCCCCAGAGCCCGGTATACGAAGAGTGCAAGACGGGCGTTGATGCCCGAATCGAGGATTCGACTTCGGAGGTTCCGGTCCGCACACTTCTTGACCGCGAACCACCACCACGGTTGGTATTTCTCGTGTTCTTTTGTGATTTTTTGCTCACATATGTTTGCTTAAAAGTTTGGGCTGTTGATAATTAGAAGGAAATGGCTCAGTAGGGGCAGTTTCTCGCGTGGTAAGTCGTTGATTCTTTTTCTGTTCAATTTCGACGCGACTGACTGATTTTTAGTGCTCTATTTGATCTCAAGTTCGATGATTGTGGCCCGATTTTCCTCAGATCCAAGCCCCGCAACGAGCGATACTTCAGCAACCTTGTACCATCAACTTCGAGGTCGCCGATGACCATAAGTCTCATTCAGGAAGGAAGATCCTTCAAAGCCATGTCGGATATTTGGTACGAGGTCCATCGTGTTTTCCAGCATAAATTCTTACAATCTAAACAGACACCATGTTTCGATCTCATGCCTGGAGAACATCAAAATCTATGCCTGCAAGTCGACGGCACCTCTGGCTTTGCGAACTCGTTGTCGAGGCCATCGTGCCATCTATTGTATGCGCCAATTTTTCTCTCCGAGCTTCTCAGTACCGACATCTCTTTAGGCACGAATTTCCTCAAATCAACATCTCTTTTTTTTTCAAGCCCGGCATGCTGCGGTGATCAATGTCAGCTCCCTGGCACAAATGCAAGCGTACGGCACTTCACTGTGGAGTGTTGCGAAGGTAATATTGCGTCGAGATGTTGTATCTCCTTCCGGCGAGCGAGGGTATGGTCAATTCACTGCTCGTTTTATTTCGACTGACATTCTCTAAGTTTTGATTGTCAGTCTTTATGTCACCATCCTGTACCTACTGAGGCCTCGTCGTGTGCTGAACTGGACTCAAAGATTTTCACGGCGAACGAGCTTGGACGGTGCATTAGGTATGTCCGAGGAGGAAGGGTACAGATATCTACGCATCGTGTTCGTGCATCGTAAGTTTGTATTCCCTTCTCCATCGTTTCTGCACTCAATACCCGTCTAATTAGGTACCGAGCCTCGAGGTCGTGGTGGCTATATAGATCGACGTCCCGCGAGCCAGGTAAAGCTTTTTAGGACTTCCTTTGGATCCTCATTCTAATATGACTTTTTAGCCGAATTTTTTCGAATCCAATGCCTTGCGGCAAGCAAACTTTGGGTGGGAGGGCCTTGCTGTTGGCATGGTGATGAGCCGGACTTCATCCGATGCGCTCACGACGCGTCATTCGAGGTCCCACTGCGTGGCTTTGAGTATATGAATTGACGTCCTGCGAGCGAGGTAAGCCTGTGTTTAGGATTTTCCAGCCTTCATTTTGACTAACTTGAGATTCTCTCCTAGCATCAAATTTCGGAGGTCGACACCTTGCGGTGAGCAAAACATCGCATCCGACATGGTATGTTTTCCGGTATCTCATTTTGAAAATGCTCACAAATCATCCGTTTAGCTGCTTGGTGGAATCGAGCTTCTAAGCTCGCGAAACGAGAAACTCAGAAGACGGCACCATCTGCTCCAAAAGCTTCAAAATTGACAGGCGGAAGAAAATCAAGCGAAGTGAGTCACCGTCTGCTCAACTCTGCCGAGGTTGTACTGATGTTATACCCATTTAGAGGCATGTTCCTACCCATCGCCGAAGCTCTCATTTTTTATTAGCACGTTGTATAAAAATAGCCTATTATATGGAAAGTGCTTAACCACTATTCTCTACCGAGAACAAGAAGATCACAGTGCGCGATGCTAGCAGCATCGTGAAGGAATTCCAAGCCTTTCGTGCTTTCGTTCAAGGTCGGAAATAAGGAATTGTCAATCTAAGCGCCCATGCCACGAGGCATTCATCAGGATATAAATCTTTTGCATTCCTTTCTTCCTTTCACACGCATCTGCCACCATCGATGGATACCACCAAGCTGCCCACCATTATCATCGCCGACCCTCCCTTCCATGATCCCTCTAATTGTGCAGATCTAGTGATCCGTACAGCAGACAATGTCGACTTCTTCGTCCTCAAGGTACTCTTATCATTGGATTCCCCTTCGTCTTTCTTCCGGCACGTGTTGCAGGCGAGCCATCATACAGAGGAACGAGATAATCTTCCTGTACTGGAGGTCAAAGAGGACAGCAGCATATTCAGGATCCTCCTCTTCTTCTGCTACCCATACAAAATCCCCGAGATAAGGGATTTTAAGCAGTTCACCGACGTCGGAACAGCACTGGAGAAGTATTGCATCGACAACGCTTTTGAGCGATTCATCGAGGCCGTGTTGGCGTCTTCTGTGATCAAAGAGCAGCCCGCACGGGTGTTCTCGGTGGCAGTCGGCAATGGATGGAAGAAGTTGGCCGAGACGGCAATGAGGAACACACTTGCTATACCTTTGGAGCCGGAAGTTGAGTTCGAAGAGTTCAGAAATATGAACGCCCTGCAACATTTTCGTCTCCGGGATTATCACAGAAAATGTGGAAAGGCTGTACAGGATTTGAACATAAAGGAAAAGGAGCAATTTTCCACGAATGCCAGCATGGTTAGAACACCATTTGTCGGAACTAGCAGTTCTTGCAACATTCCATGTTAGGGGCATGCCCAATTCGTGTCAATGGTGTCACAAGTCGATGTCATTTTCAATCCTGACAGCATCAAGGAACCTCTACTGTAGCCATGACTTGGCTGAGGGACTATTTGGACACAGTGCTAGCGCAAGTATTGCTACGGCCTCAGTCCAGATATCGCTCTGGATGAGGATATCATCCAACGGACCATTGCAGCAAGTATTTCAGAGTGCAGTAGCGACGAGTGGGCCGAAATCGCGGCTAGCAAGGTTCGTCTGCTTGGGAAACTGCTGGCGAAGGAGATCGATGAACGTATTTCAGCGGTACGTTTAGCAGTCATCTTCAAAAGCGTTTTTTCTGAGTAGTTGACACAGGTACCTTTGAACATGGAATGGACGAAGTGAAGAAGGATGATGGGTGTGACTCGGAATATGATGGGTTGATGAAAAGGAGGAGACGGTACCTTTGCTTTGTGTCAGAGGTAGTTCCGAGATAAAGGCTGTGTACTCACTCAGAGTTTGAACTTCATCCTCTTCGCCTCGGTCACAACCCTTGACAGAAGATTGGTCAACTCAACTCCAGCTGATCCAGAGGTGTACCGTGTAATAGCTTGGCATAGTCTGCAGCTCCGAAAGCGAGTCGGCCTGAGCTTTCGTACAAGTATAGACAGGTTCAAATCTAGCTTTGTGCCAGTAATTTTCTTTGTAACATTGGTTGGCATTGGATATTTTCGGTCTCATCCATCCCTCCTTCCCCCGCACTGGATACTGACATCTAGTTGGATAACGCGCTTATTATTTGAGCAATTTTTCCCAAAGAAAGGTGGTTAGGTCTCTAAGCATATCATATACTATGACAAGCGTACTACAAAAGGATTGCAAGAGGATGACAGAATGGGACAGATAATTAAAGAAAGAAAAGACGATGTGAAGAGATAGTAGTCATTCCCCAAGACCTTCAATGAACCGGTTTCATGATGATTGCCTCAGGATTGTCTTCAGCTAATCCCGAAGGATCCTCTGCTTTACCTCCGCACTGTCTGGTATCTTCCTGCAAGTCCGTACAGTTGTGCTCAGCTTCCCTATAAGTGTCTGGCTGAGCTTCGAGATCGTCTTCAAATCCACGATATGCCATCATGGAATCATCCTCGGAGCTCTTCCCAGTCTTATCCTGCCCAAAGCGTAACGGCGAAGTCATCACACTCCCTTGCCATGAATCGTCCGGGCGAGCGTGGCCTGCTGCGACGCGCCCAAGAAGCAGTGTTGGAGCAATTCCCTACGTAAGCAGTGTCAGGAACCTTCAAACAAGGAAAGACAATAAGTTGGCATACCCTTGTAAATCCGGCTATGGGATCGAGGTAGTAGGTAGCGACACTACCCCGCGCAAAGAATGCCACATATAAGATCAAGGATACGGCATACAGAGCTGAAGACTCCACCAAGACTTCCATGAAGCGACGGTAGGCTCGAAGTCCACTTTCTCCTCTATCTGTTGCTCGTGCGATAGCTAAAACGCGGTAGATCATGAGCAAGGTGCACAATAATGTTGTGGCCAGAGTTAAAGAAGCATAGAGTACTGCAAAGAGAAAGGAGCCATTTGCACTTTCGACAAACTGCTGGTTTGTTATGATGATTTTAAACACTGCATCTCACATTGAGTGAAAGGAAATAATGGGTAGGGTAAATCACTGTACCGATACCGGCAACCAGACAGAGGGCAGGAAGAAGAACTATTTGCCACTGCCGTCTCCAGACCAACCAACACCTCCACATCTGGAGCAACAATAAGCTAACGTGTCAATGCATGTGCATAGGTGCTAGACACACCATGATTGAGTCGACAAGGATAGTAGAGATTGCGCCAGCAATGCCTGTCACCAATGTAACTGCTCTTTGGGGAGTCTCAATCCTCGTAATCTGAGTCAAAACGTTCTGTCCATTTACCACCAGTGCCGAGCGCACAGTCGACCAGTTGAGGGAAAAACTAGCAAATGCCATGATATAGACAATGATGAGAACGATGACCGTCACTTTTCCAACAGGTCGAGACTTTTGCGTGACTATAATTCCGTTCAGTTCAAATTAGCATATGTATGCAGTTTTCTCGTACAGATGGTCCACAAGGCAACGGCAAGAACGCTGGAGTAAATGCCTAGGTATCCCGACAATTTTTAGACATGAACATCTCGTGGAGCGGGTGAACATGTACCCTGTAAGTGAGCGGCAAGGATCACTCTATTCATCTCAGAGTCGAGAATAGAAAGGATGCTTTCTACATCAGCGCTAGTAATCTGGGGTGGAAGACCGGCCTGCATGTTGCTAAATGAGAAGGGAAAGCAGCAGGCGAGAGAATGGCTTGTAAGGATGGCACCGCGCATACCTCGATTATATATAGAGTATCCCTTCCCGTGAACAGTCCAAAATAGCTGTTAGAATCATTGATCACGGTGCGCCCAATGTCTGTTCTCTTTTCCTGGATCTTCCGTGTGTCTGATATCCTCGGGTGTTCCAGGCACTGATCTGAGGAAGAAAGACGGTAAACGGGATTTGATTTATATTCGGAGAGCGCCCAACCTGATTCTCCGACAATGATAGATAGATGACTGAACATTGAAGGTCCTAAAGATGGCGTGATGGTGTGAATGCTTTCATCCCGGTTTGAAAATAGTCGTCCTGAAGGCGCCTCCAAGATTCTTCGGCATCGTAGGATAGTAGGGAAGATAGCCAGTCCCACCGCAAGAATTTTCTTAGTGAGAGCAGCTGCACTTTCTAGAATGAAGTCATACAGGCTTGTCTATTCATAGCCTTTCCTCTCACCAAAACATCCTGATATCGATCATCATCAAGGAGATCCCGTAGATCAAGCTGAAGCAAGATGTAGCTCCATAGTAAAGCCGCAATCAGCACGTTTACATCGCCGACGTAAATGTAGGAGCCCTGTCGATGATTGGTCTTTCCTCATTGATTCGCGCATGATAGGTGGTTAGTCCCATGAGCGCGCATCTCCACTTAGTATCTCCACGTCATGATACGCTACATGACTAGCAGGGGGGAAGCAGCACCGTAAGCGATCTCAACGCCCCTTAGATCAACGCTTAGCTCACTCACATTCTACCACAGATGTTGAGGCGTCCATGTTCCCATACAGCGGCAGATAAGAATTTGGCCAGTGTATCATGATATCATATCGCGAGAAAACATGCGTGAAGCCATGTGGCGTTTCTGGAAAAGGGGCATGAAATTTGGATCGTTTGCCTAGGGACGGAGAGATTGACGGAACCGCAGAGACGATAAATCATTTCGCAGCTCCAGGGGGGCAGGTATGGTGAAGAGAGGAAGTCATGGCTGATGACCAGTGGCGCACACAGGGTGAAAAAAATAGACTTCAGAAGACATATAAACCATTGTTTACGGAATACGTAAGAGACTTTCATGCATGAAACAAAAGCGTATGAAGACAACAGATTATGAAGAACCGTGTTAGTTAAAAGGAGTATCCCAGCTGCCGAAGGGAAAAAAATAAGCTGATGGTAGGAGCAATGGAGGATTCAGTCTACTCACGTAGTGGGAACGTCGTCTTCCGTGAGTCCCGTATCGTTCACCGGGAAACCTAACCCTCCGCCGATTGTCGCCTCCCTACATAATTTCACAATTAAAAACCCAACTATCGACCAAGGCATCACGTACCTCAGATACAGGTCCAGATTGATCAGGTCAAGATATCCCAGCTCAACAATGTTCAGGGTGGCCAACCCATCCTGAGTGAGCGACACATTCTCAATGACACCGGAACTCGCTGTTCCGAGGATTGGAACAACGATAGGGTCCTCAAAGGTGTGGTCGAAGGAGATATATTCGACGGAGTTGATACCGGCGGAGACAACGACACGGTCGAGGGTGATCTCGACGATGAGGGGGTTGGCGGCTGTTGTCGTCAAGACCAGTGAATGGAGAAGGAGAAAGCGCACGACGCACCAGTGAACCAGAGGCTAGAACGAGTGGCGGTGAATAGTAGGAGGAAGAAAATAGCAGCATAACATACTTGGCGAGGTTAGTAACAAGAGAGTCCAACTGCATGAACGTTAGTTTTCAATGAGGCCTACAGTTAAAAGAGCATACAGTCATTGTCACACTGATACTGGCTATGAGGCCGGCCAGAGGATCAGCAGCATCCACAGCTGACGAGGTGGGAGCACCACAGACAAAGGCAAGAATAGAGAAGATGAAGAAACTGAACAACATTGGAGCAGTTGAGAGATATTCGTGTCGGACACATTGAATTTATAGGCAGCAAAAGCGCTCGTATAATGAATGGAGAAAAAGACAAGACGGTGTGCCAAGCCGTGTAGAATTTTCCGAGAAGACTAGCTAGATGATGGATTAGTGAGGATCAGTCGGAGAAGAGAGAGGACCTGAGGGACACCTATACAGCCATGAATCCTATGCCCATTGGGACTTGGAAGGACGGAGAATTCGAGAGAAAGAACAGTGTATATCGTTACAAGAAATCTAGTATGTTCGACGTACTGTCCTGTGACGAAGCAAGCACGAGGTTGTGGAGACTAAGGGTATCGCATCAAGCGCTGAGGCAGTTGTCGCCGGTCGGCATTTTTGAGTCCACTGTCGGTCGGGTACTCAACCTCTAGCGTGCAAGTCGCGTCTTTTTCACTTCATTGGGGGATTTTGTTGAGAGACACAGAAAGTACATGTACTGAGTTTGTTCAGCAACGTCGAGAAAAAGAGGAGGGATGTACAGCCACTCCCATGAACCCGGATATTTGCGGCCCGGCCTCAAGCGCACAACCAACGCCGGCGGCCCAAATGACTCGGAATCGTCTACTTTCCTTCTTCCTTCCTCCCTTACACATGAAACCCGTACGCATATTACATTCTCTTACTGATCCTCAGCAATACCCCCATCTTACGTTTTCAGGAAAAACGCGAGCCTGCTTGTCGAAGTGTCATATGCTTGCTAGTTGGTTTTCGTGTCGGCGCTTTCTCTGGAGGCTGGAGATATACCATCGGCGGTTCTGATTTCCATCGACCTCTTTGATATTCTGGGGCGTTCTAGATATCAAATCTTCCAAGTCGACTCCGGTAATATCATTGCCTGACATACATTTGGAGAGACTCCGTTCCTACTATGACTCATGGTTCAATTCTATATGACGGCTCAGCGTTCAGCCTTGTGAGGATATCTTCGGGGAGCTCCTTCAAGAAAAATCCGAATAGCCGAATGATTTCTGTGTTATCTTCCCAGCCCACCACCTGGTGAAAGTCCGAATACAGCGCACCTTGTCTCATTTCAAGATCGTCGTCTTTCCGAAAGGTCGAATTCTGTCATGGTACCCGTAACACCCCAGATGCCTGTTGCATGTGCGTTTGAGCGCCACTAATTTCTCTTTCGTCATGCTGATTTCCGGACCTATGTGTTCAGGTTCAAAAATGGGTGTGCAGTCACTAGGTCAGGTTCAAATAGGACTATTCCCTCAACAGCAACGTTACCGCTGTTGGTTTGTCTAATACCCGAAACTGTGCTTTTTACGACTTTTTAGACCTTGTTGTGCATCCCAGTGCACTGCGTACAGATCAGATCGGCGCACGGCAGGCTCCAACTCGGTCCTCGAGGCATCTCAGCATCGACGCCAGGGCCTAGGTTGAAGTGGTGCATTCGGCTCCCAGTGACACGTATCAGCCACCAATCATATCGAAGCCATTTTGCATTGCATGAACAGAAGGGTTGTCAACGCAACGATGCAACCTCGGTCTTTTAATATCTCACTGTCATTGAGTATCCTGCCCTAGACTGCGGCGGGTTGACTTCGGACCTCTCAGCATCCTCATGTCTTCAAACTCCAAGCCCCAAGGTTCACATATGGGATAGTAGCCACAGATCCTGCATCCACAAAAGTTTGACGTCGATTCGAATTTGCCAGTCTACAACAGGGAGGCTGCATTTCACCTGCTGGAGCAAATGGTATCCTTTTCGTTCCAGCTTTCGTGTTGTCATATGCGTGTGCTGATTGGATCCGCCTGCTCTTCTCGACAGAATACTCCGTCTGGTAACCAACCACTTTGAGTGCGCCGTTTGCTTGCATATAAAGGCTGTCAGGCCAAATGGAAATGCTAACATCCTTGCTCTCATTCGCTGCCCCTCGCCTCTGTTGTGGATCCTCGCTCAGGCTTTACTACTCTCGTTTATCTATCCACTACTTCAATTCCGGTGTTGTTGGCCATGTTCTCGCGGCGTACCTTCATGACTTCCGTCGTAGTGCTGTTGGGCATCAGAGGAGCTGCTGGCCAGTCCGCCTCTGCCTACACCGATCCAACGACAGGAATGACATTCCAAGCGTTGCAAGACTCTTCGACTGGATTTGTCTTCGGTATCGCACTCCCAGAAACCATCGGCACTGATTTTATTGGTCAGATGGTAAGTTGGGCTTGCTGGTTCTAATTCCTATCTTAATTTCTCCTCCGTCTGAACAGGTGTTTTCTTTGACTGACGGAGCAGGATGGGGAGGTGCTAGCTTGAATGGTGCCATGACCGAGAGTCTGCTTCTCGTGGCTTGGCCAAACGGGGATGAAGTTATGACATCCTTCCGAGAAGCGACGTTCGTGATCTACCATTTTATAACTAGTCCATCCCTTTGACGACCTTTTTGCAGCGCGTATTCCACGCCACCTGTTTACAATGGCAGCGACGTCACACTGTCTACCATCTCCGACGGCACATACGTCAACGACACCCACCTCTCGTTGACTTTCCTTTGTGGAGGCTGCATCACCGGAGATGACCTCACCTTCTCCAGCACTGACACCAGCGCCGTGCTGGGCTGGGCCTACTCGACCTCGAGCCCTTCAGACGTCACTGATGAGAGCACGGATTTGGTGTACCACAGTGCTGGGTACGGAGAGTTTGGGCTCGGGATCTCTAATGCTCAGACGTCTGAGTACGAGACTTGGGCGGCGCTTGCTGGTGGGGATGGTTCTGGAAGCAGCTCGTCTGCATCTGCGGTTTCTTCCACGGCTATCGCTTCGTCGTCCACGGCCCAGGTTCCTTCTTCGACGGCCGCTGTAACTTCTACTGCCGTCGCGTCCTCTACTAAGAGTGTCGCTTCGACTGCATCTGAAGCGTCGTCGCCTTCTGGTGCCGGAGCGTCATCTTCCGCGACGACGAAAGCAGCTGATTCAACTTCGGCAGTGGGTACGGCGACCACAACTGCTGACTCGTCGACGATCACTGATGCTAATGTCTGCATGAACAGTATGTTTGAGTTCTTCTTTCCACATTTCTAATGCGCTTAACGATGATTATAGACTACAATAGCTGTATTGCTGCTAGTCAGCCGGACCCGGACTGGGATGGATGCGGTGCGACGAAGGATTCGTGCTTGGCGAATGCAAAGTACGTCCGGACAAGGAGATCGGGCAACCTGGGACGTCGGTTGTAGATGTGAGAGCTTGTAGAAATTGCCTTGAGGGCACTATCATATTCTGCTAGCACAGAATGCTGCATTCAAAACTGTGTACGAAGATACATACACACTAATTATTGATCAGGAATTTCCGAGTAAGGCGTATACGATATCCTTGGAGAAAAACGCGAATCCCAAAACTCGGGCCATGGAATATTCTATCAGGAAATTCTTGCGCTTGCGCTGGTCGCTCATATCTATTGCACCGGTGAAATATACGCGCTGAAGCAGTGACGGTCCGATCCCGGAATGGACTTGCATTGGCTGGGCTGCATCCAGGCTTACTGCTTTAGCAAGTTTCCGCCGGAGGACGGATAGGTGCAGCTACGTCACATCTTAAGTTCAGTCCGTTTATCCTACTTCCTTCAAGTTTCTTCAGTAGCAAGCAGACTCCACCTACCTTATCCTAGCATCTTAGTCCGACCGGCGTGATTCGGTACTATTTGGACCTTGAAAATCTGATTCCGATAGGCGCTGGATGCAGACTCTGGCCACTGGCTGGATGATCCGAAATGGAAACGTTGGCATTACCTAAGCCACTGCCTCTTGCTTCCGTCCGAGTTTCATTACTGGGCCGTTGCAGGCCTAGCGCCTTTATATATCCAGTCCAATGTCGCGACATTCCGGATTCGACATCCAGCACCTTGTTGCTGACGATAAACACCTACACTACGGTGGAACTTCAACTGTGTAGGGAAGAGCACTCGTTACTATCATATGTCACTGCGCGGTCACACGAGTCTGGAGACGGGGATTACTTTTGCTTCTCCTGGTGTGTATTCTTTCACGATGTGAATAATGGCTGACGTTTCATTCCATACAGAGGCTCAGAGTATGAAGAATATAAGATCCTGTTCCCCTCAGCCCAGCAAAGTTACCGACCTCCCAAACGAGATATTGACAGCAATATTCTCGGCTGCAGTCAACTCTACTTTAGCCTCAGAACACTCTCGAGTTCTCTGTTACATCTCTCTCGTCTGTCGTGACTGGCGAGCAGTCGCCGTCGACTCTTCCGAACTCTGGACCACGGTGTACATATCCCACTTGAACGACCTCCCGTCTGCTCAATTATTCTTCGAGCGTTCGGCTCCTCGTTTACTTGATGTCATACTCAGGTTTGACTTTTACGTGAACTGGGCCATCAGTGGTAAGATCGCGGAAGTCACGTTCCCGCATCTTCATCGTTTTCGAACTCTCAATATCGAGTTCGATAATCCGGATACGTATCATGCGTTCTCCAGTCTCTTTCGCACTGCGGCTCCAAGCCCACCCTGTTTAAGCAGTCTTCGCCTCCATTACACCGGAGCGACTTGGAGTTTCGCGATGATTCCCAATGTCCATCTACTTCCCTCTCCGAATAACATTGTTTCGCTTGACGTCCACCGCCTACCGGTGACTGTCGTATCTCACTACGCCAGTCTCACTACTCTTTCATTATATCGCGTATTTCTGGACCATGCACGCATGCGAGATTTGTTTCTCGCGTCTCCATCACTCGAAACACTTATCCTCGCAGCGTTACACACCTTCAACGGACCAGCTACCAGCTCGGACCTTCCCCCCATCGACGCATCCTCCCTGCGATGCTTAGCTCTCAGCATGGACAGCTCGCATCGGGATCCATGCATACCCGGCCGATGCGTCATATCCTGCCTTTGCTTGCCAAACCTCGAGAGTTTGGAGGTGTACGGGTTATGCAGACATGCTGTCGTCGGGTTGGGGGCGCACTTTGGGGACCTCCCAAAGCTGCGGAAGCTACGATTGCAGCACCTGGTGTGTTCTGTACATGACGAGCCGTTTGTCAGGTCCCTCCAGTTGCTGAGACGGTTGGAACTTGTGGATGCGGATCCGAGGTCCTGGTCTGGCAAGTGTCTTCCCCTACCGTCGCTAACGTCGTTGGTGTATAGTTCTGATGGGGTAGGAAATCATTATGAATGGCTGGCGGATATATGTCGACAGCGTCCTCGGTCGGGTCCGCCGTTGCACGTTCAGGTGACGGATTTGAGAAACGATGAAGGGGTTCGGGATGAAAGAGGCTGGGATAAATATGCCGTCATTGAAGTCTGCCTTCCGTTGTCGGTCAAGGGTATGTTCGACTGGGAGATTCTGGAATGTGATAGAGAATATAAGGACACAGAATCTGATTGGTTCGACTCGTCCTCTGATTCTGACTCCTTAATTTAGGTCTGCATTTTATATACTACTTCTGCTCCCTAATTTTATCTTACGCGTACTTACAATTTTACGAAGATACATATACCGCAGCTTAGACTAATTTGACTCGACCTATCCACACTGCATTGAAGAATTATCAATCGTTCCACCGTCGTTAGCCGTGATGGCATAGCATCGAGTACGCGATCGAAGAGTCTGCGAGGGTCCTCGATTCGGTGCATTAATGTTCGAGCCAGTGGTTCTGGGCTGAGCGACGTGGACCTTGGAAGGGGTTGACCTGTGTGGTACCCTGTCTACTTGGCATTGTCTACTGCTAGGTAGTATTTACGTGCGCGGTCATTTTTTAGTCGCTCGCGATCATCTTTGTTGGAGCTGCTGCTGTTACACTTGCTATGTTCCCGCACGGGATATGTGCTGCACCGACATCATATTCCTCCATTCCATGACATTGACAAGTCATAAAGACCATACCGTCGCAGTCGTACCAGATCCTTATGTAATCTATATCTGGAGTTCAGCTCGATGCTCTCCAACTTCCAAGTGCTTCTTGATCTTGAACGTTCACGAGCACGTCCGTAAAGAGGGCCGCAAGGACGCGAACCCGCCTTACGGGCGCGATTGCACATCAACGCCTCAAACCTGATTGGCCCGGTAATCACATGATACCCGGAGACTGATGCGGTCCTCCTTCTGACCTGTGGCGCTGTACACCCCTTATGTTAACTCTCCCAAGCGCATGCAATGTCCCTCCCCCATTCCCTCATGGCTTCTCTACTAGACGACCTCAACGCCCTGGAGGCTCTGGTTCACGATGACCAGAAGCATCTCCACCGACGCCTCATTGTCATGGGCGTCATATTCGTCATCTCCCTCGTCGGTACGACGTCGTTTTTCTGTTGCGACAATGAAAGCCAACTCGGTTGTTCTTTTTTGCCTTGTAGCTGTGTCGTTCCCTGGGATATCCAAGAGGTCGACGTATCTACCGATACCGAAGGTTGTTTTTTTCATCGGGAAGCATTTCGGCACCGGTATGTCTGTCGTGCACCAAAGTTTGTGGGACGGGACGGATCTTTTCTGACGCATATATGCAGGTGTCATATTATCAACGGCGTTTTGCCACCTTTTGCAAGACTCGTTTGAAGCGTTGCAGAATCCGCTGGTTGCACAAAGCTACGGAAAGGTTGGAGATCAATGTGCGTTGATAATGTGCGTATTGGTTCCTTTCGCTGCGCTGCCGAGTCTCATCTCAAGGATAGATTGGGCTCCCTTCTTTCAATATTCCTCATTGAATGTACGGTTCATGGCTTTACTCTTCATTTTCGTTTCTGACGCTGTTCTAGATATATCTACTTCATATGTTGACCATCTACACGCTGAGCCCTCTGAGCCTACCTCTCCAGTAACCAGAGTGACATCATTACCTCCAACTTCTGAACCGCAGCCTCTGATATGTGACGCTCCTCCAGAACCGTCACCTACTGAAGACACGCCACTGCTGTCGTCCTCATCTCACTCCTCGCATACTTCTGCATCTCACCAACCCCAGCATTACCTTTCTTCGATAATAACCAATACCCCTAGGCATCTTCGCAGCACTGAATCATACTACATCATCAACGATCTTAATTACCACGTAAATCACGGCGAATACCAGTTGATAGGAGGCAGGGGATCCTGCGTGTGCGTGTGCGTCTGTCCTGCGAGTGCTGAAGGCGATAGACCTCCAGCGAAGAGCACCACAAGAAGCGGAACCGTGACGCCCATTCACACTGTAGATCTCGAAAAACCGCGCATTGGACGGAGACGTCAAGTGGTGGGGATTCTAGTTCTACAGCTCGGCATTATGATTCATTCGCTGGTAATTGGTCTGACACTCTCGATTACGCATGGTGCTGAATTCAGTACGTTTCATTCTGTTTTTGTGATGTGGCTGTCGTATTGACTGTATCCTTCACAGCTTCACTTGTAACAGCCATCATATTCCATCAACTCTTCGAGGGCCTGAGCCTGGGCATCCGAATCGCCGCGCTGCCACCATCATCACTAGTGCCTCGGTTACCAATTCCCAACACCACATCAACATCGCATTCAAAACCGCTTTTCTTTTCAGTCTTGGGCGCGGAGACCCGATGGCAAGCTCTCCGGCGACACTGGCTCCCCCCCGTACTCTCTCTACTCTTTGCCGTCACGACACCCCTCGGGCTGGGCGGCGGCATGCTGGCCTTCTCCGGAAACGTCAGCAAATCGCAGATGTTGCTCACGCAGGGCCTTATGTCAGCCATCTCCGCCGGAATGCTTATATATGCCGCGACCGTGGAGATGATTGCCGGCGATTTCGTGTTTGGGAACCTCAACGGTCATGAACATGGGGGGCATGAACATGAACATGGTGGAGAGGTGTTCGAGCATGAGCACGATGAGGAGGGGGGGCCAACGCCTGGGAGAAAAGTCCTGGCTGTCGTTAGCCTGCTTGCTGGAGTGCTGGGTATGGGGCTTGTGGGGATTGGGGAGTAACGACGACTCGGAACATCTTAGAGATATTGTATTTTAGTCATCTGGATTTGTAATTTGGAATAATGCTCTTATAGACTTGCTTCAGACTGAGACTGGGTGCTCTTGTCGTGAAATGGATACGGAAAGGCAACGCTGAGTCATTATGTAACCTAAGCTCGCAACGGCCCGGGACCTCGTATGTGGACTTCGACTCTCCATATCGGTCTATTGGCCCCAATACGGGTACAGCGTTGTGATATTAGCATAGTGCTCAGATACGACATGGATCTCAGACATTGCTAATGGGGAATTCGAATCTCCATCCATTGGGACCTGGCGCAGGTAACACCACCGCCACCACCATCTTTGGCGACCGACCTGGATAGGTGTGTCCCCCGGCAGAGCAAATGGACTCCGACGGGAAAATGGCTGCACAACCATAATGCAGGTACCGTCTCTGCGAAAGGGAACGACAGAAACCAAGAGGATGTAAAGACAGGCCGGAAGGAGGACTTGGAAGGAAGAGACGAACTGATAAAACGTAGGAATGATAACAGTGTGTTCAGCTCAGTGTGTTCATTTTGATTTTTATGTTGCATGGACGGATCCTTACCTGTAATGATGATTCATAGTATACCGCCCAGCGGCCACTGTCAGATTTATTCTTTAGATATCGTGAGTGCAAGTTTCTGGAATTTTAGCCTACTCACTCGTTCCGGTTGTAGACGTGTGTATTGCAGAGAATAAGGCTTTCGTAATGGCATTACTCGAGAGCACGAAGATCTGAACGAACTCCGCAAGTCAAGGCAGTTTCGTCACCTATCTGATTTCGCGGCAGCACCGTAGATTCCTTGTGATGATCAGTAAACTCCATCAGCCGGCTATAAGCATTTCAGCGCTCGTTGGGAATCTGGTCATGAACCATCCAAACGTACGGCTCCAGTTCGACGCGCGCGTTTTGCGGTTGGACAGCATGATATCATCATTCTACTGTCTGATTAACTCGAGGTTACGTACCGCGGCAGATTATCATTGGACCACCAGGTACGTGTCGCTTTCTCTCTCCCCCACTTGCCAACCAATTTAAGATACTGGACGACCGTATTATCACTCAGTGAAAATTCTGCGTTAGAATTCGTTCACTGCCCTGTGAGACCCGAGTCTTTAGATCCTCAATAATAGTCATGGGTTCTTCACTTGCAAGATGTTTTGTATGACTATCATGATGCAGCTCGAGTCTACAATCAGCATCAATGGAAGGTATGCAGTAGAGAGCGCGTGAAGTATCTCTTTCAGCCTCCTCACACTTTGAAACTCTTGTAGGAGATTGGGTAAAGCCACGCCCAAGTTTCATTGATACGAGATCCCTCCCGATACTTTCTTCCATGGCTAGGCGAGTGGCACAGACGGGGATCTCATCAAGTCCAGATGCTTGTTTTTCTATTTTACGCGCACGATCAATGTCCGGCGAATGGTTTACCGTGCAAAGGGAACGTGCGCGAGTTCTATATTTATTCTGATGGCTTTACCTACCCCAAAACGCCTTGCACCGTGTCGATGTCTAGAAGAGAATGGCATCCCCTAGGCCGCTCAATCTCATCCAGGCTTTGCGATGACAGGTCCTTTCTATGTCCTCGGTGGTATCTTTTCCTCCTCCTCCCTGCTATCTTCACGGATATGTTCCTCGTTGTGTAGGATCTCCATCGCCAGGTGTTGCCGTGCTTTGCGGACCTTTGTCAAAGAAGCCGCAACCGGGAGTTCATCACATTAGCGGGTTCTTCGAACCTCAGCCTTCGGGTATTTCTTCGACAGCCGTACAGACAGCTTACTCACGCTCAAATTTAGCTGTATAAAAGTCGCGCCCCCCTCGTCTTCCTTTTTCTTCATCATGGCGACTCAAGCTGCCACTACTCAGTACGTCCGGCTCGGACACTGACTCTGGATTTCATTAACATTGACTCCGGCTCCAGTTTCCTTCAGTTTCGGATCCAGTACTCCAGCATTGGTACGGTGGTTCTTTCGTGCTTTTCTTGCCTCAAACTAAGGGCGCTGTAGCCCTCATCTTCTATGACTACGCTTTGACCTTCCCAACGGAGGTCAAATACGTCTGGAGCTCAAAGTTCAGATTGTCGACTGTTCTATATATATGTTGTCGTTACGCTCTCCTTGCGAACGTCCTCTATCTCTTGGCTATAGCTAAGAAATTAGGCGCTAGGGTATTTTCCTTTTTTCCGGCGTTTGTTCTTTTCTCACTTTGGGAATTTTAGCAAGTTCTACTTTGGGAGAGGAAACAGGCGTGACAGTCTATCTGATTCATGACGACATTTTAGTTGCGACACTTGGTACAAAATCATTGGGGCGCTTAGCGTCTTTGGGCGAGCTGCCGTGATTGGTACGTGGTGCAATTCTCGTGGCTAAACCTTGTTTAGTTTATATGCTACAGTGACTTTCACTGGGCGCACATACGCTATCTGCGCTAGGAACAGGATTATTCTGATTTACCTTGTTGCCATTGGCCTGGCGTGTATTATACTCGACATTGTCGGTCGGCATTTACTATCGGCACCATACATATATGCTAAGATTGGAAGCGATAGATGCATCTTCCAGGACTCAGATGTGTTGGTTCTTCGACTAATCCTCTGTACGTTCCCTACTCGCACCTCCCCTATTTCCGTTCACTGTTTATCTTCAGTGGTACTGACGTCCCTTGCTCTCAATGGATACCACTAAACCTTTTACCCCAGCGAATTTACTACTCTCCATACTGATGGTCGTGTTTGAGTATTCATCCGCGATACTGATAACGATCAGAAGCATTCAAGCGTTCAAATTTGGCGGATCCTGGAAGACACAGCGGCGGGGTTTCATATATCTGATTTTCGAGCAAGGTCGTTTTCATCCTTGCTCAGTACCTGCTAATGCGATTCTTACGCGCAGTTCTGTTGTAGGAATCTTCTATTTCAGGTGGGCATCTAATTATGTGAAGCTAGGAATTAGATGATAACACACATCGACAGTGTCGTTTCGTTGATCACAACTGCGGCTGTCATTTTAAACTCGGTGAGTTTGCCTATGTATGCGGTGCCTTCACTGTCATACTCACGAAATACACAGGTCGCGCCGGTAAGCCTGATACAGTACCCCCTTTTGAAGGCAACTTTAATCGATCCACTGGGCTTTCCAGGCAGGATTCTTCCAGCGCCTACTCAACGCATTGTTACTCCCGTACGTTCTCCTCTAATCCTCCCAGCTGTCTAAGCTCACAGGACTCGCCCAGACTTTCGGGTCTACTAACCGCTCGATTCCTCCTCCGCCTGCGCGTCTGGGAGCATCAACATTCCGCCGCAGTGGTCAGCGATGGCCGTGGGATCGCCTCACAGCATACACGAACACGGACTATGGAGTTCCGTGTTTTGTCGGTGGTTGATGAGTTTGGTGAGGATCCGGTGGGACGTCAACATGAAGGCGAGTATGCGTTGGAGGAGGAGCCGTTTCAGGAAAATATGCCGTCCACGTCGAGTTTGGCTCCTGGGGGTCTGAAGATGCCGATGGGTACTGCCTAGCGGCGGATAGTTGGCAGTTAGGAAACAAATGGCTATACTGTAATGTTCTATTTGTTTCCGTTTGTTTCAATTGTACTTACCTTTTCAGAGTACAGACCCTGCTTCGTTCTGAGGATCGGCGTAATTCTACAACACGCTGACAGACATGCCCTTCTTTTCGTTTTAGAATATTTCCCTTCTGGATAACCCACCCTTTCCTCCCAACAAATGTGAAGGTTGCTTCGGCCTTGTACTACTAGTGGAAAGTGGCGGATCACTGAGCCGATAAGACCAAGAACTGTTATCTGAATGGATTCTGGGCCTCCCATGAAGAGCTAGAGTCTACAAGACCTAGGAACCGTCAATATATCCTGGCAAGAGATTTTCTGTTGGTGTCTAAATTGTGGCTATCGGGGTATTGCATCCAAACATTTCTATACCTGCGTGATCAGCACGAAAAGGTCAATTGTGCGAAATCAGTCGTCCAGCCAGCGGCAGCGAGGGGAAGTAAAATGATTATGAAATTCCCAGTGCAGATGTCGATCACGGTCCGACTCGGAGTCAGTCAGTCAGAAATCCAAGACACCACTCTTCAACCACTACCACCACTGCCGCCGTTTTACCAGCTCGCCGATGTCTTGTCTGGAGTCCAGCCATCCTAGTGACTTGGGGATTGTTCCCTGTGCTCCTTCGCGCATACCCACTTCTCCAGAACTAACGGCCGACCTTGATCCCTCTACCTTTCCCAAGTTCTATAATAAGATCATCGAAGACGACTCTGTCATGCGTCTTCAGCATCTCAAACAGGATCACCAAAGGCTAGAGGCGAGTCTACAACTTTCTTGTCCTCATTGAGTATCTGTCTTGACGAGTTAAAACAGGAGACTGATACGCAGAACAAGGCACTTAGGGACATGACTGATGAGCTGAAGGAGGACATCGAGCAACTGAAGAAGTACAGACAAGAAACCGAGCAAAAGTTGGCCGACCAACGTAAATTCGAGGTCCTTGACCGCTTTTGCAGAGGTAAGACTACATTTCCTATAAGGCAGTTCGACACTTTGCTCATTGAACGCGACTAGGGCTGACAGGTATCCTGCAGGAGAAAATCAGCGATCTAAAAGATCTACTATACATTCTATCAGTTGAGCTAGATGGCTCACCACTTGCATACGGTACGCAAATTCCAATAGCCAAGACTAAATGCTGACAAAAAGCTGCACAGCTCCTATTGGGTTCGTGTTCGTTACCTACTATCTTCACCATGAACGTAACGCGCTACCGGAGTTCTTCTGTCAGTTTCCCCCTCATCTTCATCTGAAGAATATTGCTACCCTGAAGTGTGTCCCGCCCACTTCTGAATTGACCTTGAGAACCCTCAGCAGCATCATGAACGGTCCCTATGGCGATAGCGTTCAACTCCTAATCCACCTATGGGTGATTCGTGCAGATTTGTCCAGAAAACAAAACTTCGTAGCATGTCCGGTCCCCAATCTCACTTTTGCCTCGGAGACTCTTCAAGCTCTTATCCATGACCCAGACCAACAAGCCTTGGTAGAACAGATTCTACCTTCTCTGGTAGATGAAGAAGACATCAACTATGAGATCAAGTACTTTCTGCCTTCCTGGTGATGCCAATCGACATTGGACAAGATGCGAGACCGTCGTCTAGGTCCTTGTGTAATGTCCTCGTATGACTACAATTAATGGTATTTCGTAATGTATGTGTCGTCGCACAGACATACAAAGTGTGTTCCCTCTTTCTGCGAGATGCACAGATTCAGCTACCATGGCTGCACTGTTTTCCGTGCTCCTGAACACCACAGCACGTAAACGCCATGTTCCGTTCTAGACCTATGCATCCACGTATCGGTGGAGACCACCAGGTCCAACAGGCGGTCCGAACGAAAGTATTTTATTGCATTCTGGATGCATATGCCTGTAAAATCGTGAATAGGCATCAGGCCCCGCATATATAGTTGAGTACTAGCCGAGAAGAGCTTAGCAGCAAAAGATGCGCCAGCGACCTAGATGCCGAGTGGACTTGCTGGCGAACATGACAGTTCGAATAACAGGAAGATAAGTGAATGTGTCGTTGGTTCAGAAAGAGATTTAACACTGTGTACACGCTATTACTTGTGGAAACAACAACGCAACTGGCAGCAACAGCACTCACGACAACAAACGGTCGCAATTACTGACTGATAATAATGGTTATCAGGGTTAAGACATAACAATCGATTATTGGTGTGAATCATACAATTTTCTGCAAGGGGCTCCGTCCGTGAACTATAGTACATGTTCCTAGTGACAAATCGATGCATAACAAACCTATAGAAAAACTGATTAAGGTATCAACTGAGCCGAGGCACGTAGAATACCGCGTACACTGGAAAATAAAGATAAAAAAAATAACCAACACGATCCAAATCAGCATACAATAACGAGCAGTCGTCCAAATCGGCACATAGGAAAGAATTTTTGTGACCATACACAGATCTGCCACGTTAAGGTCCATGAACGCATCTTACCTCTCGCATTGTTTGAAAGTCTACTGTCCCCGCTCATCGATCCTTCACTGGTAGATCCTGGTACGCGCCCCGAGGAACCCTTCGACGTCCACATCGAGGAAGCAGAGATCCTCGGTCCTAATCCAGAACATCCAAACGATCCACATCCAACTGTCCACTACACCGTTCCAAAGTCTGTCCCGTCCCAAGATGAGGACGTAAGGAACGTGTGGGAAGTCGTGTCGATGGGCAGTTCCTCGAAACAGAGACCAACGGGCGCTTCGGCAGGGACCAGCCTGTTCAACGCGTTCATACCCGCCATCGCATCTGTCATCAGTCGAAGGGGATCGGTGTTGATGAACGGGCCCGTGCCTATACCAAAACCCTCCAATTTTCTTCCCGGAGGCGGTATAGAGTTGAGACCGTCGTCAAGAGGTCCTGCGTTGGCAGCGGGGTAGAGTTGTTTGGCTTCTGGGGAATAGCGTAAATCGCCGTGTTGGAAGCCTGGCGCGGGGGAAGTCCAAAAGAAGTTGTCCTCGTCCCTGGGAGTGACCTGTGTGGGACCGTCGGATGGGGTAACTCCATTGCTAGACGCAGAAGCGGTGGACCTGTCCATGAACGCTTCGTCAGGAGTGGGATCATTAGCTGGGGTGTCGAAGTTGTATGGCCACGATGAAGGTAAGGGATCGACCGTGGGTTCGTTTTCGCAGGAAGTCCCGTTGGAAACGCTATCTCCGTAAGGTGAAATCTTGCCGTGGTACTTTCTCCGATGGGCGGTGAGAGCGTCCTGGGTACTCCCGCCCCAAATACAATCCGGAGAGTCCTTGCATTTGTACTTTTCGTTCCCAGAGCTGAAAAAGCATGTCACTTGTGTAAAAAGATGAATAGAATAGTGACGCACTGGTGTCTGAGCTTGTGTCCATCAAGATTGCTTTCTTGTAGAAGAACGACCGGGCAATCGGAACAAACAAGATAACTGCCTCAACGATGAGCACGGTTGAAGGGAGAAAATACAAGCTGCTGACTTCTCTGCAGCTTTGGCGTGTATCTTCATGTGCTTGTTGAGGTCTTCGCGTCCAGAGGCCGTCGTGGCGCAGTCCGGGCATTGCCATCGCTGGTTTCCTCGAGCAACAGTGGAAGAGAGTTGGGAGCAAAGGTGCAGGAGGTCTGCAGGGAGCGTTTTCCAGGAGATGTGGGGGAAGAGCATTACGGTAGCAAACTGTACATGCCGGGGTTTTAAAGGCCCTCCAAGACGCCGAATTGGTTGGACGAGGAATCGATTTTTCTACCTTATAAGCCAACTGTTCCGTGAGTGAGAACCAATCCGTAGGAATAGCTATTATGGGATATTGCCGAATTGGTTACGAGATACTTGAGGCTGACAGCGGCCAGAAAGGAACAAGGGCGCGCCGGATGTCGGCCAGGAACGCAGGCAATTCAAGCAATCCGGTATCTTCAAGCATTTTAACCTAGTAAGGTAGGTCCTGACGTGGTCTGGAAGACAGAGCAGAGAGCCGGGGAGAAGCAGTACGCTCCAGCGGGAAAAGCATTTCTTGGACTCCAGGATTCGATTGTACAGCGATCAAACTTGAACACATCTCATATCGTAAAATTTCACAGAAGGTGGAAGTCAAGGCAAGGTAACAAATAGCAGGGAAGAGCACGACCCAGAGCTGCAGCTGCAGCGAATACGATTTGGGAAGGACAAACCAATGGACGATCGGGGAAAGCCGTTTTCGTATGTGTTACATAAGACACGCGTCGCCAAATCAGGCTGATCAAAATTTCTGTCGCCTTCCACCACCGTCAAGCAAGGTGTTCACACAGCTTTCGACACATGGAATCGAAAGGCTGATACTGGAACATGATGCCTGCGTCGCGTCAGGCGACCGATATCACATATTAACGAATAACTCACTGAAGACGAAGTTCCTCAAGCATCCGGGTGAGACTTCCCATAAAGTTCACAGCTCGTAACATCGAATGGGCTTCTAAGGGAAGGAAGTTCTTGAGGTGAGAGAATATAACCAGAGGAAACCTTTTACGGGTGCAGTCGAGGCATCGTTGACAGTCACTAGGCTAGCATGAGCATAAGAAATATAGGAAGCATAGATTATAGAACGTACGAAATGATCAGCACCACATATTACGCTCATGAATATCCACCAATAACGACATCGTCCAAGAAAGACGCGTCATCAGAATCCTTCTGATGTCGTCATGTCCTGGGCGCGGTTCCACTCCATCAGGTAGAGTAAGAGCCAAGACACGCTCCACTGAGCTGACGTCTTATCAACCCCCTTCACCACAGCTTAACTTTTTCTGTGCAATCTGATTGCGAAGCGAAGAAGGAGGGCGTCATGGTTGTCCGAAGGAAGAAGCAATTGTGGCTGTGTCATGACACGTTTCCCACTACTCGACTTGGAACCTCGTTGGCAACATTACTCACTTCGGAATAATTATTTCCTGCCATGGCTGTGATTACTCCATGCACGATAGAGGAGTAGGCCTACATGGATGGATTTCCTTCCGATCACCGCACTGTCCATGTCGACCACGAAAGACGCGCCATATAGAATTTTCGCAGTGCGTACAAGCATGGTGACTCTAGCACCATGACTGGGATGCGATTCCAGCTTTCGCCCGTCAATGTAGTGCACGTGAGAAAAAAAAACGAAAACTGAGTTCATTACAATATCTTAAGACATACTAGAAATTTTGCCTTAAAGCCCCTCATTTTGAACAATAATAGCACACAGATTCCTGCAAGCCAAAAGCTCAAGCGAAGACATGGTTTAACAACAAGAATTTCCAGGCAGCTTTTGAGATATGTCACAACTCGAGGCAGGTTGTATAGCGGCGTAGAAGCGGAGGTTGATACATGCAGTTGACAAGAGCAAGACAGCACCGGCAGTAAAACTCGGCATCGTAGCACTCATTCGCCTGTGGAGAACTGAGCATGGTCAGTAACATACGCGTCCAAGCCGTGCGCGCGAAGCACCTATAAAGCCAGCTTCGTCCTGGTTTCTTACGCATCTGTCATCATCCATGGACACCAACGAATCTTCCACTATTACCCTCACTAAATCCCCCTTTAATAATGCCTCCGAGGCGGATTTAGTCATCCGTACGGCAGACAATGTCGATTTCTTCGTCCTGAAAGCGCTATTGTCACTCAAATCCCCGACATCATTCTTCCGGCACGTATTGGAACCTCATACATCAGAAAGGAGCGATCTTCCAGTCCTCAAAGTCAAGGAGGACAGCGACACATTCAGGATTATGCTTTTCTTCTGCTATCCATATGACACCCCCAACATAGAGACCATCGAGCAGTTCACGGCCGTCGGAGTAGCACTGAAGAAGTATTGCATGGATAATGCTTTCAAGCGATTCGTCAAGGCTGCGATTACTTCGCGCCTGATAGAGGAGCAGCCCCTGCGAGTGTTTTGTTTCGCAGCTGCCAACGGATGGAGGTAACTAGGTGAGGCTACGGCTAGGAACACGCTCGCTACACCTCTGCATCCAGAAGCTGAGCTCGAGGATCTTAAACACATGAACGCCTTGCAGCACTTTCGTCTTCGGGATTATCACAGAAAATGTGGAAAGGTCGCGCAGGTGGGGTTCGATCCTATGCACGGTGCAGGAATGACGTGGTTACAAGGTCAAGCTTCACAGCTATTATTCCTGCAATCCATACCGTCGTGTCGATGGTGTCTCAAGCCAGTGCCATATTTGACTCGATCAGGAGATGGAAACTTTCGTACCCATACCTGGTTGCGTGATTATTTAGACGAGGTGAACACGCAGGCTTCAGAGCGGCGTCGACCAGAAGTTGCGCTGGATGACGACATCGTTTACCGGGCAGTTGTGAAGAGTATCGCGGAATACGGTCACGCTGATTGGACAAAAATCGCCTCCAAGCAAATTCACCGATACGCAAAGTTATTGGCGAAGGAAATCGATAGACGGATATCAGAGATGAGTAATATGACAGCTTTGACGTGCCTCCCTCCTAATGGGTTATCAAAGGTATCCCTGGACGTGGACTGGACGATGTGACAACAGAATAGCGAAAGCACATGAATGTGCCAGACGAACGTTGTCCGACTAGACTGGTTCGAGTCTATTGTCCGACGCTTATTCTAAACCAAACTAGGTCATAATACTATGTCAGGCGTGAACTGTATTTTCCTCCTCATACAATAACAACTCACTGAGATGGCATTCGACGTCATAATCAGTTCTTCTATAAAGATTACTCCGAAGTCGCCCATGTGAAACCTTCAGAAGATAAGTTATACTGTCGAAGAGCCGGATGCAAGGCAACAACTCGTAACATCGAATGAACTTCCGAGCGAGTGAGATCCGGGAACAAAGCCAGAAAAGAACTTTCATGGACGGGGTCCAGGCATCATCAACGTTTACTGAACGAGCGTAAGTATGAGCAACCCAAAGAGCATAGATTATAGAACACACGAAAACCTCAGCACCACATATTACGCTCATGAATATCCACCAATAACCACACCATCCCTATCGGCCACGAAAGACGCGCCACGTAGGAGTTTCTCTGATGTCATGGCCTTCCACTCCACCGGAGCCTAAACAAGTTCCATGAGATAAAGTTAGTACTACAGATTCAAACGTACTAAGATCGCGTCTTATCAGCCTAAGGATACACCACTGCGATAATCTGATTGCGAAACCGGGAAGGAAAGCGTCATGATGGTTCGAAAGGAAGGAACGATTGTGGCTGTGTTGCGTTGTTGGCTCGATCTCTCCCTGCGACACGGCTCATCTACCCAAGAGTCAGAACTACTTTTACTTCGCTTGACAGCACACTGTTATCGATCTTTCGTTGTTCCATTTTCGCCTGTTTGATTCAATTGTATCGCTCGACGTAAACGGAGCCGCGCGGTATACTTACATTTTTTCGGAAGATCGGTACGCATATCCCCTCTCGCTATTACTGGTATGTATCAATCGCCGACCAGGAATAAATGAAAGCGTAACAGACCTTCGTAATTTTTCTTCATCTCGATTGCAGTCGTCCTCAGCGCGGAGGACTCAAGTTCGGCCAATACAGATGATCGCGTCTTGTTTCACAAAAAATGTTGGCTGATCGGGTTTTCTATCCTGGGCATCCTGGACTTTCGGCCGACAATTTATTAACGATCGGACCGGTATCCGGTGGATGCCAGGGTACCACCCACAAAATCCACCTCCTGGTGGGTCAGTTTCATGCATTGTGTGGACCAACACATTTCCCTGGGAGGGGCTAGATAGGAGCCGGGTGCTACACCCCTTGCCTTGTCTTGTCAAAGGGGTGATATGTACCAGACTCGGTTTCTGTAGTAATCGGCGTTACGCGTGAGTGAGTATTCTCGATTGAATGCAGCAAATACGACGAGGAAACAGCGACGGCGATGATCATAAAGTTGGGACAGAACAATTCGGCAGAAGCCGACTCTCATGATACGCGTTCGCGTTATTTGGCAAAGCCGTTAGTACCAAATCGGGCTTCTCCTCTCGGCTACCAAGGCGACCAGCCTGTTACGCCGCGCTACGTTTCCCATCTTTCTCGACTCTGAGTCCACATTCGCATATCAAAATGGAACTAGTATCTCGGCGGTTCGGTGCTCTAATTTCAAAAGCACAATATCCTGCACTTGGCAGCGTGGGCGGGGCGGAAACGATCGTGTGCACAAGCACAGGAAGTTGGGTACCGCTCCACCAGTCTCGTAAGGGCAATAATAGATGATATGTATGTGGAAAGTAATAAAGATCTTCTGAAACTCCAACCCATCCTTCATTTTACCGTATCAAAGTTTAAAGTGACGTGGGAGCGAAAGCCCTGGGGATGTGTTACATATTCAGGACCGGGAAAGAACGACCCTACTCTGAGCTCCATGCTTCGCTGTCCCTGGTTCCTTGGACACAGAGGGTCTCAGGTTGCCGCGCCCATTTCAAGGAAAATACATGCTGGTCTTCGCTTCAATCCCGGGGAGTATGACTCTTAAGAGCTAACTCGAAACTTTCGGAACCCAGATCATGTGCTCCCAATAGAATATACAACGTCTATTGACGTTAGTACGACAGGGTGGAGTACTTCCCGCAAGGCAACGAGAGATGACTATCTTTACTCCCACCCACCGACGACGAAAATTCTGGCGTTGGGTGGCTATTAGGCGATTTTGGAGTCATGTACAAGCGAGGTAACCAAGAATGGTCTCAGAAGTTTGGCCGTAGCTTCATGCGTGGAGCAGAAGAATAGAATTATTCGCGATGTCGCCAACGAGGCTGGCGCTCTCTTCCTCTCCACCTGCACTGCAAAGAAACTGATCCGGGGTTCGAGGATCGAGCGACGTCGGCTACACCGTGACGCCCTCATGCATGGCGGCGAGAAAAAGAACACGCGGTGTGTCAAAGAACGACTCGGATGACGCTTTCCTGACGTAGTTCTTGATTTTAAATCATTACTCGGTTACTTGAAAGTTTTGCCTCAGTTCTGAGGCGGCGTTGAGTCTGTATCACTTCGGACGGCCGAGAACATTGCTACAGCAACCCTCTGCAGGTAGTATCATTTGGAGGAGGCTCAAAGAAAATCACTAAGATCACTTAAAATCCGCTAGTTATGGGGGCATAGCTCAGTTGGGAGAGCGACAGACTGAAGTTGGTTACGCACCAGGTTTTCTGGAGGTCCCCAGTTCAATCCTGGGTGCCCCCATCTTTGCCATGTTTTTACCGTATATACCCATTTGGCACTGACCGTCGGTTTAATCAGATTGGATATCGGGATGCGCGTCTACCCGGAACCAAAGTGACGACGATGACGACGAAAGATTCTCGCCAATTGTAAGCATAGCCACAACGGCGTCTAGAATTATTGACCTTACGGGCGACCTCGGACGACGCAAATATACAGGAGTAGTCATCGAGTCGAGGCAACTGCAACGGCGTACTGGCTCAAACAAGTTTAGACAGAGGATCCAGATTTGCGAGGTCAACTACGAATTCGGAAAATACATGGAGATGTATGTGCCAGGAGCTTACGAGTGAACGTGCGTAAAACTGATTTCCAGACTATTATTGTGCATCCGAGGTAGGAATAGGGGGGGAATGTTATTCGTCGGTTAGTCCAGGAACTTGGTATGAGAGACAGATGTGCCAGGATGCGCTATGTGATTGTCCCATGACTCGTATAACGATAACAGTTCAAACTCAGTGATTCAGATTCATGCGTTGACTATTTGGAATATGTCAAGTGAACAGTGTACTATCTATTCTTGTCGAAAGTCTAAGCGTCGGGAGGGCTACGGTGGATTGGATAGAAAGAGTTCTGTTCGACTGTTCGAGATGGATTGAAGTTCGTTGGTTCCTGTGCTGTTCTCAGGGGTATTGTTAGAACAACTGATGGTCGACTGAACCTGATTGGACATCCTGATATGTACGCGCTATAAGGGGATGTCGTATAGAGAGGCGTGGTACTGGATAGACATAGTTTTTTCCTGCTTTGAATAGAGGATGTGCGTCGTTAATACGAACCCGACTCGAAATGTATAAGCTGAAGGGAGTCTCACGCGAAGCCCGAGGCTGTGAGTGCGAGCCAGTCAATGGGGCGTGATATCAGCGCAACGGAAAACATACTGCATGCGAGAAGAAGACATACGACTGTAGTGTGGCTATACGTAAAAGTTCCAGGGTCGTCAACCAGCTGAGTTACGAGTTGGCAGCTTCGACGTATGAGAAATGGCTTGGTACTCTCACCCTCGATGGTATGTTTTATGTGGATAATACAGAAAATTGACCAACGATCTCTATTAATGATTGATAGTAGGGGGGGACAATTGCTGTGGAGGAACTGCAAACATCAAGTAAGAGAGAAAGGCATAGCGCGAACCCGGGGTTGGAAAAGGCGAGTAGAAGGATCACCCAGGAATATCAAGCGTCGAAAGGAGTTGATTGCGGTTCTGAAAAAGAAATATGATTTAACAATCGGGTTAACTACGTTGAGCGAACGTGTCGCGACGGTAGAATGGAGGCGCGTTGGCGGATTTTTTGACATATATATAAAGTTGAACGGTGTTGAAGGACATGTCCGACAGGCGCAGAGGGAGAACCGTTGTAGTTCTGCGCCGAAGATTCGGATAGCGGCTACTTATAGCCAGAGACCGAGACAATTTGAGTAGATGGAGACTTTTGAGACAACTGGGCTGTAAAGTGCCCGGGAAATGTTACGCGACGTGATTGTGGCGACGCCAGAGCCTACTGGTTGCAGGACTCATGAACAGAATTTTAACGGCAGAGCTGTGAGTGGAAAGATGTACGCAAAACTGCTGTAGTAATCCGATCAGATAAGAAGGCGCAGAATGTCCATATGGGGATGAAGATCTAGGCGTGGCTGAAAATTTTGATTGCTGTGCCGAAATCCGACCAATGAGATCGAAGAATGGCGATAGATAAGACATGAGATTTAATCGGGCGACCTAAAAAAGGATCGGAGATTCCAAAGTGGAGCCTTGAAAAGAAAAGCGACTGAATCAGAAAAATGCTGGTTCGTCGATAACCACCATCATCTCTCCCGTCGTCGGCCGTATGCCCTACTCGCTGCCTACCCCCAGCACAGGCCGTCCTACTCACCGTCGTTCGTATACACATTCTCCAGGCGCCTTTGCTTCGCTCGGCTCGTTGCCACGGATTACCCACCACCGCCCTGTCTTCCACATACAAAACGACTGTTCCTCTGACGACGATGAACAAGGTCTGCTCAGCCCCGGCCACAAGGCAAAGCCATTACGGGTCGATACACACTTAGGCGTACCATTCCCACGAAGTTCGCCTTCGCCGCGAAGTCCTAGCCCGGAGGTTCCCAGCAGGCCTTCACTGCCGCAGCGAACCAACTCAACGCCCATTTTGCTCTCCAATGGCCGGCCTCTCAAATCGTCCCTTAAAGGGTCACCACGTTCGTCATCTGTTCCCGATATGCCCTCATTATCTATCCAACATACCCGTGCTCGGTCTGCCCCCTCTACGCCTGCTATTTCTCACCACGAACATCATTGCCACAAAAATGTTCACTTTCCTACCCACCAGCTCGAAACAGTTCGTGTTTTCAACAGGTCTGCGAAACCCGCTTCGCTGCTTCGAACTATTCCCGCTTCGGACGCAGAGACCGAAACTGAGACGGAGGTTGAAGGTTCTTGTATCACACAGACTCGATTTCCCTTTCCTTCGGTTATCCCCTCGTACTCTCTTTCTCCATTTACCGACCCTGTACCAAGCCCTGCAGTGCCGAGGGAAGGTGCTAATGTAATACTCGAGTCCTTGACTCTTCCCCCATCAACCCTAGCCCTGAAGGGTACCCTCCTCGTACGCAATATATCATACGAGAAGCTGGTCTACGTCAGGTTCACGCTCGATGACTGGCAGACGACGTCTGAAGTAGCTGCTCGGTATCAAACGTCGTTGCCTTCGTTACCTGTTTTGTTCAAGAAGAACTTGACCGTAGGTGATGTCGCTGCAGGCGTTGCTACAGGAGGACAAGGCGCTTGGGACCGCTTTGAATATACAATCAAATTGGAAGACTACGCTTCGACTCTTATTGATCGCACCATCTTTCTGGTTGTACGATATTCCGCAGGTGGAGGTGAATGGTGGGACAATAACGCTGGGAAAAACTATCGTGTGGCCTTCATTCGAAGTCCTGACCGTAAGTTCCTATTATGCATTCCGTTCCCACTTGTTCACTCACTTAGCTAAAGAAGCGTCACCTGCAACGGTCGAGAAATCCCGTGCCCCTGTATCTCTGACAAAAGCTGCTTCCGAGAGCTCGGTCCCGTTCCCAACGATTGCTCCTTCCTCACCCACAAGTCCACCGACTTCTACTTCCTCGCCACCCACCCTATCACCTTCGTCATCGACCCCTGCACTGCCTCCTCCGCAACATAACCGTGCGCAGTCAGAGGCTACGCTTCAGCACCGTCTGAAGGGCTTCAAATTGGCTAACTATGCCAAGCCTAACGCTGTGCCTGCTCAACTGAGTCCTACCGCAGAGAAAGCAGAGGGTGCTGGCGTGTTCTGGTTTTGGGGCTCTTCCAAGTCGCAAACGGGTACAGGTTCCCCTGTACATTCGGACGGCGATGGAGACGTCACTCCTGCTCTGTCGAGAGGCAGCAACTCTCCGTTGGACTCACCTATCGAGGAGCGAGCGAATTTATTGGAGGAGCCACCCGTGTATGTTGAGCCTGCGAGCCTCCCGATTCCCTTCTCGATGCTCAATTCGGACGCTATCGAGCCTGAACGCCATTCGAAATCCCCATCTCCATCTCCGCTTCCGCTGGCTCACTCCCCATCTCCCCCTCCTACTACCCCAACACCCACATCTACGCCCACTCCGCGAGTGGGGAAAAAATCCCTTAGTCCTCCATCCTCGTCCGAGGATCTTTATAAAGCCTTTGTGAAGCAATGGTGCTTCGTCGGCGCTGGAGGAGGAAGCGAAACCATGATAGGCGCCTAGACGATGAACGCCATGCCATCTACATTAAACGACCCGCTCGCCATACGACGGCTCTCTCATATATCAGTTATCTTTATTCATCTTCCCACTCGCGCTGGTTTGTACTACCAATCTCAACTTTTTTCGCTAGACATTTTGTACCATTAACAGCAACACAGCGTGGATGGACGGTTTTTGTTTTCCTCATTTATGTACTAACGATTTTGTACTTCCACTTACTCACTCACATACCCCCCTCACATACACGAAAAGCATGTATAGTACGGACGCTACATACGTGCACCCCCCCTCGGTTTATCATCGTTGCATATTATCATTACTTACTTTGGGTTGAAACATGAATAGAATGGTTACGGTATCGGATGAGATTTTCACAGGTGGAACGGTGCCTAGTGTGCGCTCGGTGCCGTCTAGGCCCAGCCTGGTTTCTATGCCAGTCCCGACGATCTACGAGTGGGTTAGTTGGTTGGCAATAACTCTCTTCTGCTCCTGTCATTTTGGATCGGCGAGAATGTTTGGACTCGGGTATCATCCGTGAACCAAGGATCCCACGAAGCCCATATTGACCAGGTTATCGGTCTGTTTCCCGAATCGGCTGAAAGACAGACGTCATCGATTGCGTCTTGTTTTCTCAGACTGATACTAATAGCTTGCTCTACAGTCAGCGTTGTGAATCGTGAAGCCCGTTTCCACCGGGGAAACCGTCTTTTTTTTCTTGCCTGGCCATGATCTTGGAAGCTGGAACGGAGAATGCGAAACGTTCAATCCCGCTTAGGAAGCACTGCCCGAGATCACAAATCACAAATCACAAATCACGAAAAAGTGAGATGAAATCACGAACGTTTGACAGTGATACACTTTTCATTTTATATGGCCGGTGATTAGATACAGCCCAACTAACTCAAACGGTGCCGTTATAGTTGCGAGACTCGTACCGACTCTCCGAATCCGAGTGCTTGACAAGGACAAGCATATGCCAATGGGAAAAGGAAAAGATCGAGTGTGCTGTCAGAACGCGGATGAACTTCCTACACGTGTTGTCGTGGTTTCTTTACATAGGCGCCGCAGATAAGGAAGAAGAGGAAGACGCAGTTCGGAAATTTTCAGGAATGTCCAAAGGCCGGGTAAGTTGGGTAGCTGGCTTTACCGGAAAGGCAGGAGAAATGAACTTGGTGAATGGCGTCACGGTTTTGGGTGCACTTCATAGCCAGCGACACAGCCACCGATTGCTCCTTCTTTTCGAACAGTCATGTGGCTCGTCCTTCCTGGTTTCGCTAATCCCGGTGGCGGTGGAAGAGGTTGATAAGACGTCAGTTAAGTGGAGCTTTTACATGTACTCTTCCTGGTGGTGCGGAACGGTGACATCGGAGGGACTCCTACGTGGCGCGTTGATGTCGTTATTGGTGGTGCTAATTTCGTGCGTTTTGTTATCTATGCTTCCCGCGTTGTTTGTACTTACACCATACTCAATGGGATAGGAATACGGTACGGTACTATGGTGTGACCTCGACCGTGTCTATTTGGAATAATAGAGTTCTTGAGGCGCCCTGGAGACTAGAAGGGACGGTTGCATTCAGTATACTAGGACTACTAGTACTTCCGGTGTGATATCTGGCTTGTCCAATTGCATTCATTCCGTTAATACCTCGATTTCAGGTTGACGCTTGACAGGTTGGCAAGGGTGTTCATTCCTCGGCGGATCATCGATAAAATGTTAAACGCGATATTTGACGAAAAAGTACAACAGATTCAATCATCGATGCCATAACCCAATTCTTGTCCCGGCCGTTCAAAGCGACCCTTCGACTCCTCAACTCTTCTGTTACTTCGTCCAGTCAATGTTCAACGGTACCTATGGCGGGTTGAGATCAGACGTTGTGCAGGCGTGGCCTTGCTTACCTGCGAAATCTTTCTGTCGATTTCCTCCATTAATAGTTTCCCGAGTTGGCGAACCTGGCTGGCAGCAATCTTCCTCCATTCTTCACAAGGGCACTGGGAGGTACTCGTCATGACTGCTTTGGCGATGATCATGTCATCCAAGGCGGTTTCTGGGTGAGGTCGTTATCGCAGTTCAGCCTTAACTGCGGCAAGATAATCTTCGACCCAAGAATGTACGATCCATTCTGGTGGTGAGAGCCACACATTCGAAGATGTCCTATCACACCACCGACATTTCCTATTTTCGAGGAACTGCAGCTCCGATTCTTTACCTTCCAGCCAGGGTGCTGCGCTCGAAGATGATAACACGTCCTGTGCGGCTTGTCTACACTTCCTGTGATAATTCCGAAGACGGACGTATTGCATGGCATTGATGTAATTCAGGTCCTCAAGCTCTGCTTCTGGATCACTAAGGGGACTGGCAAGTGTGCTCTTTGCCGCAACCTCACCCAATACCTTCCATCCATTAACAACTGCAAGAGCAAAGATCTGCAGCGCCTGTGCTTTCATTACAGGTGATGCGGTCACCGTTTGGATGAACTGCTCCATTGCATGATCCATACAGTATTTGTCCAGCGCCTTCTTCACGCCCACGATCTGATCAATGCTCTTGATCTGGGGAGCGACATTTGGGTAACAGAAGAGAAGGATAGTCCGGAATGTGTCACTGTCCTCCTCGACTTGGAGGACAGGAAAGCCATCCTTTTCATCCGTATGCTGGCTGTTCTTCAGAACATGACGAAAGAACGATGATGGGGATTTTAGCGATAGTAGTCCGCTGAGGACGAAGAAGTCGACATTATCGGACGTACGGATCACTAGATCAACGCAATCAGTGGGATCGTTGAAGGGGGAATCGGCGGTGGTTGTCGTAGGCTTAGTGGTCATTGATAGCAGAGACATGGGAAGATTAGGCAATCAAGGGTAGAACATTCATTACGTTTGTGTCACCTCGTGGTGGCTGGGGCGCTTAGGCTTTCGGCGTTTATCAGTAGACAAGTGAATCAGTACTTCGATTAAGGCATTGCTAACTCTTGCGTACTTCTCTGTATATATTTGCCGACCTTGGCTCTAGCGAACGCTTGGGAATGTACTACCTTCTAAGCCGAAGCAAACATTCCTTCACTGCCAAATGCCCGGTACGTCTTACAGTTAACGCGTACTTTAGTTGGTCGTTCTTATTTCGGTTTATACTAATATGAAAAAAATTGTTAGAAAACGTATATTTTTCTGCAACTAACTTATGGTAAGCCTGCGCGTCTTTTCACCAGTCACTTGCAAAACTTTGCCATATCTTGTCTACCTTTGGCTGAAAACAATGGTGTTGCTCGGATAGGAAAATCTATACTTGAATGCGTCAATAGAGATTCCAAGGCGAGAGAATCAATAGATAGAAAGCGCGCCGACAGATATCTTTGATAAATGGGTAAGGCCCATGCGGAAACTGGTATCGACGCGACGCGTGTCTTATGTAATACATTTCATCGGCTTTCGCCGATCATCGTTGGTTTGTCTTTCCCAAATCGTACTTCCTCGCTGCTCTGCTCTCGTTCTCCTTCCGTACTTGCTGCTGCTGCTAGCTTTTTGCTGAGGGGAATATCTACTGTGTGACAGGCTCTCAACACCGATGCATACACAAATCAATCTTCTCCTTGATCAAACACGGGTATTGGCACTTACTTGCAGCAGGGTACGGCTTGCACTGAGCTCTCCTGTGTCTATTGGATCATGTCAGGACCTGCCTTACTGGGAAAAAATTACCTGAAGACACCGGATTGCTTGAACTGCCAGTGTCTGGCCTACATCCGATGCACCCTTGTTCCTTTCTCAGCCTCGCGTGTACCGTAACCAATTCGGCGACATCCCATAATGGCTATTCCTATGGATTGGTTAGCAATTGCTGTGGATTGGCTGCACCCCTATGCGAATTGGCCGCCACTCAGTGTAAAATTAGCTTATAAGGAAGGGAAAAAATCTGCATTTTCCAACCAATTCAGCCCCTTGGGGACCTTTAAAAGCCCGGCATGCTCAGCTTTCTACCTCACTGCTACTCCCCCACCTTTCTCAGGGAACCTTCCTACTCATCATCTCCTCCCTTGCCTTCAATTGCCCTTTGCCATGGTTCGAGGAAACAAACAAATTCAATGCCCGGACTGCACCACCATGGTTTCTCACCAGAAGGACCTCAAAAGGCACATGATACTACACGCCAAATTGCAACGGTAAGGGAATATTACTCTCTAATCTCATCTGTATTCATCGCGTCGGACAGCTGGTATGCTTGCCCCGACTGCCCAGTGAGGCTTCTCCAAAAGAGCAATCTTGAGACCCACAGGGCCAAACATCAGTGCGTGCACTCTTTTTTTCGAACTCTATAGAATTTACACGCTCCTCCAGCACCGGTAACGAAAAGTACAAGTGCACCGATTCCCGCAACTGTACTTGGGGCGGCATCAGCCAAGGCGTCCTCACCAAACACCGACGAAAGTACCACGGCAACGTGCCACCTTCCGGAGATATCGTGCAGCCCATCCCTGACGGCAGTTCCTACGAAAGGGAAACCACCGCCGAGTCCTCGGGTTCCTCTTCATCGTACGATTTCGAGGCTCCAACCGGTGGTGGCCTCAACCCTGGCGAAACGTTCATGGACCGATTCATCGCTTCCTCTTTTCCCAACGAAGGCGCTGGATTTAACCGACCCATGACCCCGCAGGCACCGGAAACCGAGAGGAATATTCTCTGGACCTCGCCCACGACGGGCTTTCAGCATGGTAATGTGTGCTATTCACCGGAGGCCAAACAGCTCTACCCTGCCGCAAGTACAGGTTCCCTTCTCGACGATGGTCTCGACTTTATTCCGTTCTTGGAAGGACATCCGACGCCAGGCGACGATGGTTTAATCGATGCGGTCCCCTACCCTGATGCTGGTAACGCGGGTTCCCTTGGATCGACGCCGGACGCAATGGGAAATACGATCACGTTCAACGCACCTGCTCCAGCCCATGCACCTTTCGGATATCAGTACACTCTTCCGCCCATCAACCCGGCTCCTCCCCGGCTATATGTTCCTGCAATGATGTACCCTGGGTCCCATCAGCCATCATCTTCGGACGTGTCGAACATTGGAATGTCGCAACAGGATATAGTATATGGATCGATTCACACCTATGGACAAGGACCACCGATCCCGGATGCCTCAACGAGGACGTCATCGAATGGTTACTCTGAGTACGTGCCAGGACCTTCGAGGAGCAGGATGTACTACGTCGATGACCAGGGACAGTATCGATACGGTTGACCTAACGCGGAGAGGAATGTGGAACGCTTTTCGGACCCTACTGTGAATGACTTTTTTTGTTATGGAAGCGGAAACGCTTCCTTTGTTCCGTTTTGGACGATTTCCTGTGCATGCTCGTTTGTTTCGTGTTTCATGTTTTCCCTTCCCTAGGATTTGTTCAGGATCACTGTATGCTAGGTAGGTCCTTCCTCTGTTAATTATTCCAGGCATATATACGCGTCGTTAAATGAATTATTCAACCACGAAGTCAAAGGTTCATACGGTGGATTACGGCAGCAGTGAATTGTGACATGTGAAAGAACCCGATGATTTCTTCTCAGGCATTCCATGCTGTCCAGTTGGGTATGTCAGCTAAATTGTTCGTTCGCAGGCAGCTATCCATCGCAGAGTAACGAGGGATCTCTTCCTGTTCCCTCGTGGAAGCAAGCGTGTGGCCATTGAGGGCCGGCCTGTCAAGCGCGGTGGAAGTAGCCGGCTCAGCAACCGTCAGCGATTATTTTTATTCTTTCACACCATCTCCTCTCTGACTCTGGGCGACCGGACAGTCAAACACGACGAAGCGAAACGGATGGCGGCTATGAGGAGCACTAAACTATGCCGTAAACCCAATATTCTCGAGCCCGGTACTAGAAAGGTAATGGCACCGCATAGCTCCAGTAAACAGTTCTTGCTATTGGTAGCTATCGGATTATGCCTTCGGCAAGGGTGCTTGCGTTCTATCATTATCTTGCAATGAGTGTCCCTCAGATCGTCGACGGGCTCAGGCAACGTTCCCGGACCTACTAATGACTGCGATCAGGCAGACGACCTTGAACACTGCTTTCGACGATGTAAGTACCTGCTACTCAATCAACATCTGACCGACGGAAACTTTGCGTGAAACACAATCAACCATCCAGAACTCAGGATTGGTGTTTTTTAAGACTTTTTGGCTCACGACGCATGAAAGATCAAGCTGAAGGGCGATATATGATGGCTGGGAGGCGTTTTGTTCTGCGATATCATCATCATGTCATCTGTAGCTATCCCTCGTCTGGATAAGAATGCGCTGATAGGAATTTGGATTGAGACTAGTCTATGGGGTGCGTTTTATTATCGTTTTCAACTTTGGCGGACTGAAGTTATTATAAATGTGCGTTTAGGCATGAAGTGAGTTTCTCCTTGAATATGGAAGCAGATCAGACTCAATAGTACGAGTAGTTGGATTGTTTTTGTTGCTGCAATGTTCGTTCTCTACAAAAGGCACGAATCTCCTAGGCGCGTCCACTATCACTTCGGGTTCGATGTTGCGGATGTGATTGCTTATTTACATGATTAATGTAGGCTACTGGCCGCGACCTCGATAATCCTCTTCTTGCTGGGATCAATTCATATCGCTTTGTCCTTAAGACAACTTCTGGAAGCCTTCATTAACGTTCCGGCAACCTCATCGAGACTTTATTCCATCATCTATTGGGCGAATTTGTCCACCGGACTCAGCGTTGCAAAGATTAGCGTGTATGCTACGGCTGTGAGCTGGCCTGGTTTTCTCCATGAGCCTAAGGCTGAGGATTCTTGCAGGTCTTTGTTCAATACTTTGTTATGGTGCGTCTGATTCGCTTGGAACATCGAAATCTCGCTGAATATGGGCAGATATGGAGACTTTATGTGGTCTGGGATTATAATTGGAAAGTCACAATCCTGCCTGTACGTTGTCCTTAACCCTACCTTTCGTCAACCCGCTTTCTATCGTGTTTTATTTATAGCTATTCCTTGAGATATGTCAAATGGGTTAGTTTTTCTCGTCCATCATGTCGATCAGCTCGCAGATAGATCATCTTAGGAACGGCATACACGGCAGCCGTGCTCGCAGCTAAAGATCTGGTGTCACAAGTCACGTTTGGACCGGTTCCGTGGAGCATTGAGCTTGCCCTTAATTTCATTGTCACTGCAGGAATCGCCGGACGATTGTGGTGGATGGGTAGACAAGTCAATGCGTTGGGAGAACGCAACAAGTACCTTTCAGCCCTATTGGTGGTCGTCGAGTCCGGAGCCATTTTTGCTGCTGTAACGCTAGTAATGCTTATTCTCTTGGTTAAGAAGAGCCAGCTATCCATCAATGGGACCGACATATCAACACAGTTGGCGGTACATCTTACTTTTTTTCTGAGTAGTTTATTCTGATGATATCTGGCAGGTTTTGACACCCCTCCTCATTATTGCTCGCGTCGGGATGACAATGATCCCGAGGGTACCAGCGTCAACCCTCTCTTTTGCGTATCCGGCGCCTGCAAGTCATGCAGCAAATATTGAGCTGGCCACAAATGGCCTTGCCAATAGTGTCGCCATTTCTAGAGCAGAGATCATCGACATATCCGAATCCGGGCCATTTGATATGAAAAGAAATAGCAAGTGAATTATGGATACCGTCCTTCTTGTTCTGGCGTTCTGTATTGTTTAATTGTAATGCTTTATGTGAATATATTTTTTGCCATCTCGACGAGTGCTGTTTCCTTGATCAAATCAAACTTCAAATTTGGGCCAGAGCGTGGGAACGAACATTTGTACCGCACATCCGACCGAACATCTGTTTATCCACTACGTTCACTGTGGCTTTTTAGATCTTGGTCGTGACTGGTCGTGCTCTCATTTCGCCTTATTCTATTTAACGGGTGTAATCTGGTTGTACAGAGGCGTCAGTTACAAGGCTAGACTTGAGCAGTTTACTCGTCGCACGATCTTCCAAGTATCAATTAGAACCGCTATCGCAAGGAACAAGTTCCGGTGTCCCTTTGTCACTTCACCTAGGAACGTGTTCTTAGGATGGAGCGCTTCGCTATTTTTCTATACGATCGCCAGCCCAGACCAGTCATATTTCCGTGATTCTCCGCATCCGGAACCATTCCGCACTTGAAGCTTGCTTTCTTATGTTACAGCCCAGGCTTTCTGTGAGTTCTTCCCTTATACTAGAGCCTGGACTGACGTTCATCCTCTTGTAATTGTTCATGTTGTACCGTTTATCTCAGTGACTGACCTCAAGCCTCTCGTGTGGACGAGACCCACCTAGCGCTTTACACCGTGTGTCTATGCTCCCGTCCTTCACACCAACACCCTATCAGCGAGAAAACGAGAATCTTGCTTTATTTCTGACTGCACCCCGGGGAACTGCTTCTCTATCGCGAGTAACTCTCCTGTCGTTGATATTGTAAGCGCCAGCAATGTACCCATAATCCTGATGAAACATCTGCAATGGCTGACTGTCTGTGTATCTCTGATATACACCAAGTAAAACACCATTCCTCTGCGGTTGTCACTGATCACAACATCTCATACGTCTTCGATTCTGAGAATGCCAAGGACGTTCTTCCGAGCTGGAGGTGTTCGCCTTCATCAAGTCCCCACAGTCAGAATTAGACCATCGCACGCCCACACGCACTACTTATGTTATGGTATAAATATAGGCTCGGAGGCGAGCCTGCATCTCCCGTTGCATGTGGAGCTACAGTCAACAACGGTATTGTAGCTTCCGGCACTTCCCGTGTGCCCACATTTCGGCGAAGCAAGCTATCCACTACTGTCTCGAGTTCTTGCAACAATTCTCCTCCATCACTTCAACTTGAAGTCGTCTCCGATGCCCTCCGATATCTCATGGACACCAGCTGTCTAGATTATCTCCAAGCATTGTCCTCCTGATACGCCGCCAAATGGATCAATTGCTACTAAGGGCCTCTCGGTTATGAAGATTGTTGCGACATAAGTCACCGGATCGCTTCGTAACTCCTTTTGATCTGAGGAGCACAACCTTGTTACGACATAACAGCTTGAATTAAAATCCGGTATCTTTCAGTCTCCTTTCTCTACAACCACTATATCCACTGATACGATGCTCCTTGTGTTGCCCGTCGAGCTTATCGAGGATGTCATGACACAAGTATGTGGCTATATCTCGCACGTCCCTAGAGATGTCTCTGAAATATTCATATCTCAGCTCGATAGCCGCACTGACCTCATACACTTTGGAATGACTTGCAAGCAGGCTCATCTGATCTGCAGACCACATATCTTTGCCTGTCTGAAAATTCGGATTAGGCATGATTATCGGAATGACAACAGCATATCTCTTCTTAAGAGTCTTACTCGAGGGGAGACAGACCTAGCGAAACTCGTTCGCGAACTATCCATCTTAACAATACTTCCACGTTACTCCCGCTGTTCAGGATCAGCAGACATGTATCACAAGATGACTCGCACGAAAGCGCGTGCCTTGAGAACATCAGTCAAGGCTATTCGTAATGTAATCCCCCAATTCGTGATCTTAGAGCATCTCCAGTCAGTGTGCCTCATGGCTAGATATTCTGATACTCATTTCTTTCAGCTGCGACTTGGACCCCTCAGGCGGTTTCAAGGCCGCTGACGTCGACGCCGTCATTCGAGCTCTGGCGGTCCTTCCCCGCCTTGTCAGCTTAAGCCTCAATTTTGGTTACGGCCCGTTTCTCTTAGTTCCCCCATATCTCATCAGATCCTCGCTGTCGCACTTTAAGAACCTTCACTCCGTAAAGATATGGGGCGAGGCCTATTCCTACGAGAGCGTCATCGGGCCATTAGTTGTCAACAATCCTAATCTCATACACCTCGCTATCTTTGGTAGAAGTTCCGCTCTTGTCACGACCTTTTGCAAGATTCAGAAATATTATAAACTTCGGCACCTCTCTATTACGGATCTCTCTATTGGATGCTCCATCGACGCTACCGTCCCAAATTTGGTTCCCTACCTTCGCCATCTTCGCGTCACACCCACCAGTGACTCCTCCTTCATTCCCACTGAATTCTGGACAGCTCTTACACAAAGGGGCATTCTACTGGCTACCTTACTTGTTCACAACGCGACGGAAGCGCTCATGGAATACCTCGAGTCGTACTCCGGATTGGAGGTTCTCTCGTTGTTCCCAGAGGGTGATGCGCAGGCAGACGCTTTTTATGGACGTGTTCTTCAACAGCATGTCCGCACTCTGAGAAAAGTTTCTATTGAGATAACGTCGAGAGGGAAATGGTGTATTGGTCCGCTTGCCCTCGACACACTGTCCCGTTGCACGAAGCTGGTCGAATTAAATATGCCCATTTATATGCACCACGAAGTTGGTGTCGTGTACAATCCACAACATTCCGCGGTGAGCAGATTAACCGAAGCTTCTATCTCCACTGATTTCTCATGCCAAGCGCAGCTGGACCTCCAGCAGTTTCTGGTACTCCTTCCCAACTTGCGACAACTATATATGCGGGGCCCGAAGCCTGTTCACGAGTTTACAAGTATGTGCATCCAGAGCGCAATAAACTACTTTCGTTCGGACAGCCCGTTGGACCTGGTAGTCTCCACCGATACGTGGATGTATAGGTCCAAAACAGAATACGGTGTTAACGTGCTGCGATGCGTAGGAGCATGGAAAGCAGTGCAGTTGCCTTGGGAGTCATGGTAGCTGAGTCTGTACATCTCGTATCTCCATTCGGAGGGAAGAAAAATTACGAAGGTTTGATACGCCTTCCAGGCCGAGATTTAGTACGCTTTCATTTTTTCGTACTACCAGTAGCGAAAGGGGATATACTTCCGAGAAAATGTAAGTATACCGTGCGGCTCCGTTTACATCTAACGATACAATTAAATCAGACAGGTGAAAATGGAACAGGCTGAAAGATCGATAACGGCGTGCTTTCAAACAAAGTAAAAGTAGTTCCAGTTCGTGTGGTAGATGAGGCGCGTCGCAGGGAGAGATCGAGCCAACAACGCAACACAGCCACAATTGTGCCTTCCTTTCGAACCGTCATGACGCTTTCCTTCCCGGTTTCGCAATCAGATTATCGCAGCGGTATATCCTTAGGCTGATAAGACGCGATCTTAGTACGTTTGAATCTATAGCACTAACTTTATCTCATGGAACGTGTTTAGGCTCCGGTGGAGTGAAAGGCCATGACATCAGAGAGACTCCTACGTGGCGAGCCTTTCGTGGCCGATATGGACGGTGTGGCTATTGGTGGATATTCATGAGCGTAATATGTAGTGCTGAGGTTTCGTGCGTTCTATAATCTATGCTCTTCGGCTTGCTCATACTTACGCTCGTGTAGTGAATGTTGATCATGCCTCGACCGCGTCCATGAATGTTCTTTTCTGGCATTGTTCTAGTAGCTGGGGAACTTCCCTCGCTCAGAAGTTCATTCGATGTTACGAGTTGTTGACTTGCATCTTGCTCTTCGGCGGTACGATGCGCTTATCTTCTGAAAGTTCCACATGGGCGACTACGAAGAAGTTATCTTTATAGAAGAGCGGATGACGACGTCAAATGTCATCTCAGTGAGTTGTTATTGTATGAAGGGGGAAATACATCTCATGCCTGACGTATCATTATACCCTAGTTTGATCTAGAATAAATGTGGAAAACGTTCATTTGGCACGTCCATGTGCTTTCACTATTCTGTTGTCGCTTTGTCCAGTCCACGTTCAGGGATACCTTTGGGAGGAGCGTTAAAGATGTCATATTGGACGAGAGGAAAGCGATCGAACCGACGACGCAGCCACAACTTCTCCTTCGAACAACCGTGGCGCTTTCCTTCTTGGCTTCGCAATCAGATCACACAGGAAAAGTCAATTGCGGTGGAGAAAGAGGTTGATAAGACGTCAGCGCAGTGGAGCGTGTTTAGACTCTTACTCTACCTGATGGAGCGGAACCGTGCCCAGGACATGACATCAGAAGGATTCTTACATGACGCGTCTTACTTGGACGATGTCGTTATTGATGGTTCTTCATTACACAGTGTTCTTCATTTCGTACGTCCATCATTCACGCGTCCCATGTTTGTCATGCTCACGCCTGCCCAGTGAATGTCAATCATGCCTCGACAGTGCCCATGAAAGTTCCCTTCTAGATTTGTTCTCCTATCTCAAGAATATCATTTGCTTGGAAGTCCATTCGATATTATGGATTGTAAACTTTCTGGGAGGTTTCGTGCGGACACTTGAGAGAGGTTTTGTTTTTTGTGAGTAATTTTTTAATATGTAATATCGGATGCCTAATGTGACGCAAGCACCATGCCCTAGTGTCGGCTTTGTGTATATACGTATCGCAAAACATTCCTTCAGCTACAGCCGTCCCTTCGTCACTTTTTCCAATCAATGTTCAGAGGTACCTATGGCAATCGTTAAGAGGATTCGTACTCGGATGCCAACTATCACACCTGCGAAATCAACCTATCGATCTCCTCCGCCACCAGCGTTGCAAATCGATGGATCTGGGTACCGGCAATTTTGGTCCAATCTGCATGGCCACACGCGGAGATGCTCTTTGCGGCCGCTTGAGCAATGATATCTTCACTTCGAGCGATTTCTGGGAAAGGCCGCCCCAGGACTTCCGCCATCAGAGCGACACGATAATCGGATAACCAATCATGCACGTAAAAAATGCTCTCTCCTACCCTGCATCGCCCATAGTATATGGAACGGCCACACCATCGACACTTCGTGGTGTCATGCAAGAAGAGGACTTTAGATACTTCCTCTTTCAGCCACGGCATGCATATATCTGTCTCCACCGACATAACGTCCTGAGCAGCCTTTCCACACCTCTTGTGATAATCTCGGAGACGAACGTATTGGAGTGCATCAATGCATCTCAGGTCCTCCAGTTCAACTTCCAAGTCAAGAGACACGTGAAGCGTGTTCTTAGCTGCTACCTCGCCTAATTCCTTCCATCCATTAGCAACTGCGTGAGCAAAAACCCGCAGTGCTTGCTCTCTTATCAGAGGCGAGGCAATCACGACTTTAACGAAACGCTCCCATGCATGATCCATGCAGTATTTGGTCAACGCTTTCCCTACCACCACAAACTGCTCGACGGTCTTGATCTCAGGGGAGGAGTATGGGTAGCAGAGCAGGAGGATCATCCGAAACGTTTCACTATCTTCCTTGACATCTAGGATGGGAAAGCCATCTCTTTCTTCCGTGTGTTGGTTGGCTTGCAGAACGTGACGAAAGAAGGATGATGGGGATCTCAGCGATAGCAGTCCGCTGAGGACGAAGTAGTCAACGTTGTCGGCTGTGCGGATCACCAGATCAATGCTATCGGTGGGATCGTCGAAGGGGGCGTCGGCGATTATGTTACGTGGCTTGGTGGTTTCCATTGGTGGTAGTAGATGGGTATGAGGATAAGAGAAGGGGGATCAGGTTGTATGCTTCTTGTGGTGCCTCGTGGCTGGCGCGTTGTATGCCTTCGGGCCGTTAATAGGCAAGGAAATAAGCGCTGAGAGTATGTCGCTGCAGAATCTCGTTTGCATCTGGGAGTTTTAGCATTGGGAATATATGTGCCTCGCTACTTAGCGAAACAAATACAGCTCCCTCAGTATCCATCGATGATAGCAGATGGGTAAACAGTTTGGACATGTATATTACTAGCCGCGTTGGGTTCTCAGCCTATGAATGTGACATGGCCGAGTTTTACCGCATGCGCGGTCTGATGTTGTCAATGGCATATCTCTTTTCCCACCTGGTAATTTTAACATTGAGGAATGGTCTCAGGACACGCTTGAGAATATTCAACTTTGCTGCCTTCACGAAGCGAAACGAATACGGCATTCACAAAAAGTTGCACAGGTTTGCGTAGAGTAAATGACCTCCTCTTTCAATTCCATATGTCGAAAGCTGCCTGAATATCTTGCTTGATGACGGCGGAAGTCAAGAGCTCGTAGCAGAAATTTGATCAGCTGATTTGGCGACGCGTGTCTTATGTAACACATACGAAAACAGCTTTCCCCGATCATCCGTTGGTTTGTCCTTCCCAAATCGTACTCACTACAGCTGCAGCTCTGGGTCATGCTCTTCCCTGCCATTTGTCACCTTTCCTCGACTTCCATCTTTTGATGTTTTTACGATATAAGATGTGCTCAAGTTTGATCCCTGTACGATCGAGTCCTGGCGTCCAAGGAACCGCTGCAACGTCCTGCTTCTCCCCGACTCTCTGCTCTGTCTTCGAGATCACGTCAGGACCTGCCTAACCAGGTTAAAATGCTTGAAGATACCGGATGGTTTGAATTGCCTGCGTTCCTGACCGACATCCGATGCGCCCTTGTTCCTTTCTGGTCGCTGTCAACCTCAAGTATCTCGTAATTGATTCGGCAATATCCCATAACGGCTATTCCTATGGATTGGTTAGCAATTCAGGTCGATTGGTTGTTGCTCGCGGAACAGTTGGCTTATAAGGCAGAAAAATCGATGCCTCGTCCAACCAATTCAGCCTCTTTGGGGGACCTTTAAAGCCCCGGCATGTACAGCTTGCTACCCTAATGCTGTTCCCCCACATCTCCTGGAAAACGCTCCCTGCAGACCTCCTGCACCTTTGCTCCCAATTCTCTTCCGCCGTTTCTCGAGGAAACCAGCGATGGCAATGCCCGGACTGCACCAAGACGGTCTCTGGACGTCAAGACCTCAACAAGCACATGAAGATACACGCCAAAGCTGCAGAGAAGTCAGCAGCTTGTATTTTCTCCCTTCAACCGTGCTCATCGTTGAGGCAGTTATCTTGTTTGTTCCGATTGCCCGGTCGTTCTTCTACAAGAAGGCCATCTTGATGGACACAGGCTCAGGCACCAGTGCGTCCGCTGTTCTATTCATCTTTTTACACAAGTGACACGCTTTTTCAGCTCTGGGAACGAAAAGTACAAATGCAAGGACTCTCCGGATTGCATTTGGGGTGGGAGTACCGAGGATGCTCTCACCGCCCATCGGAGAAAGTACCACGGCAAGATTTCACCTTACAGAGATAGCGTTTCCATCGGGACTTGCTGCGAAAACGAACCCACGGTCGATCCCTCACCTTCACCATGGACAAACGACTTCGACACTCCGGCCAATAGTTCCACTCATGGAGAAATGTTCATGGACAGGTCCACCGCTTCTGCGTCTAGCAATGGAGTTACTCCATTCGACGGTCCCACACAGGTCACTCCCAGGAAAGAGGAAATTTTCTTCTGGACTTCCCCCGCGCCAGGCTTTCAACGCGGCGATCCACGCTATTCACCAGAGGCCAAACAGCTCTATCCCGCTGCCAGCGCAGGTCCTCTCGATGATGGTCTCGACTCTATATCACCCCTAGGAGGAAAATTGGAGGAGTTCGGTACAGGCACGGGCCCGTTCATCAACACCGATCCCCTTCGACTGATGGCAGACGCGATGGAGGGTATGAACGCGTTGAACAGGCTGGTCCCTGCTGAAGCACCCGCTGGTCCCCGTTTCAAGGAACTGCCCATCGACAGGACTTTCCACGTGTTCCCTACGTCTTCCTCTTGGAACAAGTCGGAATTTGGAACGGTGTAACGGACGTTTGGATATGGATCGCTTGGAGGCTCTGAATAAGGACCGAGGATCTCTGCTTGCTCAATGTGGACGTCGAAGGGTTCCTCGGAGTGCGCACCAGGATCTACCAGTGAAGGATCGATGAGCGGGGACCGTGGACTTTCAAGTAGCGTAAAAGGTAGGACATATTCGTGGACCCTAACGTGGCAGATCTCTGTATGGTCGCAAAAATTTCTTTCCTTTGTGCCGATTTGGACGACTTCTCGTTATTATATGCCCATTTGGAATCTTGGATCGTGGTAGTTATTTTTTATCTTTATTTTCTGGCATACGCGGTATCTACGTGCTTCGGCTCAGTTGATACTTTAATCTTTTTCTATAGGTTTGTTATGCATTGCTTTCTCATTAAGAACATGTACTATAGTTCGCAGACGGAACCCCATGTAGCAAATGGCACTAGATTTACACCGATAATCGATCTTCGTGTCTTAGCTTGATAACCTATACCAGTCAGTATTCGCAGACCCCTTGATGTCGCGACTGCTGCTGCTGCCATTTGCGTCGTCTCTACGAATAACAGCGTGCACGGTGTTGGTGTGTATCACGTTGTCAAATTTGTTTCTGAGCCAACGATACAGCCACCTACCTCCCTTTTTATCGAACGGTTATGTTCACCAGCAAGTCCACTCAACATCCAGGTTGCTGGCGCATCTTTCGTTGCTAATCTAGTGTGTTATTCATCAACTCAGAGCTTATATTCTCGGATAGAATGCTTGCTTATGTGTCTCGTGCGTTCTAAAATTATGCACGCGTCCTGGGAGGTTAATTGGGACACCAATCGATTCATCATTGTTCCAAAATATACGGCGTACGTCTCTTCCTTTAGCCATATGTCAAGTTCAGGGGCCGACGTGGCACTCAGTGAACATCGGAAGGCTCGAGCGATGGACTAAGTTCTTGGCTAGGCTTCGCAGGACAATGCAATAGACAGCTATGTTATTCCCTTATAAGCCCGAGACCTTACCCATAGAAATCAGCTCTAGAAATCAGATAACATCGCCCGACCAGTCGAAAGTTGGCAGAAGATGAGATCAACAACACAACCACATTTGCACCTTCATTCAAACGGTCATGACGCATCCCTTTTTCCCTTCCTTCTTTCCTTCAAGTTCCTACAAAGCGAGTTAACGTCGTTGCGCGCAGCTTACAAATGTTTTTTGAACACCAGTACTGTACGTTTGAACCAATGGCAGTCTTAGTTTTTCTTTAAATCATCTTTACTAGGCTCTTCTATATACTATGTTACATTAGCTCCGACACGTCGCGTGGAGGGCGAAGACGTGCCTAGGACAGGGCATGGGAGGGCACTATATTTGCAACCAGGAGATTATATGTGGCGTATCTTTGTGGTCAAGAAGGATGCTGTCTTCATGAACAGAAATACGTGGATGGGATACCAATCTCGTACGTCCTACTATTCGTGCATACAGAGCTGTTCATAATTACATTGATCTAGTCATTGATCAGTGATCCCTGAGCGTGGCGTTAGGGCTTTCTCTGAAGTCAGCTTTCCAGTGTCCGACCAGTTTCCGACGCGTCGCAAAAGACAGAAGTTCAATTTCCGCTTATATATCGCTTCAAGCACGTCCATACTTCTCCGCTAGGCTTAGCTTAACGCGTGTGTGTCCAGACGGGGCTGCTGCTGGAAGAGCATGTTTACGAGGAGTAGCTTGGAGAACGGGTCTAGACGAGAATTGGCGACATAGTGAGTTATGCCCTTGCTATCTGCACTCGGCACCCAGATCTGACTTAAATTACTAAGTAACGCAAATACCCACCTTCAGTGTGTCGGTCCGGTTGCACATACTTTTCACAGCGGTCTTTCATAACTATTCCAATCCATCACTACTCGCTCGCCTCGTACAATCGAAGTTCAGAGGTACCTTCACAGGTCGTTCAAACGAGATCACTCTTCAGCCGCTGCCTGGCTTATCTGCAACATTAGCCTCTCGATTTCCTTCGCCGATAACTTTGCGTATTGGTGAATCTGACTCAAGCAATCCTCGCCCATTCTCCGTGACCGCACAAGGAGATGCTTCTCACGACCACTTGGGAAACGATATCCTCATCCAAAGCGATGTCTGGCCTGGGCTGTCGTAACACCTCTGCCTTCACTGTATTGGCATATTCCGCCAACCGATCGTGAGTTCGGAACCTACCCTCATGATCCAACACTCTATCGATCTTTCACGCCATCGGAATTTTGATTCTTCCAAGTCGGACCGCAAGAATAGCAGTTCAGAGGCGCTGCCTACAATCCATGAAACTTTCTCCTTGTAATAGATTGGATTGAAACTCTGCGGCTTTCCCGCACCTCTTGCGATAATCTTGAAGGCGAAGATATTGCAAGGCAGTGATGCTATCGAAGCCTTCAAACTCTTCTTCCTGGTCCAGATCCACATGAAGCGTATTTCTTGCCGCTGCCTTACCTAAATCTTTCCATCCACGAGCTGCCGCGAAGCCAAATATCCATACGGCCTTTTTTTCATCAGAGGCGACGCGATTATTGTTTAAGCGAGCTGTTTGATCCGTCATCCAGGCAGTACTTGTCTAACACCGCTCCCACTGTAAAGCATTCTTCGATGTTCTTTATCTGGGACGTCATTCGGATAGCAGAACGGAAGGACAATCCTGATGCGTCACCTCGAATACAGGGAGACCATCTTTCTCTTGGATATGCCGGTTGTCTTCCAAACTATGACGGAAAAGGAGGGAGCAGATCTAAGCGATGAGAGCACGCTGTGGACGAAGAAATCGGCATCATCTGTTGGGAAAATCATTAGATCTGCCAAGTCAGAGGTGTTGTTGAAGGAAGCATCGACTCTCATTATGCTAGGCAGACCGGTGTCTATCGTCAGCGGTGGATATGTCAAAGTTTGAGGAGAAGAGGGGAGTTTCTTATCGATACATTGGTTTTCTTCGAATGATGTGATTCCCATGATGTACGTTTTTCTCTCTATGTACCTGGAAGCCTCGCATTGACCAGTTCCCAGTTCCAAGACATACCTCGTAATATGGTTCCATCGAACAACACGACTGGTTGGACATGTGGTGCAACGTACTCCTAAAGTTCTCAGGCTCTCCCATTCTGACGCTCGACCGGGTCACTTTCGCCACTCAATATGCAAGGGAACCTAAATGATATTGTCAGATGGGAGTTGCGTATATACCAAGCGTCACTCACCTCTGAAATTCGCCTGTCGATTTCCTCTGCCAGTATCTTTCCGAGAAGGCGAATTTGACTGCCAGCGACTTCGGTCCACTGGTCTCGACCGCATTGTTTGGTGCTTGCGAGAATGGCTTGATCAATGATATGATCATCCAGAACCTGTGGCCAGGGCTCCAGTAGCACCTTCGCATTCACCAGCCGAAAATAGGTATCGGACAACCATGGATGGCTATAGAACCCTGCGCCGTCTGCGTGCATCGAGAAATCATATACGGTACTACACCATTGACATCTTCTAGAGTCACGGCGCAGGAACGTAAGACCAGAAGTCTTTCTGCTAAGCCAAGGATGCCACGCTCCTGACTCTGCTTGAATCTGAACTGCCTTTCCACACCGTGTATGATAATCTTGAAGACGATACAGGTGGCGAGCAGTAATAGTATTCAGCTCCTCGACATCTGATATTGCCTGATTGAGAGGTGTGGCAAGAGTATTCCTAGCAGCCGCTTCCCCTATTTCTTTCCATCCATTGACGACCGCTAGAGCGAATACCCGTAATGGTTGTTCGCTAATCAGGGATGACGCGAGCACGGCTTGGACGAACCTCCCCATCGCAAGATCCATACAGTACTTGTCCAGCGCCACTCCCACTGCCAGGAACTTCTGGACGTCTTCAAATTTGGGGGTGATGTATGGGTAGCAGAATAGGAGGATATTTCGGAATGTATCGCCATCCTCTGTCACTTCGAGCACGGGAAGACCGTCTCTCTCTTCTGTGTGCTTGCTGCCTTGCAAAACCTGACGAAAGAATGATGATGGGGACCGCAGCGATAGCAGTGCACTGAGGACGAAGAAGTCGACATTATCGGCTGTGCGTATGACTAGATCGACGCAGTCGGAAGGGTCGTTGAAGGGGACGTCGGTGGTAGTGACAGCAGGTGGCTTACCGGTTTCCATTGCTGATAAGCAGTGGACGGGCGCGTGAAGATGAGAGAAGTACAGAGCGGGTATTATGCTGGGAAGCTTAGACTGTCTGATACGCCGTCATGGAGCAATGCAAATATAGGTACCTCCATCCGAGACCTCATCATGAAACGATTGGGCTCTTTACTATGATTGTTTGATACAAGCAGAGGCAGAAAAGAAAGCTCAGTGTCCAGTAAATTGTCAGAAAGGTGAGCCGTTACACAGCCACAGGCGCTTCCTTCGAACGGTCATATCGCATTCCTTCCTCCGGGATTTCTTCCTCCTTCGCTTCCTATATCTGCAAGGAGAACAATCTGCATGCAATGGCGCTTCCTAGAAAGAAGAGGTTGATAGAACACTAGGGTTGTACGTTTAAATGGATGCTTTTTTGGTGTAGATCATGAATCATCTCTAGGCTCATGTACTATGCTGTATAAGCTTCGACCACTGGAGAAACGGAACTGTTCCTAGGAATATACGACCCACACATTCACCACGTGATGCTTTTTTTGTGGGCACCAGCTTCCTGGGCTGATTCCTAGTCCCGTACGCTCTATACTCGGTGCATCCTCAGCTGCTCATAGTGACGCTTTCCCAGTCGAACATAGCTTCGAGGTCGTTCCAGGCGACCACGTTCATGGACCCTTCTCAGTCGACGGATTGACTGCATTTTCTAACAAGAATTTTGTTTCGTCTTTCTAGCGGCGTTCCGTGCACGAATTAGCTTGCGCGTGTCTGGTAGTAGTTGAGCCCTACATGTGGAAGACTCCGAGATTTTGTTTACAGGGAAGCATATGTTTTAAGCAGAAAGAGCCCAGATGAACAATACAGTGAGTACTGTTATCATCCGCACTTGATGCTGAGATCTAATTTGAGGTACTAAGAAATACCAATATCTTGCTCCAATGTTGCACTTTTCTCACTCCATTACTCCTCGAGTTACATTTTCTAATCAATATTCAGAGGTACATATGCAGGTGGTCGCTGCCCCATTCACCTACGAAGTAAGTTAGTCAGCTAGCGGGTCCGCCTATCGATGCGCCTGCCTGATTAGTATCAACGTAGTTATTGACGACGATCTTCCACACCATCAAAGTTTCGGTTCTTCCAAGTCAGGCGGCAGGAATAGCAATTCGGAGGTTTTGCCTCAGGCAATCCATGACATGTTTTCTCCTTAAATTGGACTGAACTTGTGCAGATTTCTTGTACTTTTCGTGATAATGTCGGAGGTGACGATATTGAAGGGCAGTGGCACTATCGACTGGAGGTCTTCTGTACCTTGGTCCAGAACTATATGAAGCATACCTCTGGCTGCACTTTGTCTTGTCAAAGAACCTGGCAGATGGCCCTAGAAAAATCTTTCGCGAAACAACCTTTACAGATGTCTTCTAACTCAGCGGACTTCAACCGGACATCCCGAATACTTTCCAGATTGCATTCCAAGCCCCGTCCTTCTCATTCTGGTGTTCGCTTCGCCATTCAATGCCCAAGGGAACCTAAATGATGATATTAAGCAAAAGTTGCGTAGATGCCAAGCGGTTAGCGGTTATCACCCACCTCTGAAATTCTCCTATCGATTTCCTCCGCTGCTATCTTTCCAAGACGGCGTATCTGACTGCCAGCGATTTCGTTCCACTGACCTCTGCATTGCTTGGTATTAGCAGAAACTATTTGACTAATGATGTGATCATCTAGAGCAACCTGTGGCCAGGGTTCCAATAGCAGCTTTGCGTTCACCAGCCGAAAGTACGTATCGGTCAACCACGTACGGCTATATAAAGGCCGGCATTCTTCATCATACGCCATGAACCCAATCGATGCTCGTAGCCCTTGGAGCTGAACAGCCTTCCCGCACCGTGCATGATAATCTTGAAGACAGTAGAGATGGCGGGCACTAATTTCATTCAACTCCTCGACATCTGATATCGCCTGATTGAGAGGTGTGGCAAGAGTATTCCTAGCAGCCGCTTCTCCTATCTCTTTCCATCCGTTGGCGACAGCCAGAGCAAATACCCGTAAGGGTTGTTCGCTAATCACGGATGACGCAAGCACAGCGGCGACGAACCTCTCCATTGCATGATCCATACAGTACTTGTCCAGCGCCAACCCCACTGCTAGAAATCTCTGTACGCTTTCAATCTCGGGGGCGATATATGGATAACAGAGTAGGAGTATAGTCCGGAATGTGTCGCTGTCGTCCGTCACTTTGAGGATGGGAAAGCCATCTCTCTCCTCTGTGTGCTTGTTGCCTTGCAAAGCCTGACGGAAAAACGACGATGGGGATCGTAGTGATAGTAGTGCGCTGAGGACGAAGAAGTCAACATTATCGGCTGTGCGAATCACCAGATCAACACTGTCGGTGGAATCGTTGAAAGGGACGTCAGCGGTGGTTATGAGGGCTCGTTGTGCGTCGATGTCCATCGGCTAGTGATAGTAGGCAATAAAGAGATGGCGGCTTGCTTCCTTGTGCCTTGTAGAATAGGCGCTCGTGCCATCGTGACTGATTGACTTGCTAACTTCACGCAATCGGCAGGAAGCCGTTAGGCGCGCGGCGCCCATAAAACTGCATAACCGGTTCGTTCCGACTTCAAGCTTAGCTTCCAAATTACATATCTTGAGGGAGCTCAATTGTTGGAATATGTATTTCAAATTTTTTATTCGAGCTTGCATGAATATTCTCGCTCGTTCTCCCCATCTTCTCTGGGACACTTACTCAATTTCTTAGTTCAATACTCATGTATTTTAGTACATTCTATGTATTTTGGTAGTATCAAAGTCATGTAGTTAATAGGGCACCGCTAGCGCGATTGCCGTGAACATTAGTTCCTTTCCGCTCACCTGTGAACCGCGAGTTCTAGCGCTGCCACCAGTAAGTCTTTGCATAATGTTTCTTTGACGGTGATAACCCTGCGTTGACGGATGTGATACCCGTCATGATGCAGCACTGATATTCAGGTGTGGACGTCGAGGATTTATATTGAAGCGGCGCGGCGGGAAGATATGGCCCTTTAAGTACATAAACTGAGGCCTAGCACGCTACCAGAGCTAGGGTTATGAAGTGGTGGGCTATCGCAGGGCGTGGCATATCCGAGCCCTGAAATTGGCGTGGGCTGCTCTGCGTGGGCGTGGCACAAGGTTCATATTCGACGCAATGACAACACGATAAAGTTAAACAATGGAACAGAATAGTGATTGTATGCCGTCTCCCCCAGAGATTAAATTTACCTCCAGATCCTAACACCACAAGCAGGTCATAAACCACAAACCAAACATACAGAAGGAAAGAGCACACCTTCGCAGTCAGTGGTAGGTTGAACAGGGCATTGAGTGATGCTGAGTCGAACGAGGCTGCTTGACAAGGTGCAGGAACACTATGAAGGCAGGTCAGGACAGGTCATCCACAACGCCAATCATAAGAACGTACAGGTACTTCTACTATACTTTCCGGAGACAACCTAAGACGTTCGTTCTGTGTCGTTAAGACGATGTTCGGCGTAAAAGTCGGTCAGGATGCCGCCATCGACGATGGTCTACCCTACAAGTACACGGTCAGTGATCAAACCAGAATCAGTAAGCAGTACGTACACACGTGGGATACATGGATACTCTGCCAACCAAACCCTTTCACCGGACTGACAGCACCCTCAAAGTGCGCTTCCCAGCTGAGGAGTGCACACGTGCACTGGTGGTGATGTTCCCTCTTGCGCGCGCCGTAACTCCCATGGAGACCAACCGCCCTCTCTTCCCCTTCTCGTCGACTTGATTCGCCTGGAGTTCCCATCATTTTCGAGAGCGCAAATGCCTTCAGCATTCGTTTACATCACGGTCCAGATGCCCTTGGGTGTGATATGGAAGAACGGTATCAAGAAACCATGTCTCGTATTGTAGGCCCAGCGGACTTGAATTTGAATGGATGCCTGTGGACCATGACAAGATGAGGATTGGGGACTAAGGCTAAGGCCGCGCTCCTACCAGCAGTATTTATTTCATGAGAGAGGTGTCAGGACCACGAGATATGAGGGTATAAAGGGCATAGTCTCGTCTGGTAAAGGCTCAAAAGAAAACGCGTAACAAGTGTGACATGTGACATTGACCTGGGCGACTTCGGCATACACGGCACGGCAAATTATCGGACAATCACCATCACGCACCGCCACCGAGATGCAGTTGGGCGTTGAGCATCAGCCGAACGTGTGAGGCAATGCTCATAAGGTGCTGACAAAGCAAACGAGAAGGGCTGAATCTTGCCTTCATCCTTGACTCTCCTCGTTCGCAGTCAGCACCTTATTCGAGATGCAGTTAGCATAGACCGAATCCTGTATGCACAGGACTCGGAATTGAAATAACGCATGGTGGAGGTCCTTTCCTTCATACGATAAGTTAATGAGGTCATCGCGAGTTTTGATAGGACTGCCTGGTCGGAGAAGTTGGTAGATACTAAGAACACGTTTTACGGAAGGGCCTTTTACAGATGTCAATCTAACTCAACGGACTTCAAGGACTGCCTAAACTCGTCACTGACACCCCCGTCCCAGAGTTCCAAATTACCCTAGACTCGATACCACCTCCCATTCTGACATTCCGTGGACTGTCAAGTCATCTTTACCACTCAATGTCCAAGGGAACCTAAACGATAGTGTCAAACGGGAGTTGTGGATATAGGCGTCACTCACCTCTGAAATTCGCCTTTCGATTTCTTCCGCCACTATCTTACCGAAAAGGCGAATCTGACTGTCAGCGATTTCAGCCCACTGATCTCGACCGCATTGTTTGGTGCTAGCGAGAACAGCTTGATCGACAATGCGATCATCTAGAGCAACCTGTGGCAAGGGTTCGGAGAGCACCTTTGCGTTCACCAGTGGAAAGTAGGTATCGTTCAACCATGGATGGCCATAGAAATTTGCATGTTTTGTGGACGCCACGATCTGCACCACATTATTACACCATCGACATCCATACGCATTGTGGTTATTGCGCAGGAACAGAAGACCAGAAGACTTTCCGTCAAGCCAGGGAAGCGGCGCTACTGTCCCTGCTTGGATCTGAGCGGCCTTCCCGCACCGCATATGATAGTCTTGGAGACGGTAGAGATGGCGGGCACTGATTTCACTCAGCTCCTCGACATCTGATATTGCCCGATTGAGAGGCCCGGGTATCGCGAGAGTTTTCCTCGCCGCGGCTTCTCCCATCTCCTTCCATTCGTTGGCGACAGCCAGAGCGAATACTCGTAAGGGTTGTTCACTAATCACGGATGAAGCGAGGACAGCTGCGATGAACCTCTCCATGGCATGGTCCATACAGTACTTGTCCAGCGCCATCCCCAACTCCAGTATCTGCTTGACGCTTTTAATCTCGGGGGTGGCGTATGGATAGCAGAACAGGAGGATAGTTCGGAGTATGTCACTGTTCTCCTTCACTTCGAGGACGGGAAAGCCATCTCTCTCTTCTGTGTGCTTGTTGCCTTGCAAAACCTGACGGAAAAACGACGATGGGGATCGTAGTGATAGTAGTGCGCTGAGGACGAAGAAGTCGACATTGTCAGCTGTGCGGATCACCAGATCAACACTGTCGGTGGGATCGTTAAAGGGAGCATCGGCGGTGGTTTTGCGAAATAGTTTTGCGTAGATGTTCATCTGCTAGTGATAGTAGCTAAGTAAGAAACGGCAATTCGCTTCTTCGTGCCTTGTGGAATAGGCGCTCGTGCCATCGTGACCGACTAAAAGGCGCCTGTATACTGCTTAAACTTGTACGTTCGATTCGTCACGACTTCCAAGCTTGGATTCAAAGCTAACTTTTACTTTGCAGTACTCTGTATTGTGGTAACCTAATCATGTGTGATTCATTGAAGGATGATATACAGTATCTGACGTCGAAAGCGAAGATCACACTTTGAAGTACTACAAGTAGAGTACTACGGATGCTTCGAGCTCCGGCGATAGCTTGCTGGAAGAAGCCGGCCTGGGCAAATGAGGCTATATGGAAAGTTGTATCAGTCAGTGTGGCGTTTCAAATTGTCCATTTGGAAGAGGCGGGGGAACGTGTTGTTCGCATATAAATGATGAGTACTTTGTCATGAGCTGGTGACTTTAGCTTGGAAAATAGAACCCATGAGACCTGAAACTAAACTTGATAAGACTCTTGATAGACAGTGATGGCAAATTTACCGGGTTGCACGGTCCTTTCATTTTATTGCATCGTCCAGTTCACAGTCTAGTTGTGGCTCGGCTGTCCGTCCTACTGTGTTAGACTGTCACTAAAGGTCGGCCCGGGAACTGTGAAATTGGAGCCCACGAGCATCTGTGGCTTGAATTTACCTCTAGGTTTTGAGGAAGGCAGCAGATCGTTTAGGACTAGCGAGCTGGTATGGACGATTGGTTGACGCTGTTCGTGGAAAAGGAACGGTCAATTGTGAGATAGGATGAGCGAGATAGTGCGACGTACAACAGTGGACCGACTGGCGAGTTACTAGTCATTGGTGAAGCATAGAAGAGTCTTTGGGAGCCATTCTCAAAAGACAGATGAATAGAGTCCAAATTCGGCGGAAAATTGCAGGCATTAGGCAGCTAGGACCATAGATATCGAACATGACGACGTGTAAAAACACAAAATTCAATTCAGATAAGTGAAATCGGGTTGAAGGCGGTAGAGAGTGTCTGGCAGGAGACGAATTCGGGGAGGCGGAGTCAAGCAGGGACAAACATATATTTGCAATTTACAGGTTGCCCTTCAAACTTCGTACTCGTCAAGCAGACGAATCTTCCAAGAAGGCAGTTTGTAAGACGCTCAGTTAACAGCATGGATATAAACTCATGCCTTATTGATAGCAGCACCAATCTTTCCACTGAGGGAATAATTTCATCAGCGATGCAACTCTCACCACATATGTATTGCCTGGATATCACACTTTACTACGGGGAGCGACCAGCGAATGAGAAAAACAAAGGTAAGGATGGGCATGTTTACTCCGGTATTGGTCCCTTCACAATTTCGTTATAGAGAACCCAGCAATCCCATGACATATAACGCTCGACTAGATCCCATCCCCCGTCATTTTGTCCATTCAATTTCAGGGGAACCCAAAGGGTGATATCAGCCAACAAAAATATTATAGGTTTTCCCATCGCTTACCTCCGAAATACGCCTATCGATTTCCGTCGCCAGCAACTGTGCGAGTCCATGGATCTGGCTAGAAGCAGCCCCGATCCATGAGTCTTCGTTACATTCCTTGATGCTTGCTAGGATGGCTCCACGAATAATACCGTCATCAAAGGCCACCTGCGGTCGGGGGTCTACCAGCATCTTCTCCTTCACCGGTGTAAGATACAAATCAGGCAACTAGCGATGCGAATAGCAATTCTCCATGTTCAGACTATGGTAAACCATATCTTTGCAACATCGTCCACACCGACTGGAAGGTTGCAGAAGTGTGAAGCCACGTTGTTCCTTCGCAAGCCAAGCCATCCACCAAAATTGGGTGGCCTCCCCACATCGCTTGCGGTAATTGAAGAGACGTTGAAGATGGCGTGCACTGATGCCATCAAGCCCCATGATGTCTGATTCCGCCCCATCAAGAGGTACACCAAGAGTATTCCTGGCCGCAACCTCTCCCAACACCTTCTATCCGTTCGCGACCGCCAAAGCAAAGACTCGCAACGGCTGTTCCTTGATGAGAGGGGACGCGATCACGGCCTGGACAAAACGCTCAAAGGCGTGGTCCATACAGTACTTGTCAAGCGCCATCCCTACCGATGAAAACTGTTCGACACCCGTAAGTTCGGGAGTGTCGTATGGATAGCAGAAGAGCAGGATGAATTTAAACGTAGCGCTATCCTCAATCACCTCGAGCACGGGAAGACCATCTTTTTCTTCTGTATGGTGGCTCCCGTCCAGCGCATGTCGGAAGAAAGATGAAGGGGGTCTGAGTGACAAGAATGCTCTATGGACAAAGAAGTCGACGTTATCTGATGTCCGGATCACCAAATCTGCGAGATCGGAGGCATCGTTGAAGGGTGGGTCGGCAATGGTTATGGAAAGCTGTTCGGTGTTATTCATGGTGATGGCAGGTGCCTGCAAAGAGACGAGAAGAGACCTTTTTCAGTGCCTCGTGGCTTAGGCGCTAATGTTGCCGGTCACTGCTACTCAATATCAGGGGTGCCTATAATCGTTCGGATGATACTTTGCACAGACTCTGCCTCATTCACCTGCGAAATTAGTCTGTCCGGTTTCTCGGCGAGCAGCCCGCATATTGGCTTACCTACCTGACGGCCTTCATACGATGGGTTACTGGAGATCTCAGTGGTGACGAAGAAATCGACTTATCAGAGGGGCTGGAAATCGCTAAAGAACATCTTTTACGGAAGGATCCTTTCCAGATCTCTTCCAACTCGACGGAATACCCATACTCTTTCTCCCCACACTTCCAAAGTGTATACCGGACTTCGATACTTCTTATTTGGACGATACATCGTGTCATTTTTACCATTCAATATTCAAGGGAACCTAGTCGATGGGAATATCGGACGGGGGTTTGTGGATGCTAGCGCTTATCACTCACCTCTGAAATTCGTCTGCCGATTTCCTCCGCCACTATCTTTCCGAGAAGGCGAATCTGACTGCCAGCAATGCTGGTCCATTTATCATGCATGCTGCTGTTGCACTCTTTAGTGCTAGCGAAAACGGCTTGATCAATAATATGATCATCTAGAGCGACCTGCGGCTCTAACAGCACCTTTGCATCCACCAGGCGCAAGTAGGTCCCGGTCAACCATGAATGGGCATAGATAGCGCGGCCGTTATTGCGCATCACCTCGTTGAGTCGACGATTGTTGCACCATGGACAGCTATAGCTACGCTGCAGGAACAGAAGACTAGATATCTCTCTAGTAATCCATTGGTGCTGCAGTCCTTTCTCCGGTTGGATCTGAGCGGCCTTTCCGCACCGCGTATGATAATCTAGAAGACGATACAGATGTCAGGCAGTAATGATGTTCAGCTCCTCGACATCTGATATCGCCTCACTGAGAGGCATGGCAAGAGTGTTTCGGGCAGCGGCTTCTCCTATCGCCTTCCATCCGTTGGCGACTGCTAGAGCGAATACCCGCAAGGGTTGCTCGCTAATCACGGATGACGCGAGCACAGCTTGGATGAACCTCTCCATAGCACGTTCCATACAGTACTTTTCCAGAGCCACTCCCACCGCCAGGAATTTCTGGACGCTCTTAAACTCGGGGGCGGCGCATGGATAGCAGAACAGGAGGATGGTTCGGAATGTGTCACTATCCTCCGTTACTTCGAGGACGGGAAGACCGTCTCTCTCCTCTGTGTGCTTATTTCCTCCCTGAAAAACCTGACGAAAGAACGATGATGGGGATCGCAGTGATAGAAGTATGCTGAGGACGAAGAAGTCGACATTATCGGCTGTCCGGATCACGAGATCAACATTATCGGCGGGATCGTTGAAGGGGGCGTCGGTGGTGGTTATGAGGGATGGTTGTATTTCGGTGTCCATTTGCTGGTGATGGTAGGCAGTCAAGAGATGGCGGCTTGTTTCTTCGTGCCTCGTGGGATGCTTATGCCATTGTGACGGATTGACCTGCTGAGTACCAACTTCAGCAATTAGCAGGTCCTGGCTAAGCGCCCACTGTGATAGAACTGGGTAACTGTTCGTCACGGCGTTAAGCTTAGCTCAGGTCTCAGAGTATCGAATTTTCAAAGTCTCAGTTTGTCGATGTAAGGCTAAGCTGTATCTTGCACTACGGTGGTAGCCCAGGAAAAAATGATTCGATTTAAAGGATGATATAGCGGATACCAAGATCGACTTTCAATGAAGTGCGTGTAGTCCTAATGAGGAAGTATTATACATAGCACTAGTGTTGCCGCGACTCAGCTAGACTCGGCTCGGCTAGACTTATGCCGACTTTGGTAATTGTCATGAGCCGAGTCGGCTTGAGTCGGTAATCACTGTGTCGGCTAAGCTAAGTTTCGGCTCAAGTCGGCTTGAGCTCAGACTAATGATCTAAAAAGGAAGTCACTGGGTTAAGACGCACTTTCCAAGGCGAGAGGGCTTGTAAATCCTTTAGAATCAACATCTGGTGATACATAGGAACTCAGCTTGCAGCTATGTAAATATATCTTCAACACAGCTGTAAATTCCAGTCACTTCGCTTTTTTAGGAAGATCTTCGGCTTGACCTCGGCATCTGTAAGGGCATTGATGCTCAAACTTCAGTTCTCCGTTTTATGGTATTAATCAGCATCTTGGATGTGTAGTTGCCTTGATTCATGTTGGAATTTTATAGTACGCCCCACAGGGCATGATTTTATGTGACCTAGGGGACAATAAAAGTCAAGAAAACACACTGGCCAAATTAGGCATCGTCGTCCGGCTAAAGCGACTCAAGCCCGGCTTTAGCCGGCTCCTATATGGGCTTGAGCCTAGAATGAGTCTGAGCCAATAGAGACTCAGGCTCGGCTTATTAAGACTCGGCTCACCGGCTCAAGCGACTTTAAGCCGAGCCGCGGCAACACTACATAGCACGCAGCACAGCCACATGACATGGTCGTTGAGCATCGGTAACACCACCACCACCACCACCTTGGGACCTTGTGCCGGTACCAACACCAACACCTTGTTGGGACCTGGCACAGGTATCACCACCACTATGTTGAAAGTCGCATCTCATCGTATATTACTGGCACAACAAACTTTATAGGGCTGATAGACGTCTGCTTAGGCGCTTGTATATCAAGGTCAGGCGGTGAGCAGCTGGGGGTGTTACAAATTTCCTTTGACGCGATGGGCGAATGAAAAACATGGGTACGCCCGTTTTTATACTTTACCACTGCGCTCCTGACAAGTCTAACCTAGGACATCCTGACAATCTCTTGACATCGATTGCTTGACGAGGTCCCACATCATTTTCGCCACTCGATTTCTACCAGCGAACGGAAATCCTCTCTGAAATACGGATTTCAGCCACCAGTAACTGTACGAGCCCGTGGATCTGGCTAAAGGCAATCTTGATCCACGTATCTATGCAGAATTGCCTGGTGCTTGCGAGGATGGTTCCACGAATAACAATCATCGAACATTGCCTGCGGTGGGGGGAGGGTCTACCAGCATCTTCTCATTCACCGACAAATCAAGCAACCGACAATACGAAAATAATTGTCTGTTCTCTACGCGCACTCCACGATATCCACTAGATTTGGGTTGTTCCCTACATCGCTTGTGGTAATTGAGGAGACGTTGAAGATGGAGGGCACCGATGCCGTCCAGTTCTTTGGCGTCCAATTATTCCTGTCTGCGGTTTCTCTCAGCCCCTTCCATCCGTGACAAAGCAAAGACCCGGAGCGGTCGCTCCTTGTTGGGAGAGACGAGATTACGGTCTGGACGAAACGCTCAAAGGCGTGGTCCATACAGTACTTGTCAAGCGCCATCCCTACCGATGAAAACTGTTCGATGCCCGTAAGTTCGGGAGTGTCGTATGGATAGCAGAGGAGCAGGGTGAATTTGAACGTGGCGCTGTCCTCGATCACCTCGAACACGGGAAAACCATCTTTTTCTTCTGTATGGTGGCTCCCGTCCAGCGCATGTCGGAAGAAAGATGAAGGGGATCTGAGCGACAGAAAGGCTCTATGGACAAAGAAGTCGACGTTATCTGATGTCCGGATTACCAGATCTGCGAGATCAGAGGCATCGTTGAAGGGTGGGTCGGCAATGGTTATGGAAGGCTGTTCGGTGCTATTCATGGTGGTGGCAGGTGCCTGCAAAGGGACGAGAAGGGACCTTTTTCAGTGCCTCGTGGCTTAGGCGCTTATGTTGTCGGGATTTCTGACGCTTCCGAAGTTCTCTCAAGGCATCTTTGCCTACTCGTGCGTTATGTTCATTAATCCTGTTGGAACGCTCCCTCTGATATAGAGAACACCTCGTAGAGCCTAAATCCCGCTCCAAATTCTGTCTTCGTGGAGACATGGACATTATTTCTTCATCTTGGAGCATCTGTTATTTCCTGGGCGAGTTTGATACAGCTATAATCCAGGGGCAGCTGTGTCATCTCATTGCTTAGAACGTCTCGACAACGCCAGTGACTCGACAATATCGGGGAACATTTTCTATAACAACGGGAGAAGGAACTGCATACAGCGATTTCGCTTTCCAGGTGACACTCACTCCGATCCGTAAGCTACCTGAGTGTCTCTGCACCTCATCTTTCCCATTTGATATTCAAAGGAACCTAGGGGGGGTATGAGCGATAGAAGAGAAGACATTGCCGCACTCACTTCAGAAATTCTCCTATCGATTTCTTTCGACAAAAGTTTTGCGAGTGTTTGGATTTTGCGGATAGCTATGCTATCATTTCCACTACTCAAAACGACCGCGTTGATGATATTTTCATCCGTGGCGATTTCCGGATGAGGCGTTTCGCGCAGCTTCTGCGAAACCTTTCGAATGTAATCGAGTGTCCACTGATCGATTAAACGCGTCCTTTCACCATCGGTACCTCTTATTCTCACGGTCCTCTCGTAGTAGCCGTCGTTGAACCTATAAGAATAAGAAGAACTGAGTGATTCAGCGTCTTCTGGTTCCATCCAAAATAATTTTTTCCCGTAGTCGAGATTTGCCCGTGCGGTGTCACTGCACTTCCTGTGGTAGTCTCGCAGGATAACGTATTGCATCGCGGATATGTCATTCAGTTCTTCAATCGCCACATCTTCAGTTAACGGAATGAAAAGCGTGTTCTTTGCAGCCGCCTCGCCCAATTTTCTCCACCCTTTCCGAAACGCCAGGACGAACAGTCGCAAGGCGTGTTCCCTTATGAGGGACGACGCGATCACCGTCTGCTCGAAGCGGCCAATTGCGTAGTCCATACAATACTTCTCAAGCGCAACGCGCACCGCCACAACGTCTTCGACGCTCTTGATCTCAACGGGACGGTCATTAGGGTAGCAGAGAAGGAGGATATATCTGAACGTGGTGCTGTCCTCAACCACACGTAACACAGGAAAACCATCTCTCTCCTCTGTGTGCCGATTGCTCTGTAAAGCGTGACGGAAGAACGACGATGGAGATCGCAGCGATAGCAGCCCGCTGAGGACGAAGAAGTCGACATTATCGGTTGTGCGGATGACTAGATCAACAACATCAGTGGGATCGTTGAAGGGGGCGTCGGCGGTGGTGATGGGTGATGGTTGTACTGCGGTTTCCATTTGCTGGTGATGGTAGGTAGTCAAGAGATGGCGGCTTGCTTCTTCGTGCCTCGTACAATGGGTGCTTATGCTGTTGTGATGGATTGACTTGCCGAGTCCCAATTTTAGCAATCAGCAGGTCCTGGCTAAGCGCCCACTGATGGAAATGCGTAACCGATTCGTCACGACGTTACATAAGCTTAGCTCAAGCCTCAGAGTATAGAATTTTCAAAGTCCAAGTTTGTCGATGTAAGGCTAAGCTGCATTCTGCACTACGGTGGTAGCCCAGGAAATGATCAATCGATTTAAAGGATGATATATCTGATACCAAGATCGACCTTCGATGAAGTGGTCCTAATGAGGAATAGTACGCGGCACAGCCACATGACATCGTTCTAGGCTTCCACCTTATTGGGACCTGGCGCCGGTCACACCACCATGTTGAAAGTCGCATCTCATCGTATGCTGCTAGGACAACAAACTTTATAGGCTGATGGACGTCTGCTTAGGCGCTTGTATATCAAGTCAGGCGGAGAGCAGCTGGGGGTGTTACAGGTTTCCTTTGACGCGATGGGCGTATGGGTACGCCCATTTTTGTACGTTACCACTGCGCTCTTCCCAAGTCTAACCTAGGACAGCCTGACGATCTCTTGACATATATTGCTTGACGACTCGTCCCGCATCATTTTCGCCATTCGATTTCTATCAGCGAACGGAAATCCTCTCTGAAATACGGATTTCAGCCACCAGTAACTGCACGAGCCTGTGCATCTGGTCAGAGGCAACCTCAGTCCATGTATCTATGCAGCATCACCTGGTGCTTGCGAGGATGGTTCCACGAATAACAATCATCGAATGCTGCCTGAGGTCGGAGGGTCTACCAGCATCTTCTCATTCACCGACAAATCAGGCAACCGACAATGCGAAAATAATTGTCTGTTCTCTACGCGCACCCCACCCTGGGCTCACAAATTTTTGTTGCACTGCTGTCACCGGTTTGCAGGACGCAGAGGTCCACGCCCATATTGTTGCTCCGCAAGCCAAGATATCCACTAGATTTGGGTTGTTTCCCTATATCGCTTGTGGTAACTAAGGAGACGTTGAAGATGGAGGGCACCGATGCCGTCCAGCTCTTTGGCGTCCAATTATTCCTGTTTGCGGTCTCTCTCAGCTCCTTCCATCCGTGACAAAGCAAGACCGGCGGCAGTCGCTCCCTGTTGGGAGAGACGAGATTACGGTCGAAACGCTCGAAGGGGTGGTCCATACAGTACTTATCAAGTGCCATGCCTACCACCAACGAGTTATCGACGTCCGTAGTTTTGGGAGTGCTGTATGGATAGTGGAAGGGCGGAAATGAGCCTGAAGCTGACGCTGTCCTCGTTTACCTGGAGGATCGCCTTTTCCGTCTATGGTGACTACATTCCACGCATATCGGAAGAGAGATGAAAATAGAACCATTTAGTGCATGGCGTTGGCGCCTATGTCGCCAGACTTTTTGATACTCCCGAAGAAGTCCTCTGATCCGCGCCTTTGCTTGCCCGTGCGTTCTGTTCTTTATTCACTGAGAAACTTCCCCGCTAATCCAATCTTAGCAGAACACCGTCAATTCAAGGAATTCACGGCTTCTTTCACCATCTCATAACATCCGTTATTCTCTGGCGAACTTGATTACGAGGTGCCCCAGAAACAGCTATTTCATTTCTGTACGGTCCGTCCTCAACAACACCAATGACTCGGCGTCTTCCTTCGCTCTTGGTTGAGAACGTTCTTCCAGAATCTCATTGTTCTGCCTTCACTCCCTTTTTGTTGAAGACAAGATCCGTAGGACCGCGGATTCCTTTCTACATCGGCAAGAAAAGGAACGATATATGTAATTCACCTCCCCAGCGGCACGCTACCGGGTACCTTTGCACCCCATTTCGTCCCTGTGATATCCAAGGGAACCCAGTCGACGGGTACGAGGCATAGCAGAGATGATGCTGCGAGACTCACCCCAGATATTCGTCTATCCATTTCTTTTTCCCAAAACTTTGCAAATGTTTGGGTTTCATTGGCAGCTCTGTCGTTCCAGTGATGGTTCTACATTGCTGCGCGCTGCACAATACCCTCCGAGTGATGAATCTTTCATCCTTGGTAATTTCCTAGTGAGGTGTTTCACGTCAATATTTATTATTCTCGCTTCATACAAGCTTATGCAACGGCCAAAGTACTCAGAAAAGAGATGGAGATCAAGGGAAGGGAGGTCAAGATGGCCAGGGAATCTAATTGATTCGGCGTTTTTCGGATCCATCCAGAACGTCCCCTGCCTATCGATGCTAATTTGTGCGACATCGCTGCACTTTTTGTGATAGTTTCACCTGATGTATTGCATCGCAGGTATATTGTTCACCTCCTCAATTGCCAAGTCTTAATTCAACGGAATGAAAAGTGTGTTCTTCGCACCTGCCTCGCCTCATTTCTCCACCCTTTCTGGAATGTCAGGAAGAACACTCGCAGGGCTCGTTCCCTTACGAGGGGGGAGGCGATCACCGTCTACTCGAAGCGCCCAAATGCGTAGTCCATACTATACTTTTCAAGAATAACACTCACAACAAAAACGTCTTCGGCGCTCTTAATCTCGATGGGACGGTCAAGGATGTATCTGAACGTAGTGCTGACCTCTTCCACAGGTATCACAGGAAGACTCTTGCGCGGGTCACTAGATCAACGCTATCGGACGTCGCGGTGGTTATGAGGGGTTAGTTGTACGTTGATGTCCGACTGCTCGTGGTAGTAAGCAATCAAGTGGTTGCCGCCTTCTTCATGCCTCGTGGAATAGGCGCTTGTGCCATAGTGACTGCTTGGCCGATCGACAGTTTAGGCGCTTAGATAGAAATGCTTAAATATGTACGTTCAGTTTGTTACAGCCTCCTAAGGTTGTATATCACTTACATATTTCAATTCGCGCATGATTTAACGTCGTCTCATGTGCTATTCTGATTGACGCAGGATCCGAGTCGCGAGGGGTGGATATGGAGGAACGCAATCAAAGTCCCCGATACCCACATTCAAAATCTTGTTTATGCAAATTGAAGATCCTGGTTAGCCTCGAATCACAATAACGACCCTTCACAGACGGCGTACTAGTGTCGCCATCGTCGTTTTCTGTCATCCATGTCCGAGTTGCCAGAGGCATGCCAAGATATTCCCATGGAGATCTAAGGTAGGCGGGCCTCGCTGGCCGCTGCGATGAAAGAAGAAATAATCAATCCTATACTTATTAATCGATCACAGACAGATATCCGAGGACACCACATGAAAGGGGACCATATGATACCTATCGCAACCCATGAGATGATGGTTTGAAACACAGACGGTACCATTGGCTGCTTGATGGCGCGCTGGTAAAGGAAGGTGTTTGGACACCCAGAGTAAGTGTGCAGTTCAAGTGGCGGAGAGGAATTGACCTTGACAGCATAAATAGCAGAAGTCACTCGAGCTCGACCGATAGGTTAATGGGTATAGGCATGTCACTTTTTTTTCGAGGATGGAGAAAAATCGAACCATAGACTTCCCAGAATGAATGCGGCTGCTTTCCTGACAACTGCGAAAGGTCGGTACAACATCGGGATCCTATGCCGAATCCTGATCGCAGTTTGATCTGTGTGCTTCAGCATGAGAGAAGTACCTGGGTGAACCGGATTCCGCAGTTCCTGAGCTGCTAACTTCAACCTGGATCCAGCGAATGAAGCCTACCGGTGAGTGCCTCGGCCCAGCTTCGAAACGTCTTCTTGCCATCCGCCATCACCGCCTGAACTTTAAACCGGATACGCGGTCTATTTATTCACGGTCGCGTCCATTGATCCTTTTCGACGCAATCTGAATCACTGGAGCAATGCATCCAAGAAGAAATTAGAAAACTTTGGGGCTCCGGCAATCAATACGATTCAAAAGCTGTCGAAACCGAGCATCCCTGGGTCAAAAAGAAATCAAGTCCCTGAGTGCCTTCATGATACTTACCTCAGAGTATTTTTGGAAGTCTCTGCGGAAGGCGCCACTTTCTGTCAGTGGCTGTTAACCTGTACAAATGCCGTCAAAAACGAGGGTCATCCATCTTTGATGGACACCTGTAAACCTTCCATTTGGGGATCCGCTGCGGTCTTTAGTCACTGGTGTAAATATTCAGTACTGCTTGAAGGGACGAAATTGCATGGGAAAGATAAGCCTCGTCCGTTGATTTAGTGTCGAGAAGTAGAACAGACATGTGGTGAACTCTACGGTACTCAGTGAATGTCGGCTGCCACTTTTGCGCCTTTCCGTGACAACAATGGTGCTTTTGGAGACGTTCAGGCAGTATAATCAAGAAACTCCAACGGAACAGAGTCTCGAGGTTGGACGAATCACAACGGACGCCGACGTGATGCACGGGTCATAGACATTGTGCCGCGCGGTATCGGAATGCCGCTCGGCCCATGGGTATCTGTGTCCACAAGAACGACAGTGCCGCATTAATGAATAGGGAGCACTCAGCAGCTCGTGCAAGGGACTAAATGACGAAGCCTTGTAGAGCCTGTCGAATTGAAACCGCTACAAAGCTCCACTTCCCAGATTCCGAGGACAGGTAAAAAAAAACAAAAGGTCCGTGCTTTGATTTAATTCCCATCCGCTCATACGTGAACATACGTGCCGTTAGCACTCTTAGTAGTGCGGCTAACGAAGCAAAAATAGAGCATTTAGCGAGTACAGAAAGCGTCAATTGAAACGTAAGAAGTTTTGACCTGTTTTTAAAACGGCAAAGCTCCCTTTCCGGTAACTGGCCGCTGGAAACCGCTGGGATAAGCTTCAAGTCTAGAATGTAAGGTCCTTAATGATATCCCTCAGAAGGCCGAATGGACTGAATCTTGACTGGCTCGGGCATGATACATTGCAAAATGGGTCGCGCTGGAGAGGGCCTGAGGTGAAAGTCTTAACAGCATTACCCAGTGGCGCTGATTTTGATGAAGATGAAGAGGATGCCTCTGTTTTCTGATTGGACGAAGAACTTGTTGTTTCTGGCCGAATGCTTTTGATGAAGTTGATAACGCCAGCAGAAACTATCCGGCGACGGTATATCAGTCCCTATGCATCAATAGTCTGGATCAACAGTTTTATCCTGGTATAATGAGCTGGGCGCAAAGCTGAAACCGTAAAACGTCCATAGAGTAGAAAGAAAACAACTTCCCCAAATAGGGTATCGATGATGCTCAGGACCTGAGGTAGAAACCTCATCGTCAACGGGCGTGTGTGTTCTATAAGACTTACTGCAGGATCAGAGCTAATGAATTCCAAGTAAAATTTGAAAAAACTCCTGACCGTGACGATCATATAGCGAAATGGAAGATCTATTTTTATCTTTTGACACATTCAGCCGCCAAGCCAGTCATTCGGAGATGGCCAGAAGTACTATTTTTGGCTTCCTCTAGCTTGAGCTTTTTCAGCCGCTCTTCGGATGTCATTGTTGTACGAAAGAACTCGCCCACGCACTGACCCCAGCTTTTATCTCTCTGAATCTCGGATTCTTTGGCATCTTCCTTGACTTTATATCCCCGACGAACTAATAAGCCGACGGCGGACGCGTGATAAATCACAGAAACACAAAATCCATTAAGCCGATCTTCCTTACATTCGCACAGGCCGCTGTTTTCCAACACTCGGAGGATACGTGGGGAATTATCGCCGAATAATGTTCCAGAATGACCACCTTCGAATAGCCTTCCCCTGAGAAACAAAATCCAAGTTGGGAAAGACCAACTGAGGTACATGCGACTCTAGGTGTACTATTTTTATCTAACCGGTATCATGCTTTGTACCGCTCGGTGTCGGACGGAGATCACAACACCGATATCTTGATTCTCAACGCGACAGTATCAGTCAGTGTACAATGAGCAGCCCGACTGCCTTCTACACCGACTCGGAATCTGAAGCTGAAGGCATGAGGTCTGGCTGTGTTTGATTAGGGCTGCTTAGGCGTCGCTGATTAAGGCTGAATCCGCGTCGGATAACTTCAGAAGACCCTCGTATCCTTTTTTCACGCGATCGTGGCGAGGTACTTACTACCACTCTGGGTTTTGTAGAGCAGGTCGGTTGCTATTTTCGCTGTATTCAATGCGGCAAGGGGATGGGAATTCAGAGACTATAAGATGGAGGTCATACAGCCCTTCAGTCCATAGTTTCATAAACATGCCTTCCCTCTCTCTTGTCCTCTCCGCCTGCGCCCTAACTCTTGCCTACGTCGTATACAAACGTTTTACTCGCATTTCTCTCTCTCATGTGAAAGGGCCTGAGTCCAGCTCATTTCTATATGGTGAGACTTTCCCGCAGTCCTGTTTTCCCTCGTTCATATAACGACCATAGGAAACTTTCCCGAGCTCTTACAATCACAGGCCGGAGAAGTAATGTTCCTCTACTATGTCATTGTTCCCTCGTTGACTCTCTCTCTCTACCCAGAGAGATTTTGAATGGCAGAAGACCTACGGCGACGTTATTCGCATTCACGCACCACTCGGAGTAGGTTAACTTCGAGCCTACTATACAACTGGCTCTCTCACTCGTTTGTCTGTAGGGAGAACGCCTCTTCATCACCGACCCTAAAGCTTTGTCATACATTTATCAGTCTGGTTACAACTTCATCAAGTCGCCTAGCCGAAGTGCTCTATCCCGCATTACTCTTGGTCCCGGACTTCTCAATGTTGAAGGTAAGCCACGCGTTAACTTGTGACTATTCACAAGGCATTGATAACACATACATAGGCGAGCAACATAGGCGCCAGCGAAAGATTATGACACCAGGATTTGGAAGTTCCGAAGCAAAGGCCTTTGTCCCGATATTCTTGTCATACGCCGGCAAGGTACGTCGTCGATGGTTAGAGCCTAGATATGTTCTTATGGGTCCCGTCTTCTGCAGTTGGCAAACAAGTGGAGAGACATGATTTCTATGGACGTATCGGAGACGATCATTGTGGATATTCCTGAATGGACGTCGCGAGCGACCCTTGATGCGATCGGTGAAGGTATGTCTCTTGGTATCATTACTGCTCTTCAAATTCTCATAAGTTTCTGTCGCGAAGCTGCCTTTGATTATCAGTTTGGAGCTCTCGACAACGCAGAGAATGAACTCGCGAACACCTACACCAATCTCGTGTAAGTATATGTCGCCTTGTAATCAGTCGTTCCTTAAGGGGTTTATTTCAGGTTCCACGTTTTCGGTATTCCTAAACCCAAAGATATTCTGGCTTTGAGCATTATGGACATGCTTCCGGATTCGTTTGCTAGGTTTATTGTCAGGAATGCTCCTTCGCCTCGGTTCGAAGTTGGAAGGAGGACTAACAAATTGACAACTCGGGTTGCAAAGCAATTGGTAGCAGAGAAGTATGCGGCTCTGAAAGAGGGTAAAGCGAGTAAAGACCTCATGAGTCTGATGGGTAACAACTTTCTCCTGCTCTATAGGACGCACTTATTCATTCCTCCGCTATAGTCAAAGCCAACGCATCAGGAAATCCCGACATGCGCCTAGAGGAAGATGAACTTCTTGCTCAAATGAAGTATGTATACAGCTTACAGCTTTGCAAAATTTTGTTAACCGTTTTTTCAGCATCATTGTATTTGCCGGGCACGAAACGACATCGAACACACTCTCTTTCGCTCTGCTCGAGCTCGTGGCACACCCCGAGTGCCAGACCAAACTTCGCCAGGAAATCCGAGAGACACAGCGCAAAATGCACGCCGTTGGCAGGGACGAGTTTACCGCTGCTGATTTCGACGCTATGCCATACTTGTCTGCTGTGGTCAAGGTAACTTTTTCATATCGATGGTCTCTTCGATTTATGTTGAATACCGGGACTAGGAAACGCTCCGCATGCACCCAGTCGTGTACAACGTATTCAGAATCGCCACAAAGGATGATGTCCTTCCCCTCCACAAGCCCATTACTACGAAGACTGGGGAGGTGTTGACCGAACTCCCAATCCCGGCGGGTCTGCAGGTCATCAGCTCAATTGCCGGCTATAATAGGTTTGATGTTTTCTTCCTTTTTTACAATTCTAGTACTAACAGGATTTACACAGGAGCAAAGAAGTTTTCGGAGAAGATGCGGATGTCTTCAATCCTGAAAGGTGGTTACACAAGGAAGGGAAGCCCGCGGTGTCTCTTGGTGTTTATGGCAACATGTACGTCATCTACTCCTTCTCCCGGCTTGATTGTATTCATCCAAAATTAGGTTCACCTTCGTTGGCGGACAACGATCCTGCCTCGGTTGGCGTTTCGCGTAAGTGTCGAAGTCTTCCTGTTGTCTACATCAAGCTTGATGGTTTTACTCAGTGTCATGGAGCTGCACTCTTTTATTGTGGAACTTGTCAACTCCTTTGAGTTTTCTCTTACTGATGGCATGGACCCTTCGCGCGTACGACGGGAATCCTGCTTTATCATGATGCCAACGATTGAAGGCGAACAAGAGAAGGGGTCTCAGCTGCACATGAAGGTTCGGGTTGCCCCGTCTGATGAAGATTAAGTAGGGAAATTTCTTTCTAACTACCAATATAATAACGATAGACTAATACTTGCAATAATGTGCAATTTATTTGACTCGAAATCGATAGGGCATTCATGTTACACCGGGTTGCATCAGAATCACACCTTCCGACGATCAGCATCTGAGAAGGGTTGTGTTACTACGTGAGAGACCCGGGCACTATCATATGATAATCTGGTGCAATTCAGCAGGTGGGAGATGCAACTTGTCGTGTTTTGATAGCAACAATGACCAGGAGTAAGTAATCTAACCACTTAGAGTCAAAGGAGTGCGTCAAATCGACGTGAATGAAAGCAAAGAACTTGGAACGGGGTAAAGACATGGGTACGCCTTGGAGCAGGAATCAGGCTATGGGCGCGACATGAAAAATGCCATTCTAGTGGGTGGGAAACCACAAACCGAAGCTTAACGCCATCGTGATCGCGTCTATCAGCTTACCGGTCCGAGAACCGGTAGTGCACGGACCCAAGTTTTCGGCTTCTCTTCAACCATTACATACATTTCGTCGCTCACGTTTACAAGTTGGATGACCCGCAAAATCATCGGGGTACGATGGTATTCGCTTACCAGGTTGTTCTTAACTTCGCTCAGAGGCTCCCTTGCTCGTCCTTTCTTGCTTGAAGCAGCTTCCGTCTCAGTGTGCTCTGCGGGTCTCTAGCTCTTGAAATTCCATTGAATAGCAATCTGCACTTCTCACTCTGTTTTTTTCTAAAGATACAGTACACCCGAGCAGCGTCGTGCTCCCATGGGATCCATCTCGAGTCTCTGAGTGTCAAGGCGATATACTCGAACAGGCGTCCTTGACTATCGTATTTAACAATTGGTGCTTTTACATAGGTACCTTATTTTGCCGAGTTTCGTGGGCTAAACCCCGGCCCAAGCTTCGTAGACCATCTGTCATCTACGAGTTCGATATCTCTGCTATCTGTTCCATTCACTCTTTTCTAAAATGAGGGCTCTGATCTGAGTATGTGTTGCTATGCGCCCATTTATTTACCCGATGCCTGTCTTCTTTGTTCTTACTAATATCTGCTTCGATGAGCCTCCCGAAACACCCTAAACTTCATTGATCATCATCTTGTAATAACGTAGGGTTATGACTAGAAATACTTTGACGTTATTCCACCCGGGTTACCTGCGCCTGGGAATGGTAATGGGGTGAGCAGCTCTAATACAACTCTCTTTCTCTCTCGACATGGAATTTCGTAACAAAGGACGCAAACTGAGTTTCTTACGATAGGAAGCTAGGGTCCTGCCATAAGTGTATTGCGTTAGTTATTCCTTATTCGATTCTTTGCAAAAGCTCTTGCCACTTTTATTCTTCAGCGCTGATGCAGCCAAATTTAGAGGCAACCTTTGATATTTCATCATTTTCTCGCCTTGATCATCAAGTGCGTCCCGCTTTATTCAATCGCATGTTCAGTCACCCACTTATTCCGCACCAGTATTGGTCAGCGTGCGCAGTTCTATCTCGCTGTGAATCCTGGTCGCATTTGCTTTCCATCTCGTTCCATCCACAATGATTGCGTCTTTGGTTCTGTCAGTGCATGTGTCGAGATAGCCAACTGCTGGTCTGTAGTCGGATCAGACCGCCGTTCCCGACTCTCAACGAAGTATACTTTACTCGAAGGAGTTTTGCGGATTCTAGCTTTCATCTGATACTTTCGATTTCATTATTGCACGTTCGACATCTTGTCATAGATGATACTTTTAGAGAAATACCCGGAAAAATCCAAAAAGAAACTAGCTATATGTGTGGTTCAGCACACACTGTGGACCGGCGCGGCCCAGCGTTCAGTGTCAAACTGTACTTGAGGTGCAATTAATTAGGAGGTGCCTGATAATGATAAGAAGGTTTATAGCTCGGATATCAAATTTGGCAGGACCGTGGGAGAAAACGAGCGCCTCGTTTTCCGACTACCACCACGACTGCGGATCGCCCGTACCTTGCCTGTGCCCGCACATAACCCGAAGTATCATCAATATCCTGGAAGGAACACTACTAGCATCCTGAATTGAATATGTACCATGACCGACGCGAGTCATCAATATTATAGGGACGTGTCTCAGGATGTCCTTGACATGAGTAGCTCGTCGTGGTCCCACAAAGAGCACAACTGAGCATAAGAGGCGGCTAATGGTTTCATGAACCCTCTTCCGTGTATAGGAGGCTCAGCCGATCATACATCGGTTATCGCGACCTCCTCAATGTCACGCCAAGAGGTACCCTGAAGAAAACCAGGCTACCGCACACCACCCTTCCCTTTTATTCCCTTTCCTTCCAACCGCCATCCACCACCAACGCAAAGGATGAAGTTCACATCCATTCTCGCTTTTTGCGCTATTGCGTTCACCGCCGTGTCGGCTTCGCCAATTGACACCAATGCTCGCCGCATGGCCGCAGGTCTTCCCCCCTTGAAGCCCCGTAACATGTACGGTACGTCGACCTTTTAATTTTTTTTCTCAAGCGGTGGAAGCTGATGCTTGGATTTTACTATAGCGAGGGAGCCGTTCAACGTTTTCAGCCCCGGCGGACCAGCTCCCGCTAGACCTTCCAGGGGCGCCATGCCGATCTAGACGCCGGAGAAAGAGGAATATTAGTACGTTCTCATCACCTCTGATATTGTCGCCTGATAACCTTATAAGCGTATAGGACAATCCCACCCCCATCATATCGCTACCCATTCACCTAGCCATTTAAACCTTACCACTTTCGTTCTATCCTGTACCCTAAACCCGCACGCTCTTTTATACCACACTCGTTCAACCCTAGAATTTTGGTTTTCATTTCCTTTCTTTCGAATACTCCGAGGATTTTTGATGTTGTACAGGGGTTTTAAATGCGATATTGTCAACCTATGGTCTCCTATGGTCCATGTCAAGACAAATCATGTTACACTTAGTCCTTCCGTTACTCAATATTGTCATTAACACAAGAGAGTGCTCCACGCTCCTCTCCCACCTTGTTGGTTCCATCATCCAACGCTTCTCGGATAAGATCTTCGTCCTTGCCACCGTAAATGACTCGTCTTAACCTCTATTTCTAATCAGCACTTTCTTGATATCCGCATCAGTCACGCACAAATTCACCATTATCAAGACATTCCCAGATCGATAGAACTTTCGCCACGGCTCTTCAAGCGCCGGTTCTGTCAACATGTTGATCGATGGCTAATTCTGTTATCTTGTATGCCCCCTTTCTTGTACGTACCGAAACGACGATTGCATCGCTGGCCTATCGCCACGGCACGGTGATCTGCCTCCCTCACCTCAGCTGAAGCACTGACCACATTTTCTTGATATAGATTTTGTTCGTATCCATGGGCCATCCCTACGTTATACAATCTCCTTCTGAGTCAGACGTTTTCCATGACTGTCACACGCTCTGTTCGATAACTATTACATCAGGGTACTCTCTCTGGTTGGGCCTCAGGTTCCAAATCATCGTCCTCCGTGACACTTAGCGCCGTATCTCCCCGGAAACGCGTCTGGGTGTTCGCGCGCTCATCTTGGCTCTCAAGCTGAGCTTCGAGGTCATCATCGATTACGAAACTTCCCTGAGAGCTTGTCGGGATCTGATTCCCTCCAAAGCGAAGGGAAGACATCATGCTTCCCTCCCAGGTGTCATCTGGGCGAGCGTGTCCCGCTGCAACTCGCCCAACGATAAGCGTAGGTGCAATTCCCTAGTATGTATGGCGCATATTAGATGGCGAAACAAGGGAAGAATATCAGCTTACCCGTGCAACCGTGGCTACAGAATCAAGATAACATGCCCCCCAATCGTTGTGAGCGAATAAAGCCACGTATAGGATCAAAGCGACGGAATAAAAGGTTGAAGATTCAACTAAGATTTCGATAGTGCGGCGGTAAGCTCCGAGGTTGCCACTGACGGACAGGATACGGTAGACGATGCCTAGTGTGCACCATGCTGTGGTAACGAGAGAGAACGATGCATAAAGCACTCGGTAGAGTAGGTGAAGAGTGTTTCCGTCAGTGAACACCATGTACATGTCGATGCTTTTGAACACTGGGCCTGGGGTAAGTTCTTGATAAGAGAATCCGGAAGCAACAGAATGCCCACCGATACCAGAGACTAAACAAAGAGTAGGAAAGAGAATGATGAACTTATGCCGGCTCCAGATCACCCAACAACGCCAGATCTAGGGGCTACTAGTAAGCAGTGAATGGAGGTAGGATTCTCGGACTCGGCAGAGTCTACGCACCGTGACAGAATCTGCAAGGATGGTACAGAGGATTCCTGTGATTCCTATGCTCAAAACTGATTTATCGTTGGTACCGATGCTGAGCTTGAGATACACAGTCCAAAAGTTTTGTCCATTAGTCACGGTGATGAATGCGGAGTGCGCAAATGACCAGCCGAAAGCAAACCCAATAGAAGTCATGGTGTAGAGGAGAATGATGGCGATGGTCATAACGTTTCCGGTAGGTCGAGATTTGTTCGTATCTGTGGGAGTTGCTTCAGCTCAGAAGGTGAATGGGAGACATGGTCGACTCACAGATGGTCCACAGGGTAACAGCAAGAACACCAGTGTATATGCCTGGTGGACATGAGCATTCAAATTTGGTTCAAACTTCAGCATGCATACCATGTAATAGAAATTCAAATATGATAGAATTTAACGCGGTGTCAAGAGCTTGAAAGATGAAATTTATCTCATCGTCGGTGAGTTCCTCTGGTATATCGGTCTGAGAGGTCATGTAGATTAGAACTTGGCAAAGGTTGTTTTCGAAGGAAGGTACACACCTTATTATACTGGTGCATCGAGAATTTTCATCAGTGCCATCGAATCCTCGCCGGTGTCATGTCGATGATTCTAAAAAGGTTATGCAGTTCGATTGTCAACTGAGTGCGTAATGATGAAGAGTGTAGTCTGCGACGACGATCAAGAAAACACGGTACGAGTGCTGCCCGGTCGAGATGATCGACGATTGGCAAAAGCCTAAATAAGTCCATCCATCTCCAAGAGCGAATCTGTCGCAGTAGGTTGGGCGAACGATTATCAGGTGGCATAAGTATTGAGGTAGTTTTGACCAGCGATGACATATCACCATATGGTCGTACATCGATGCTTCAATTCGAATCGGAAGTCATCTCAACCAATCTTTTCATCATCAAAAAATCCCTATTACATTGTAACGTCGGCAACGGCGAAACAGACAAAGTGCTACCATAGTCGTGCATACTATAAAAAGAATCAGGAACTTCGGTTCCACTGAGCGATGAACATGTGCACCTCAACCATCTCGGTGTCTTGAAGCCAGACATTCGTCAGACCCTAATCGATGCTATATGTACGGTAACCACCGCAAGCCAAAAAGCCTTTTAGTAAGTCTCCATGATCGATCCGTTTTGTTGTGGCTGATCGTTTGACAAACGGGGCTTCAGAATTTGGTAAAAACTACAAACGACTGGTGCTTCGACAAGGGGTTGTGGCGGGACGCATCAGAATTAGCCTTGCTCGCCGTCTAGCTCAGGACAAAAATGGGACCCGGGATCGATGGTGGTGACGAGAAGGTCATTGGTGGTAGATCATATCATGTTTATCAGCGACATCGAGTTTGGGCTATGGAAAAGGTGAGCAAGTGACTGAATGCAAACAAGGGACAAGACCTTACCACTTCCACCGCCCCTCCGGCGCAGTATCCTTTCTAATCCCCCGCTCTGACACCTGTGCGTGCTCGCCAGACGAAGATACATCATCTCACTGCAAAAACATGTCCTAGATGCTGGTAACGATGCTCCTGAGGTGGTGGTGGCGGGGATGCAAAATTGTTGGGTTTTGTGTGGTGCCGTTTGAGGGAGAGAGGACACATTGATCAGCGAGATCGAAATCGAGCTGTGGAGACGGTCAGTGCTCCTGGATCCGAGCAAGGAACGAGGAGACTTACTGTATTATTTCCACGCCTACGCCTCCCCGTTCCAATATTCATACTCCTGGGCTTGCTCGCCGGATGAAGATACGTCGTCTCAGAGAAGAACGGGTTCTTGATGTTGCAGAAAGCTTGCTCTTTAGTCGATGCTGGTGGAAGCGCTAAATTGCACGTTTTGGGTGCTCTTCGATGCGCAAAGTCGGAGTGGGATTGATATCGGGGCACATAGCTGTGGAGAAGGTCAGTGCCCTTGAATGTGAACGAGGAAGGAGACCTGCCAACTGCATCCACAAGCTTCTGGACTCTGCCTCTGCCTCTGCACCGGTAAGGCGACGAGCATGGTCCTGTGTCCTCGTTTGCGGAATTTTGACGCGCTGTCTCAGCTGTGCCGTCGTTGAGACATTGGCACGAGGAATGGTGGTGCGGATCCGAAATTATCACATTGAGAGGAGAGGGAGGGATATCAGGGTGACTTTCGAATATCCAGTCCGAGTGCCAACGTTGAGGCCCTCCTCGTTCGTTAGCCGCGGGGCAAATTATTTTTGAATATCTGGGTTTGAATCGTTTGATCTTGAATCAGAATGCCGGCTAAAACCAATGGTGAATAGTGACGAACAAAAAGTCGCATGGTGGTGAGAGGTAAGAGGCTTGGTTTGATGTCATGTCGATGGTCCAAATTTGACCAAATGTTCCATTTTAGTTATCAACGCCCATGCAGGACGCGTCGACTGTACTGTACGTGCCAGTGTAGTCCCGAGACAGCAGTATGATGGCACTTGTACGTGGTTATATAACTAGTCGCCTTTCCCTACTCCCAACAGTTACCCGTTACTGCCTGCCAGCTCGCTTCGAAATTCAGGACGACTTTCGTACTTGATTTTCTAGCACTTGTCACTGGACTCGATAGTGGGTCATCTGTCTTTGCCTGTTCTTTTCCTTTGCTCATGGAGACTTTCATTTATTCAGCTTCGTGTCATCACTACAATCCCGTAGTCGTGATTGGTGTACATCCAGGAACGCGCGCTCGTAAGAGAAGGTGAGCTGCTACTATACCAATTTTTCAGCAGTTTGCTCACAACATGTCTCTTAGGATATAGAGATTCGCCCAAAATATCCAACACCTGAGCTTAGCTTGAGTACTTGTGTAGGAATACGGGGCTAAAGCGCTAACTAGCACTGAAGGTGCGTAAACCAACTTTTGGTCAATTTCTCCCTGCTCACCTTCTCTCTCGTTACTCAGCACTTTTTCAAGCGCGTCTCCCCCCACCGCCCCCAGCAATTCACGTACGCAGCATACTCGAGGATACAGCACCTCCCTTATCCCATTGCGTCTCGCTGACACGTCATTTTTAGAGCGCGCCTGAGCTAGTCCACACACGATTGATAAAGGAGATCCATGCTCTATGGCACACGATAAGGCCGAATTTGAGGCTTATCGAGGCTGCTGAGGCTAAAGATGGATATACCAGGTTTCGGTGGGGCCTTTACGCCAGGGTTACGAACTTTGGTTAGGTTATCACGTCAATTGGGGATCAATGAACTTGTGTGGGAGATCATGGTATGTATTCTTTCCTCCCTCTCTCCTATTGCTGAACCAAAATCTGGTAGGCTTCTGTTGCGAGAACACAGCCGAGTTGACGACCAAATCGAATGTCAGTATGCATGGTCGCACATGTCGCTTTCGCTACACGAAGTTCAAGGTGCGTGCCGCTAGCCTTTAAGGAACTTTTTGTCCTGACCTTTCGTCTCTTTTCATAGGACTCTGAATGCATTCCTCCCCCAAAACGTCCCAGCAAGTCGTCAGTGCATACAGCATACCCAATGGTACGTCATCCCCTCTGCCTCATTCTTCTTCGTTGAAGTCGTCTTTGCAGCTCGTCGATCAACGAGGCCCCGATAAGCAAGGATCCGGGTTCTAGGAGCTTAATGGAGCTCGCAACGTGTTTTCCAATAAAATGCGATGTGTTAATCATATTTCTCGTTGGATAGAGTAAGAGACAAACAAGAGAACTGGCTGGCGAGTCTGCACTAATGTCATCGAGTTATGCCGTGATGGTATCGAATGGTGAACACGTAGAAAGGTTATACAGTGTTGAAGCACAGAGAAATGGACCCATCCCTATGGTAACTCCAACAAACGAGAAACCCAGACTCAAGGCTGGAATAAATGACGACGTTTACCGAGGTCATCAATGCCCTGTATGAAAGGCGACATGTTCAGACCATTATATACTTCCTCCAGCCTCTTTGTCATCCAGAGCGACCTTTTCCATGCCATTCTCTTGGGATCCACATTTGCTGTTACCCTCCCCATCTGGCTGATCCTCCAGGTCACCACCATAGAGGCTTATACTTATCAGAGTATCTTCTTGAGCACTCGCCCGAGCCTGACCATGCCCAAAACGGAGCGACGTAACTATACTTCCCTGCCATGAGTCGTCAGAATGAGCATGTCCCGCCGCAACACACCCGACAAGGAGAGTCGGAGCAACACCCTGCCACATGCTAAATAAGCAAGCAAGCAAGTAGGTCCGAGAAAGGATATCCACGCACTCTTGCGATTCCTGTTATGGGATCAAGGTAATTCGCTGCCCAGTCATTGTGAGCGAAGAAGGCGACAAATAGGATCAAAGACGCGGAATAGAGAGCTGATGACTCGATTAGGACTTCAACGACGTGCCGGTAGGCTCCGAGTCCTCGTTCTCTTGCTCGTCCAACAGTCCAGACACGGTATATGATGAGTAGTGTGCACCAGAGGGTCGTGGCTAGCGAGAAGGACGCATAAAGCACCGGATTGAGTAGGTCGTTGACGGCTCCATCTATGACCTGGCAGCGTAGGAAGATAATTTTAAACACTGTAATAAACCTGGGGTTATGTAAAGCCAAAGACAGAAAGTATTGATGACATTACCAATAGCAGACACTAGACAAAGAGCAGGAAGGAGAGTAGTCAACCAGCACCGTCCCCAGACCATCCAACAACGCCAAATCTGGAGTTTAGTTGGACTTGGATTTCCCAATAAAAGGTATGCCAGACGCACCATGGTAGAATCTGCGAGGATAGTACAGACAGTACTCGTGATACCTGTTGCCAAAAAGGATATGTCACCGGCTTTGTAGATCCTCAGATATTTGGTCCAAAGGTTTTGTGCATTGTCGACCAACGTGGAGCGCATGTACGACCATTGGAAGGCCAGGTTGATGGAGGTTAGGATGTGGAGTATTATGATAATAGCGACTATGGCCTTTCCGTTGGGTCGGGGACTAGCAATGACTTTATGCCCTTTAGCTCGAGTAACAAGATATCGGGAAAACCTCCCTCACATATATTCCACAGGGTAACAGCGACAATGCCCGTGTATACTCCTTATGTGCATTTGCGATTAGACAACAGGAGTCGGATTTGAATGAGCGTGGCTCACCGTGTAATAGGGAGTCAAGGATATTTGCGTTGAGTGAGGTATCGAGTTCTTGAACTATGAATGCTATTTCAGTAGCAGGAAGGTCTGAAGCCATTGAGGAGGACGATTGACGTGTCAGCGTCGAGCGAGGTGGGATGTATTTAAGAGGAGGATGGTACATGCCCTCATTATATAGCGCGCATACCCCCAAGATATTTGTTGGTTTCATGGTGATTCGTGAAGGCTGAAGCAAGGTCAGCAGGTGAAATGAGAGAGTCGATATGATCCTCGATATCTGTCACCATCTAAGAGTTGCTGAAGGCGCATCTTTGTTTCAAGTTGTATACAAAATATCACCTTGGATAGATGTACAGATAAGTCTTTTGTAGCGAGGTGCAAAACATCTCAATTGACGTACTATTTTAGATAAAAGATGATATGAAGCCGCTCGCAAAGGCCTATTCATCCCCTCTGTAAGCTTTTCAGGAACAAGAGGCATGAGGCCAAGTCGACTCCAAGATGCAGTGGAAGGATCATTCGCTGCCGCAATACCCAAGGCATCAAGGAGCACGGAGGGATAATCACGATGGTTGTATGGCTAGATCCACCTGACATCGTCTCATGAGATGAGAGTTCTTGCACTCTGGATACTGCGTAACACTGCATGGCGGAGGTAAAGTTGGACGCAAAGGAGGCTCGTGACCGTTGGAAATTCCCATCGACACCGGACCGTCGTTCCTGCCTCCACTCACAATGTCCACGTTCTACGTTGCAAGTGTATTTTCGCTGTTTGTATCACTTACATTACCACACCTACGATACGGTCTCCGAAGGCATGCGATGGCGGTGGATCTGAATAGCACGTTATTGAACACCGCAAAAGGCAAATGATGGTGCATTATAGTATTAAGTTGTGCATATCGATTATCAGCTGAGGTTCTCGATGCATCCGGCCCTGTTATTATCTGCGTGCCTCGTCAACGTAGCTCACCAGATCTCATCTACAAGTGGCCATTACTACTTGGCTTGGGTATACAGGAAGAATATGAGGCACTGAGGCGTAAGACCTGCATGCTTCACTCACCTAGTAGGAGAAGGAAAGAGGTTGCATACGAATGGGTGTGTGGACTTATTATGTGGTGCGTAGCATACCCGTATACCTTCCTCCAGGATATTGAGTACATATTCTCTAGCTGCCCATCGCTCGGGGGATGTCGGTGAGCGCTAGCCAGTGGCCAGGACGCAGATACAAGGCATGATAGAAGTCTTTCGGCTCTGCGTCCTTTTCTTATTCATGCTGGAATCGTGATGTCAAGGAGCGCATGATGATAAGGACCCTTCTACTACTGCTCTCCTCGAATGGAAGACGATTTCCTGGACACGGCTGAGCTAGCAGTTGAGGTGATGTCGCACACATATCTTTTCATCCTGTTCCTTCACAGGGCGCCCAACTATCTCAATGCTCCATCCAGGGTTGATGCTATTGAGTTCCATGGTTTGTCTATTAATGACCTGACGAAGCACACAGTTGGTAACTCTGTTTCCATGACTATGCTGGGATGGTATCAACAAGAGTATTATGGCTCCCATACACACCTGAAAGTAGGTGAGGAAAAGGATACCTGAACCCGAGTCCCTCCCCTGCTCGGCACTCCACGTGTTCACCCTTGCTCAGATGCATCCATTGTCTCCGCCCAGAAATCGATTCTTTTGATTTAGACGCAAGGCGTGTTAATGTGGTTGTCATGGGCAGCTGGTGTAGGAGACAATTATTAGTACTGCAGGAAGAATATCAGCGTCCGCGTGCATCAGGAGCTTTGATAGATTTCGAGCATTAATTTTGAGGTCCCGCTACGCGTGTTAAAAATTGTTTTGGCTTGAACAGCTATGAATACCGGTCAGAATTTACTCATATAGTGCCTGCCTGAATATTATCGAGGGAGAACACCGCAATACAAGTTGAAGCATGGGGAAGAGAACGTCAGGGCTTTGTTTGACTTGACGTCGATGGTCCAAATATACTATTTTGATTACGAACGGTCATCATGCGTCGACTTTACTGCACACCGCTTGCCAGCTCCGCTTCGAAATTCAGGAAGACCCTCGTATCTTCTGTTCTCACTGGTGGTCGATAGTGGACCATCCCGTTTTTGTGACGATTTCCTTCTGTTCAACATCGCGTCGGATCAACGCATGCCCAGTGGCTATGGAAAGGTGAGCCACTACTATACCAAGTTTTCTGGTGGTTCACTCACGATATTTCTACTAGTATATCATGTTGTGAATCGTCCACGCCTGGGTAGGAACATAAGTAGGGCTGAAGGTGCGTAGACTAACTTTTGGTCAATTTACCCTTGCTTATCTTGTCTCTCGTTGCTCAGCACTTTTTCAAGCACCCCTGACAAAACACACACCCATCATGCCTGACGATGATACGGGACCTGCGTTCTGCTGGCGCATCATTTTTGGAGGCAGAGTCAGCAAGCAAGTGTCTGCATACGATCGATAAGGGAGATCCAAGCTCGATGGCACGCGATAAGGGCGAAAAAGAGACTAAGTGAGGTTACCGAGGCCAGCGATGCGTCCACCGAGTTTCGGTGGGCCTTTTACGCCAGGGTTACGAAGGTTGTCGCGTCGGTTGAGGTTAACGGACTCGCGTAGGAGATAATGGTACGTATTATTTCCTCTCTTCCTGCTTCTATCAACTGAACCAGACTATGGCAAGTTTCTGTTGCAAGAACAGAGTGGAGTCGACGATCAAATTACTTTCATTTTTGTAAAGGTACACGCAAGAAGTTCAAGGTGCGTGCCACTAGTCCTTGAGGAACTCCCTCGACCTGACCTTTCGTCTCTTTCTCCAAGACTCTGTTGCCCACGATAGTCGCGTCGGCACGTCGGTGTGCGTGACATACCTAACAGTACGTCATCCTTTCCACTTTGTCGCTCTTTGTCAAAGTCTCGTTGCAGACCATCGATTGATGTTGATACGGCCCGATAAGCAAGGATCCGAGCTCTAAGAGTTTACCGGAGGTGCTCGCAATGGGTTTAGTATGCACGTTGTTTCTCCTATGGAACTACATAGTACTGATAGTGCCATATAGTTTTTGTTGAATGGAGCGCGAGAGCTGCCAGTGACTGGCGAGCACACTTAAGGCATCAAGTCTTCGATGGTGTTGAACGCAGGTACGTACCATTATCCTGGTTGTAGGCGTAGTACTGACCTTGACTTTAAGCGTAAGCAAACATGGGGAGAACTGACGAGCGTGCAACAGTGTACATATAGAGATGAACTTTCCTCCATCCAGGCTAAATATAGGACATACCCGTCAACTTGCGCACACTCCCCGCAATTCCTCTGTCCTCCTAAGCTGACGATATCACCACCTCAGCTCAACGATAGCTTCTTCCAACTGGTTCTCACTTCCATAACCCATTGCCACAGGATCCCCCGTCTTAGCTTGCCCAAAGCGCAGTGGGGAAGTCATCACACTCCCACCTCCACGCGTCCCACAAGTAACGTCGGTACAATACCCTAATAACCTGCCCACAAAACACAGAGGAAGGAACCAACATACCTGCTTGATCCTAGTAATAGGATCAAAACAATGCAGTGTGTTACTACTCCACGCAAAGAACGCCACATACAAAACCAACGACACCGCATACAATGCCGAAGGCTCCACTTAGACCTCCAGGACAGGCCGGTATGCCCCCACGCTATCCATCACTCGTGCGGAAGCCAGGATTCTGTAGATCACGACTCGTAGGATGCACTAGAGGGAGGGTCGTAGTCAGAGTTAGTGGAAGTAGCGGTTCAGGTCGGCATATTGGTTGCATGTTACATACATCCCATGATCCGTGCGCACGATCAACCAGTCGAGGGAGAAAGTGGCGGGGGTGATGATATAGAGGAGGACGATGACGATGATCATTGGGGGCCCAATTGTCGGGGTTTGTGCTGGGATGTGGGCATGGGCTCACAGATGTTTCATAGGGTGACGGCGATGATACACCTGTGCAGGGTTAGATCATCTCATCTCAGTGCGAAGTTGGTGGACATGTACGTACATTGGAAGAGAGGCGAGGATTACTCTATCCGTTTCAACCTTCATTTTAAATTAGCACCTTCTTGATATCCGTGTCAGTCACGCACAAGTATCAAAGCATTCCCGGATCGACAGAAATTTCACCACGGCTCTTCAAGCTTCAAGCGCTGGTTGTGTCAACTTGTCGATCGATTGGCTATTCTGTTATCTTGTATGCCCCTTTCTTGTAGTACCGGAACAACAATTTCATCGCTGGCCTATCGCCGCGGCACGGTAGCCTCCCTCACCTCAGCTGAAGTATTGATCATATAAATTTTGTTCGTATCAATGGGCCATCTCTACGATGCAATCTCCTTCTGAGTATCATGAATTCGTGCCATCTATTCACGGTCTTTTACAATGCCCTGTCTTTGCCCTTCACACGCACTCTATTGACGTACTGACGTTTTCCACGACTGTTACTCGCTCTGTTCCACAACTGTTATATCAGGGTCACTCGCTACTCTCTATGGTTGGGCCTCAAGTTCTGGGTCATCGTCCGCCGCAATATCTCCCTGGAAACGCGTCTGAGTGTGAGCGCGCTCATCTTGGCTCTCAAGCTGAGCTTCGAGGTCATCATCGATTATGACACTTCCCTGAGAGCTTGTCGGGATCGGATTCCCCCCAAAGCGAAGGGAAGACATCACACTTCCCTCCCAGGAATCATCTGGGCGAGCGTGTCCCGCTGCGACTCGCCCAACGATAAGTGTCGGTGCAATCCCCTATGTATGGCGCATGTTAGATGACCAAGCAAGGGAAGAATATAAGCTTACTCTTGCAACCCATCAGCAAAACCCAGAATTAGTCTTTCCGGGCTTGGTCTTTTTCTAGCCCTCTTTCTGCCTCTTTTTCTTGGGTGATCGAGTCTTGGTCTTGGCAAACCGGTTCTTCTGCGGCTTTCTGATCTTATCGATTGGGGCGGTCTTCGAATGACCTTGCAGTTGGTATGTATATGGATTGAAGTTAGATATTGCAATATTGAAGCCCATGCACATCCGTCACGGTGATGTTGCAGCGTTGCAGCAGTGCAGCCACTTGCAGATGGCGCACGGAATGGCAGGGAATGGCGGAAGAGCAACAAGAAATCTTCTAAGTTCTTTCAAACTCCGCCCGGGCATGTCCGGAACATGTCAACGTCATGTTGGACTTTAACTCGGAGTCCGAATTGATTATTCCCTCCCTCCTCTCTCCCTCACTTTACTGCAACTCGATACCGGCGATGGGGCCATTGGGCATGTACTGGTGGTACGAGGGCAAAGGTATGGGTGTCTCTCATTGAACTGACTATATCTGATTCTCGCATTTCCTTCCGGGCTGCCGTCATTGCCAACAGGTGAGAAAAGAAATGGTACGACCCAACACCTCATCATCACTCGCTGCTGAACTGACCAGAGCTGTAGATGGATGTGTGCAGACCAAGGAGAGGGCTGTTGTGAAGACTAGGATGGTGGCCATCCAGGAAGGGATGTGCCGGAGGGTGCGTGCTTCTTCCATTCCCCCATATAATTATTCACATTGTATTTTGTGTCGGTTAGACTGCTTAGCTGTTGTTCTCCCTTCTGCGGTGTGTTTTCTTTTGACAATCTGATGCAATACTGATATATTCGTAACACTGTCATGCCATCGAAATCACATTCTTATCCTTCCTATAGGTGCCCATTCTTGCAACATCTCTCTCGTTATGTCACGGCTTCATTTCTATCTCTGAGGCAGAAAGGGTCGTAGTGTTAGCGTTATGTGCTATAGTTCATTGTCATAGATAGAAATCAATATACTAGAATTTCTATATCCTCCAAAGCCATCGGAACACGAAAGAGAAAGAAACAAAAGACAGGAAGATGTTCTTTTCCTAAGACAGTGATAGATCTTGCCAAGACAAAATCCTTCTTGACGAGAATATGTACCTTACTTGGTAAAGACCCTTGATCTTCTTGTCTTTGCCGTCTTTTCGGTCTTGTGCAAGACCGAAAAGACACAAAAGACAACCTCTGGGTTTTGCTGATGCCGTGGCTACAGAATCAAGGTAACCTGCATCCCAATCATTGTGAGCAAAGAAAGCCACGTATAGGATCAAGGCGACGGAATAAAGGGTTGAAGATTCAACCAAGATTTCGATAGTACGGCGATAAGCTCTGAGGTTGCCACCGATGGACAAGATATGGTAGACGATGCCTAGAGTGCACCATATCGTGGTAACGAGAGTGAACGATACATAAAGCACTCGATAGAGTAGGTCGAGATCGTTTCCGTTAGTGAACATCATGTACATGTCAATGGTTTTGAATACTGGGCCCGGGGTGAGTTCTTGATAAAAGGATCCGGAAGCAACAGAACATCTCACCAATACTAGAGACTAAACAAAGAGTAGGAAGGAGAACAATGAGCCAGTTCCGGCCCCAGATCACCCCACAGCGCCAGATCTAGGGGATAGTAAGCAGTGAATGGAGGTAGAATTCTCGGAGGCTGGGTCTACGCACCGTGACAGAATCTGCAAGGATGGTACATAGGGTTCCTGTGATTCCTATGCTCAAAACTAATTTATCGTTGGTACCGATGGTGAGCTTGAGATACACAGTCCAAAAGTTTTGTCCATTAGTCACGGTGATGAATGCGGAGTGCACAAATGACCAGTTCAAAGCGAACCCAATGGAAGTCAGGGTGTAGATGAGAATGATGACGATGATCATAACATTTCTGATAGGTCGAGATTTGTTCATGTCTGTGGGAGTTGCTTTAGCTCAGAAGACTCATGGTCGACACGGTCGACTCACAGTTGGTCCACAGGGTAACAGCAAGAACACCAGTGTATATGCCTGGTGGACATGAGCATTCAAGTTTGGTTCAAACTTCAGCATGCATACCATGTAATAGAAATGCAAGTATAATAGTATTTAACACAGTGTCAAGGTCTTGAAAGATGAAATTTATCTCATCGTCGGTGAGACCCTCCGGTATATCAGTCTGAGAGGTCATGTGGATCAGAACTTGGCAAGGGTTGTTTTCGAAGGTACACACCTTATTATACCGGCGCATCGAGAATTTTTATCAGTGCCATCGAATCCTCGCTGGTGTCATGTCGATGATATCCAAAAAGGTTATGCAGCTCGATTGTCAACTGAACGCATAACGATGAAGAGTGTAGTCTGTGACGATGATCAAGAAAACATGGTACGAGTGCTGCCCGGTTGAGATGATCGATGTTTGGAAAAAACCTAAAGAAGGTCCATCTATTTCCAAGAGCGAATCTGTCGCAGTAGGGTTGGGCAAACGATTATCAGGTGGTGCGAGTCTTGAGGCAGTTTTGACCATTCCAGAGAGCCATGATATCTCACCACATGGTCATACATCGATGCCTCAGTTGTAATCTTTTCATGAGATGCTATCAAAAAAAAAACCCTATTACATTGTAACGTCGACAATGATGAAACAGATGAGGTGCTATCATAGTTGTTGTATGCTACAAAGAGAATCAGGAACTTTAGTTCCACTGAGCAATGAACAGGCACACCTTACCTATCTTAGTGTCTTGAAGAAGTTAGACATTCATTAGACCCTAATTGATGCTATGTATGGTAACCACCGCAAGCCAAAAATCCCTTTAGCAAGTCACTGTAATCGTTCCGTTTTGAGATGAGGAATGGTGGTGCAGATCCAAAATCGTCATATTGAGGGGAGACAGTACTGCAGGAGGGATATCAGGGGGACTTTGAATATCCAGTCCGAGTGCCAACGTTGAAGTCCTCCTTGTTCGTTAGCCACACAGCAAATTATTTTTGAATATCTGGGTTTGATCTTGAATCAATAGCGACGAACAAAAAGTTGCATGGCAGCGAGAGGGAAGACACTTAGTTTGACGTCATGTTGCTGACCAAATGTTCCATTTTGGTTATCAATGCCCATGCAGGACGTGTTGACTGTACTGCATGTGCCTAGTCCCAAGACAGCAGTATGGAGAACTTGTACGTGGTTATATAACTAGTAGGTGTTGGCATTTTGAAACTTGACACGTTTCCCTGCCCCGAACAGTTACCAGTCACCACCTGCCAGCTCGCTTCGAAATTCAGGACGACTCTTGTACTTGATTTTCTAACACTTGTTACTGGACTCGGTGGTGGTCCATCTGTCTTTGCCTGTTCTTTTCCTTTGCTCATGATGACTTTCCTTCATTCAGCCTCGCGTAATCACTACAATTCCGTAGTCGTGGTTGGTGAACATTCAGTGATGTCGATGACACGAGCGCATATAAGAAGGTGAGCTGCTACTATACCAGTTTTTCAGTGGATTACTCACAACATGTCTCCTAGTATATAGTGACTCCCCCAAAATATCCAACACTTAAAGCTTGAGTGCTTACTTGAGTAGGAGGAGATGGGGCTGAAGGTGTGTGAACCAACTTTTGGTCAATTTCTCCCTACTCACCTTCTTTCTCGTTACTCAGCACTTTTTCAAGCGCGTCTCCCTCCACCACCCCCCAACAAATCATGTATGCAGCATGCCGGATGATACATTACCTCCCTCATCCCATTGTGGCTCGCTGATGCATCATTTTTAGAGGGCGCTTGAGCTAGTCCACACACGATCAATGAAGGAGATCCATGCTCGGTGGCACATGACAAGGCTGAATTTGAGGCTTATCGAGGTTACCCCAGCTAGCGATGCATATACTGAGTGTCAGTGGGCACTTTATGCCAGGGTTACGAACTCAATGAGCATGTGCATAGACATACAGAGGGAGTTGCGCAGGTCGACGAGCCTGACCTATATCTAGCCTGGACGAAGGGACAAATTTAGATGGGAGTGTACCCAGGTATGTTGACTAGGTTCATCCCTCTACACATACACTATTGTATATATAGCCCAGATGCAATGACTGTTTTTACAGTGTCTCTCCCTGGAAGCATGTCATTACACATGTAAAAGATGCGACTTGTTTTTTTATTTCAAGAAGATAGTACCTACAAGTAACTACATAAGGCAATGGTAAACATGTAGAAATGTTATACAATCTCGAAGGTCGAAGAGCGCTCCTCTCCCGCCTTGTAATTTTCATCATTCAGCGCCTCTCAGGCTTAAGGGTAAGATCTTCGTCTTTGTCAATGACTGTAAATGACTCGTTTTAACCTTCATTTTAAATTAGCACTTTCTTGATATCCGCATCAGTCACGTACAAATTCGCCATTATCAAAACATTCCCGGATCGATAGAAATTTCACCATGGTTGTTCAAGCACCAGTTCTGTCAACATGTCGATCGATGGCTATTCTGTTATCTTGTATGTGCCACCGCCCCCTTTCTTGTACGTACCGAAATGATGATTCCATCGCTGATGGCATGCACTGCTGGGGTTGGTTCCTTTTCAGGACAGAAAAAGGTATTTTAAAAATGTCGTGACTTTTCGTTTCCTTTGTATGCCACAAAAACAGGATACGGAAAACGAAATGAAAAATTCGTCCTATTTAGTGCTCCTTTCACGTACCGAAAACAGCTTCTTTTCTCCGAATAAAAGGTGGTTTCCTTTGTTCTGACCGTGGGAGAAAGCCTTTTTCATTCCGTTTTTCCTGTTCTTTTCCTTCACTTATAAGAGTATGGAAATTATCTCATTTTTCAACTCACTTTTGTGAAGTTCAAATGAAATGTCATGACATGTTGAGGTCTTGTTTTTCCACAGAGAAAATGTACCGGCTCCAGCAGTGACGGTGACGTCCCTCCCTCACCTCAGCTGAAGCAGTGACCACATTTTCTTGATATGAATTTTGTTCGTATCCATGAACCATCCCTACGCTATGCAATCTCCTTCTGAGTCAGACGTTCTCCATGACTGTCACACGCTCTGTTCAACAACTGTTACATCAGGGTACTCTCTCTGGTTGGGCCTCAGGTTCCAAATCATCGTCCTCCATGACACTTAGTGCCGTATCTCCCCCAAAATGCGTCTGAGTGTGGTCTTTGCTCTCAAGCTGAGCTTTGAGGTCATCATTGATTATGACACTTCCCTGAGAGCTTGTTGGGATCAGATTTCCCACCGACCCAAAGCGAAGGGAAGACATCACGCTTCCCACCCAGGAGTCATCTGGGCGAGCGTGTCCCGCTGCAACTCGCCCAGCAATAAGTGTCGGTGCAATTCCCTAGTATGTACAGTGCAAGTGAGATGGCGAAACAAGGGAAGAATATCAGCTTACCTGTGAAACCGTGGCTACAGAATCAAGGTAATCCTCCGCCCAATCGTTGTGAGCAAAGACAGCCACGTATAGGATCAACGCGACGGAATAAAGGGTAGAGGATTTGACCAAGATTTCGATAGCGCCGTGGTAAGCTCTGAGTCTACCACCGACAGACAAGATACGGTAGACGATGCCTAGTGTGCACCATGTTGTGGTAACGAGAGTGAACGATGCATAAAGTACTGGGTAGAGTAGGTCAAGTGGGTTTCTGTCAGTGAACAGTATGTATGTGTCGAAGCTTTTGAATGCTGGGCCTGGGGTAAGTTCTTGATAAGAGAATCCGGAAGCAACAGAACACTCACCGATACTAGAGACTAAGCAAAGAGTAGGAAGGAGAACAATGAGCCAGTTCCGGCCCCAGATCACCCAACAACGCCAGATCTAAGGGGTAAGCAGTGAATGGAGGTAGGATTCTCGGAGGCAGAGTCTGCGCACCATGATAGAATCTGCAAGGATGGTACAGAGGATTCCTGTGATTCCTATGCTCAAAACTACTTTATCCCTGTCATAGGTGAGCTTAAGATACACAGTCCAAAAGTTTTGTCCACTAGTCACGGTGATGAATGCAGAATGCACAAATGACCAGTCCAAAGCGAACTCAATGGAAGTCAGGGTGTAGATGAGAACGATGACAATGATCATAATGTTTCTGATAGGTCGAGATTTGTTCATGTCTGTGGGAGTTGCTTTAGCTCAGAAGACTCATGGAGACACGGTCGACTCACAGTTGGTCCACAGGGTAACAGCAAGAACACCAGTGTATATGCCTGGTGGACATGAGCATTCAAGTTTGGTTCAAACTTCAGCATGCATACCATGTAATAGAAATTCAAGTATATTTGAATTTAACGCAGCGTCAAGGGCTTGAAAGATGAGATTTATCTCATCATCAGTGAGACCCTCCGGTATATCAGTCTGAGAGGTCATGTAGATCAGAACTTGGCGAGGGTTGTTTTCCAAGGCACACACCTTATTATACTGGCATATCGAGAATTTTCACCAGTGCCATCGAATCCTTGCCGGTGTCATGCCGATGATTCCAAAAACAGGTTATGCAGTTCGACTGTCAACTGAATGCATAACGATGAAGAATGTAGTCTGGGACAATCATCAAGAAAACATGGTATGAGTACTGCCCGGTCGAGATGATCAGCATTTAGCAAATGCTCAAGACAGTTAATCCATCTCCAAGAGTGAATCTGTCGCAGTAGGGTTGGGCGAATGATTATCAGGTGGCGTGAGTATTGAGGTAGTTTTGACCAGCCATGACATCTCACCATATGGTCATACATCGATGCTTCAATCCGAATCAGAAGTCATCTCAACTAATCTTTTCATCATCAAAAAAAACCTATTACATTGTAAGGTCGGTAACGGCGAAACAGACAAGGTGCTACTATAGTCGTTGCATACTACAAAGAGAATCAGGAACTTCAGTTCCACTGAGCAACGAACAGGCGCACCTCAACTATCTCAGTGTCCTGAAGAAGTCAGACATTCATCAGACCCTAATTGATGCTATGTACAGTAACCACCGCAGGCCAAAAATCCATTTAGCAAGTCACTGTAATCGTTCTGTTTTGTTGTGACTGACCGTTTGACAAGGAGGGCTTCAGAAATTGGTGAAAAACCACTCCAAGCGACTGGTGTTTCGGTAAGGGGTTGGTGGCTGCTGCTTGCTGGAGTTGTAATGGGATGCATCATGCTTGCTGGATGACTCAGTGCAAACATGGGGCCCTGAGTTGATGGTGGCGATGAGGAGGAGGTCATTGGTGATAGATAGAGATCAAGTTCGGGCTATGAGAAAGATGAGTATGACTGAGTGCAAACAAGGGACAAGTACTTACCACTTCTACCGCCCTTCCTGCATAGTATCCTTTCTACCCCACCTGTGCATATTCGCCAGACAAAGATATGTCATCTCACCGCAAAAGCATGTCCCAGATGTTGGTAACGACACTCCTGAGTTGGTGATGGCAGGGGTGCAAAATTGTTGTGTCTTGTGTGGTGCCATTTGAGGGGGAGAGAACACACTGATCAGTGAGATTGAGATTGAGCTGTGGAAACAGTCAATGGTCCTGAATCCAAGCAAGGAACGAGGAGACTTACTGCCTCATTTCCATGCCCACGCCTCCCCGTTCCATGCCTTCTCCTGTTCATACTCCTGGGCTTGCTCGCTGGATGATGATACGTCATCTCAGAGAAGAACGGGTTCTTAATGTTGCAGAAAGCTTGCTCCTTAGTCGATGCCGGTGGAAGCACAAAATTGCACGTTTTGGGTGTTTTTCGAGGCCATCATTTGAAGGAAAGAGGCAATGGGATTGATATCGGGGCCCACAGCTGTGGAGAAGGTCAGTACCCTTGAATGTGAGTGAGGAAGGAGACTTGCCATCTGCGTCCACAACCCTCTGGACTCTGCCTCTGCCTCTGCACAGGTTAGGCAACAAGCATGATCCTGCATCCTCATTTGCGGAATTTTGACGCGCTGTCTCAACCTAACAATCGAGTCCCTTCATTAGAGGATGTGTCGTCGTTGAAACATTGGCACGAGGAATGGTAGTGCTGATCCGAAGTCGTTATATTGAGAGGAGACAGTACTGCGGGAGGGATGTCAGGGTGGATGAACACATGTCGAGAAGGAAGACTCACTTTGAATATCCACTGCCAGCCCGAGTGCCAATGTTGAAGTCCTTCTCATTCGTTAGCCGCAGGGCAAATTATTTTTGAATGTCTGGGTTTGATTTTGAATCAGAATGCCGGCTAAAACTAATGGTGAATAGCGACGAACAAAAAGTCGCAGGGTGGTGGTGAAGAAGTTAGTGTGACATCATGTCGATGGTCCAAATTTGACCAAATATTCATGATTTTGGTTATCAACACCCAGGACGCGTCGACTGTGCCAGTGTAGTCCCAAGAAGACAGTATGGGGAATCTGTACATGGTTATATAACTAGTAGGTGTTCGTATTTTGAAACCTGAAGGCCTGACATGTTTTCCTGTTCCGAGCAGTTACCAATTACCGCCTGCCAACTCCAGCTCGCTTCTGACTTTCGTACTTTATTTTCTAGCACTTGTTACTGGACTCGATGGTGGGCCATTTGTCTTTGCCTTTTTTTCATTTACTCATGATGGCCTTCATTTGTTCAGTTTCGCTTCATCACTACAATTCTGTAGTTGTGGTTAGCAAACATCCAGTGATGTCGATGACACGAGTGCATATAAGAAGGTGAGCTGCTGCTATAACAGTTTCTCAGCAGATTACTCATGACATGTCTCCTAGTATATAGTGATTCGCCCAAAATATCCAACACTTGAAGCTTGAGGGAGCTTGAGCTTGAGTAGGAATATGGGGCTGAAGCGCTGACTAGCGCTGAAGGTGCGTAAACAAACTTTTGGTCAATTTCTCCTTACTCACCTTCTCTCTTGTTACTCAGCACTTTTTCAAGTACGTCTCCCCCTGCCACCCCCAACAAATCACGTACGCAGCATACTCGAGGATACAGCACCTCCCTCATCCCATTGCGTCTCACTGACGCGTCATTTTTAGAGCGCACCTGAGCTAGTCTACACACGATCGATAAAGGAGATCATGATCTATGGCACACAATAAGGCCAAATTTGAGGCTTATCGAGGCTGCTGAGGCTAGAGATGCATATACCAGGTTTCGGTGGGGCCTTTATGCCAGCATTACGAACTCTGGTTAGGTTGTCACATCGGTTAGGGGTCAAGGAACTCGCGTGGGAGATCATGGTACATATATTGCCACCTTCCCTCCTTATATTGCTGAACCAAACTCTGATAGGCTTCTATTGCGAGAACACAGCCAAGTTGACGACCAAGTTGAATGTCAGTATGCGCGGTTGTGCATGTCGCTTTCGCTACACGAAGTTCAAGGTGTGTGCTGCTAGTCTTTGAGAAATTTCCTTATCCTGACCTTTCGTCTCTTTTCCCAGGACTCTGAATGCATTCCTCTCCCCACAACGGTCCCATCAAGTCGTCGGTGCATGCAGAATACGCAAAGGTACGTCATCCCCTCCGCCTCGTCGTTCTTTGTTGAAGTCGTCTTTGCAGCTTGTTGATCAACGAGGCCCGATAAGCAAGGATCTGAGCTCCAAGTGCTTAATGCAGCTCACAACATCGTGTTTTCCAATGAAAATACGATGTGCTAATCATGCCATGTAGTTCTCGTTGGTTAGAACGAGAGAACTGGCTGGCGAGTCTGCACTTAATTCATCGAGTCTTGTCATGATAGTATCAAATGCGGGTATGTACAATCATCCCAGTCATAGTTCTAGGACTGACCCTGACTTTTAAGCATAAGCAATTATGGGGAGAGTCGGCGGGGAGACAGAAGGGTAGTCGACATAGCACCCTGTTGTATCTAAGCGGCGTTTGAGTCAGCGCACATGGAGAATGTTCGGGGAGTGTGATGGTGTGCGGATGAGCATGTGCATAGACGTACAGAGGGGGTTGCGCAAGTCGACGAGCCTGACATATATCTGGTCTGGATGAAGGGGCAAATTTAGATGGGAGTGTACCCAGCTATCTTGACTAGGCTCATCCTTCTACGCGTACGCTATTGTATCTATGGCCCAGACGCAATGACTGTTTTTATAGCGTCTCCGTCCTGTAACGATTATACAGAGGAATAACACACTCCGGAAACATGTCATTACACACGTAAAAGATGCGACTCATCTTGTTATTTCAAGATAGTACCTACACGTAGCTACATACAGCAATGGTGAGTATGTAGAGAGGTTATACAGTGTCGAAGGGCAGAGAAATGAGCACCGTAGACCGATTCCTATGGTAACTCCTCCAAATGAGAAACTCAGACTCAAGGCTGAAATAAATGATGACGTTGACCGAGGTCATCAATGTCCTGTATGAAGGGCGACATGTTCAGACTATTATATACTTCCTCCAGCCTCTTTGTCATCCGGAGTGACCATTTCCATGCCATCCTCCTGAGATCCATATTTGTTGTTACTTTCCCCGTCCGGCTGATCCTCCAGGTCACCACTGTAGAGGCTTATACTTATCAGAGTATCTTCTTGAGCACTCGCCCGAGCCTGACCATGCCCAAAACAGAGCGACGTAACTATGCTGCCCTGCCACGAGTCGTCAGAACGAGCATGTCCTGCTGCAACACGCCCAACAAGGAGAGTTGGAGCGACACCCTGCCACATGCTAAATAAGCAAGCAAGTAGGTCTGAGAAAGGATATTCACGTACTCTTGCGATTCCTGTTATGGGATCAAGGTAATTTGCTGCCCAGTCATTGTGGGCAAAGAAGGCGATGAATAGGATTAAAGACATGGAATAGAGAGCTGATGACTTGATTAGGACTTCAACGACGTGCCAGTAGGCTCCGAGTCCTCGTTCTCTTGCTCGTCCCACAGTCCAGACATGGTATATGATGAGCAATGTGCACCAGAGTGTCGTAGCTAGTGAGAAGGATGCATAAAGCACTGGATTGAGTAGGTCGTTGACGGCTCCATCTATGACCTGTCAGCGTAGGAAGATAATTTTAAACACTGTAATAAACCTGGGATTATGTAAAGCAAAAGACAGAAGAGATCGATGGCATTACCGATAGCAGACACTAGACAGAGAACAGGAAGAAGCGTAGTTAACCAGCGCCGTCCCCAGACCATCCAACAATGCCAAATCTAGAGTTTAGTTGGGAGTAAGGGACCTGGATTGATTTCCTGACAAAAGGTAGGTCAGACGTACCATGGTAGAATCTGTGAGGATAGTACAGACAGTGCTCGCAGTTGAGGTGCTGCCACACACACATCTCAGGGCGCTCAACTATCTCAATATTGTCACTGTAAGAGGGTTCAATGTTTCCGAGTTCCACGTTTTGTCTATTAATGGACGGACAAAGCAGACAATTGGTATATTTATTTCCAAAGCTGACC